CAATAGTGACCTGGTTGTTAACCTCGACATACCGACGTAACTCTGCATCTGACAATGCATAACCGCAGTTCATATACAAGTTGCGGATCTTGTCAGGGTGCTCATTGATTGAGTCGATTGCGCAGCGTATGTAACCCTCAGGGTCTGATCGAACTAACTCATGCTCATTGTTGCGCTTCATCCAGGCCTTCATCATACTGAAGCAGAGCTCGATTGGATTGAGGTCTGGTGAGTAAGGCGGCAAAAAATGGAGTCGACATCCAGCGCGTTGAACAATGAGTTCATATACCCTTTCGTCATGATGGATACGGCAGTTGTCAAGGACAACCACGCTGTTCGGACCAGGGTAGGGGTTGAGAATTGGTAGCAGTTCATGTTCGACGAATTCGACAAATCGATCAGCATTGAAGGATCCCTGAAAGACCGATAAAGCATGGAGCCCTGTCGAGGTAAGTGCAGGCAATACACTCCAACGTTTGGTTCGAGCAAACAGTCTCTCCTCAATCGCCCTAGTACCGACTGGCGCATAACCAAATTTGCGGGTAGCAGTCCTCTCATCGACAGCAGACTCATCGAGAAAGACCAGTTGTTCTTGACTGTATTCAGCCATTGATATGGCGTGTTGCGCACGTAAAATGCCGTTCCGTTCTGCTGCCCTTAGCATAAGAGTCTTTCGAGTATATCCAATCTTTTTGAGGTATCGACAGACATGGTACTTCGATAGTGAAGTGGCAAATTCCTGGTTCATAAACTCTGCGCAATCATCCTGGTATAGGGTAGGGTTCAGATCATACAGGGCCTTGATATGCTGTCATGCCATGCCCAGCGTTTCAGCCAAGGTCCTCGATGGGGCAGGTCACTTACCATGCCTATGCGGGAGTCAATCTGAGGCGTCCTACCACAGTGCGTGGTAGGGAGGCGCTCATGGGTGCCTTCCTCCTCGAATCTCTTGACAATCCTGTAAATGGTTCGTACCGATTGGTTGATGATCTCACTGAGTTGGTGAACGTCATAGCCCTCGATGTAGTTCTCGATAACTATGGACCGTGTGCTATTGTCGCATATCTCACCAAACATTTCGAACCGTTTGCGACCTTCCTAGGCCTTCAATGGAGTTGTTCTGTTGGTTTTACGGTGAGGGTTTACAGAGCATGTGCAGCTACCTGCAGATTGCGACAGGCATTTTGCAACCAGCTGTAACGTGATGCAAGGCACGGGTTGTACGACATGACCGGGGAAAGGCGTGAAACTTCGATGTCATCCTTCGTCGCCCTTCACATCGGCGCAGGAATACATCCGAAGAAGTCCGCATATGCCAGTCTCTGCAAAAAGTAAGCTTGCTATTTGATCTTCTATACACTCAGGCGATACTGACCTTCGTGTATAGAGCGTGTATTGCAGCGAAAGAAGTCCTTAATGGAGGAGGATCGGCGCTGGATGCCGTAACTGCCGCTGTGTCCATCCTTGAAAACGCGAAACATACCAATGCTGGCTACGGATCGAATTTAAATGCGGAGGGCAAAGTCCAGATGGACGCCGCCCTGATGGACTACTCCGGATATGCTGCTGTTGCAGCCGTCGAAAGTGTGTTGCATCTCGCAGAGTTTCCGTATCTGGAGTTAACGGAGCGATACACAGATGTCAAAAACCCTGTTCAACTCGCTCAACGACTCCTAAAGAACAGGCAAAATCCACTTCCATACGGTCGAACGCAGCCCAACTTTCTTGTGGGAAGGAGTGCGACGGAATGGGATCATGGAGTGGAGTTGGTGGAGCCTGAGTCGCTTATCTCACAGTCAGCGCTGGAGGTGTGGCAGAAATGGAAGGAGGTGATAGAGCATGGGCCTTTCAATCCGGGAGATTTGGGAGACTCGGGGGTGTCGGATACGGTTGGAGCAGTCGCCATGGATTTGTCTGGGAATTTGGCTGCGGCTTGTAGTTCGGGTGGGATCGTGCACAAGCACGTCGGGCGAGTGGGACCAGCAGCCGTCGCGGGTAAAGGGTTATCTCTTCAGCGGTACGTGCACAGTTCACTGACGTGACTATAATTTAGGAAGCGGCTTATGGGTTGAAGATAATGTCGCCGTCGTATGCAGCGGAAACGGGGAAGAGATTCTGGATACGATACTTGCGAGCAAGTGCGCTTCACGGCTCAATCATATGGAGGGGGGTGTCTACGAGGAGGAGGCTGTGAAGCAAGTGATGGAGCGAGACTTCCTCGGTTAGCGTCAAGTCCTGTCATACACGCCCAGCTTTACTAACGAGTTCACTTTACTTTAGGTTCATCCGCAATACGGCGAGCAAAGCAGAATAACCAGAATGCTGGTCAGGCCGGAATGATCGCTTTGAAGATTACGAGAGACGAAGGCGAATCAGGCCTCCCTATACAGGCAATATCCGTCACATGGGCACACACAACATACTCAATGGTGCGTCCTTTTCTTCCCTTATTCTGTCCGAGGACGGTTACTGATGTTGTGAATGAAGGGTGTAGCATGGCTTGATTGTCGCTCCAGTGAAGCCCAGTTCCGCATGTCCAGAAGGGGTGATTCTGAAGGCGCGTGCATTGGAGGTTTCGGTGTGAGTTATCCATAGCATAGCAATCGTCATAGAAACACAATTGGATCTTCGAAGAAAAAGCGTTGGAGGTCACTGCGCAAATAAGGTTTCTGTGTGGCTGCAGCTGCACAATCGGCCGCGGGTTCATTTGACGTAGAGAACATTTCAGGAAATCGCTCACCCCATAGACATGCCCAATTGACCCCTTATACACGACACCAAGGCCGATAGACAATGAAGTTTGGGAAGAACTTACCAAGGTGCCAGGTGCCCGAGTGGAGGTGTGTGCCCCGCGAGCGTCATTTTCGCGGGGTGAATGCTGATGTCTGCGTGACTACAGTTCTCATTATATCAACTACAAGGCCTTGAAGAAGCATATCACCAGTGCACAGCAAGCGAAGCACGCGACTGGGACTGACCCCGACTTGACCGCGTTCTTCTTCGATTTGGACCGGAATGTGGAGGAGGTGAACAATTTCTTCAATAAGCGCGATACCGAGATTACAAGGCGTCTCAAGTTACTGAACGACAAGTATGGATTTGAGGAGGCCATGAATACTGCGGACTTGTCCGCCAGCGAGTTGGAGGAATTGATGGGAGCATTATTTGAATTGAAGGGGAACTTGCAGAAGTTGCTGTGGTACGCCGATGTCAATAGACGCGGTTTCGTCAAGATCACAAAGAAGCTCGACAAGAAGCTGAGTGTGCAGCATCAACAGAAGTATTTGGATTCAAAGGTGTATGTTCTTCCGTTTGCTTCGCCGACGAGGGCGCAGGAGCATTTGGCGAATGCCGTGTCGTGGCTAGATAAGCTCGGTGCTGCGACGAATGAGTATCACACTTCGTCAAGATCATCGTCGTCGTCAGCGTTCTTGGCAAGAGAACAAAGGACGAAGCTGGAGACAATAGTTTCGGAGGACAAGGCCGAGGAATTGCGCGATGCTCTCGATCAATGCGACCCCAAATTGGCCAAGAAGCTGCTACCAGGCCTTTTGCAGCATGCGCTTACTCGGAAATCGTTCGACTCTGTCAAGTGCATTCTAGCATACCACAACTTCTCTACCAGCACAGACCTAAACGAGCGTAACCTCGTCCACCGGTATGTCATCTCTCTCGGAAGAACCTATGAGCGTGCGGCAGTGGGAACCGATTCACCAAACGGCGATCACAGTAGCCCGTTCCTCGTCACGCCTGCGTTCACGCCCGGGTTTGTCTACCCATTCACGCCGAGTGGGCCAGGTACGCCGATATCCCGCGCGGAGTCGTCCCGGAAGATGAGTTTTGATTTCCCTATCGTTTTGAGCGAGCGTGGGGAGGAGGACACGGCGGCGCTCGAGTACCTCCTCGACTCGTTGAGTGTGGATCAGCAGAAGTTGTTGGTTGAACGTGACAGTTATCACCGGAGACCTTTGCACTATGCAGCGAGGTTTGGGTTGGCGAATGTTTGTGCCAAGTTTCTTGATTACATGAGAAAGTGGGGACAAGTGCGAGATCTGGAAGATTTCGAAGGAGAGGAGTGGGGGGACAATGAGGGGCTTACGCCGGTGCAGTTGGCTGTTATGGGCAATTACCCCAAGACCATTGGAGTACTTTTGAAGTTTTTAAACCGGGATCCATTGGACACTAACTTCATTAGGACTCCTGGATTGACGAGGGCATTGGGTCTTGCGTCGAAGTTGAATGCTTCCGAGATTTTAAAGACGTTGATGGACAAGGGTGTGGATGTAAACGTGCAGGACGCCGAAGGCGATACTCCTCTGCATATCGCGGCCCGTCTTGGAAATCTGGAGTGTGTGGAAGTCCTTCTCGATGGTAATGAATTACAGAAGGCAGATACCGAGGTCACGGAGAATGCGTATGCCTGGACTCCACTCTTCGTGGCTGGCGCGGAAGGAAACTTGGCGGTGGTTGAGCGACTCCTCGAGGCAGGTGCTGATGTCGAACGTTTGGATCAGGAAGGATGGACGGCATGCGAGCATGGCATCTTCCGTGGTCACCTTGATATCGGGGAGAAGATCATGCCGCCCGAAAAGACGCGGACGGCGAATGGTAGTCTACACATCGGTACGGAAGCGAAGTCATTGGAGAGCATTGCTTCGAATCTCTCTAGAAGCGCTGGGAGCTTCAAGGAGGAGATGACGGATTCTGAGGCCGCGCCGGTCAAGACTTTTGGGCATAGGTATTTGAAGGATCAGACGATGATCCTCGTAACGCTAGGTTCGACCGATACGAGAACCACCGATCCTGCAGTCCAGTTGAATGGTGTTGATTTGAGTGATACCGCGACGTCTGATCTCGATGCTGCGTTGTCGCTTCGTGTTTCTGCGATGGGAGCGGAGGGGGATTCGACGACGCTTGATCTGCCTTTGGATGCTTCGGCGTTGACTGAGCCGCTCATCTTTAATACGAAGGATTTAAAGAACGTTCAACTCTTGTTTGATATCATCCCGACGTACTCTTCACAGCGGAAGTTGATCGGACGAGCTGTTGCGCTTCTTTCTTCGGTGAAGACTGCTTTGGGTCAGGATAAGGCTTCGTTGCAGGGTCTTGTTACTGTGCCTATTGTTGCCAGCAGCAATTTGCGGGTCATCGGTCAGCTCCAGTTCAACTTCTTGATCATCACCCCCTTCCAACACGAAAACCTCGTCTTGCAGAGGAACAACACATACTGGAAATCACTTATCACCACTCGCATCATCGGACATCGAGGTGCCGGAAAGAACTTTGCCACAGCAAGCAGTTTGCAGCTTGGAGAGAACACGCTTCAGAGTTTCATCGCTGCTGCGAACCTTGGTGCGAGCTACGTGGAGTTTGATGTGCAGTTGACGAAGGACAGCGTACCTGTCATTTACCACGACTTCCTCGTGTCCGAGACGGGTCATGATGCACCTGTTGGGTCTCTGACTTTGGAGCAGTTCATGGCTGCTTCGCTTCATGAGCTTCCATCTGAAAGTCGACAGCACAAGGTTTCGAACCGTGATTTTGCGGAGGGTCAAGATACGCTTACCGACATGAAGGAGTTTGGCCGAACGAACAACGGTCGACCAACAACTCGTGCGAGGTCGATGTCTCTCACGAACGATGCTAACGAAGCTGCTGGGCTGAGTCAGAAGATGCAGTATACCCGTGACTACAAGAAAAAGGGCTTCAAGGGCAATTCCCGCGGTATTAGTATCCAGGCACCCTTCACGACTCTGCAGGAAGTCTTCCAGACGCTGCCGAAGCATGTTGGTTTCAACATCGAGTTGAAGTATCCTATGATTGATGAAGCGCAGGATGAGGATATGGAGTTGTCGTTCACCGAGATCAACCACTATGTTGACACTATCCTGAAGGTCGTCTACGACTACTCGGATGGGAGAGATATTATCTTCTCCACCTTTCACCCCGATATCGCCATTCTTCTCTCTATGAAACAACCCCAAATCCCGATTTTGTTCTTGACGGAGGGAGGCACGGCGAAAATGGCCGATATCCGTGCTTGTTCACTCCAGCAAGCAGTCCGCTTCGCGACAAAATGGAACTTGCTCGGTATCGTCAGTGCCTGCCAGCCTCTCATCCTTTGTCCTCGTCTCGTGAAGATCGTCAAAGCGGCAGGACTTGTGTGCGTAAGTTATGGTGTTGGTAACAACGAGCCTGCGAATGTCAAGTTACAGTATAAGGCTGGTGTGGATGCTGTTATTGTTGATTCAGTGCTGGCCGTTAGGAAGGGATTGCAGCATCCTGTTGCTGAAGGTGAAGATACGCTTGCCGTAGTTTAGAATTTGCAAGTTGGCATAGACAGTGTAGATTAGCGTGGTAGAAGTACTATGAATGGGGCACCATATAGTTGTAGGTACAAGTTTTATTTTCTTGACCATGACCAAGCCAAGTCTCATAACACCGTCGCTCTATGAGCTGGATCTAGAGCTTGTTATCCCTTAGAAAGCATCCACAGCCGGGTCACGGTTTGTGAACACGTTATGTATCTTCTTCGACAATGCTACACCGATGGTCCTGCTGGATAAAGCACCGGTCTTCGTTGCACCGATTGGCACATTGGCAAGAGCCTCAGGACCCTTTTTCTTGAATCCCTCCAGTAACTCTGGCAAAGACGGATACTTCTGCATAACTCCGGCAGCAACCTGCGGCGTAACTCGCTGGACCTCCTGTAACATTTTCGAAAACGTATCTTTAATGTCGATGCCAGTCTTAACCTGGCCAACATCAACGCAGAAGGATGTGCTGAGATTCTGTCGAGTAGTCCTGAACATGGTTAGCATGACACGTCTGCCGCGATTAATGTTATAGTAAAACGTACTTGTAAGGAATCGTGGCGATATCCGAAGTCAAGATCGCAATCCACTCAGCGCTGTCTGCAGGCGCAGTCGTATGGACAATCAAGCACTCATGCGTGATCTGCAGCGATATCAGAGCTTCTTCGACTAGCTCCTCATCAACCTCCTCTACTTCTTTTTGCTTCCGTCTCGACTGTGATGGTGCCGGGTCACCTTCCTCTTCAAGCAGCGCATTTCGCACAGCGGCGGTGTACTGCCTATTCTTCGCCGTCTTCATTCGCCTGAAGAGAGCTGCTAGACCTTCAATCATGTATATCGGTCGCGCGGAAGGGAATGTCGACTTAAGAAGAATCGCATGGGTATCAAGGCCTGCGCCGTCAGCGCCCACGAGATCGGCAAGTTCTTTGGCTTTCATGAAGCACAGGACGCGATTTTCTGTTTGTATCTCTGGTGGTATTGGAACGAAGTATCCGGCGCTTTCATCATATCTTGAGCTGACTTTTCGACGCCATCTGATTGTGTTCGCTGTTGGGCTCTCCCACTCTGTGTGCTCCACGGATAGCGGTTCAAGGAACGAGCGCAAATGCTGACCAAGAGCGGTACCAAGCAGGTGTCCGTCAATGTCGACTATCATTTCAGGTGTACAGTCCTTCTTCGAAGTTTTGAGTCTGTTTAGAGCGACTAGCTCTTGATCTTTCCTCTTCTCAGCTTCCTTTTGTGCCTTCTCCGCAGCCTTAGCTTCTTTCTCTCGCTGTTTGTCGAGCAGCTTTTGCCTTTTCTCTTCTTCTTTTCGTTCCTTTTCCGCAGTTTTGGCTTCCTCTTGTGTCCTCTTTTCTTCCTCACTCAGGACCTTCCGCGGTTTTGCCTTGGGTTTGTTAGTGGTTTCCTGAATATCCTTCTCTATGACCTTTGATCCACTTCCAAGTATATCCACGTTCTCCTTCTTGTTTTTTTCCGATGACTCCTTCGCAATATCCGCGCTATAGTTGTCCAATGCGGCAAGCATAGACAGAGTTCTATCATCAATTTTCGGAGGCAATCGAATCAGTGCCGCTGAGGTTTCGAGGTGAACAACTGGAGTGACGTCCGACTTGGACTTCGTTAATCTCAGTCGCGGTAAAGGAGCTCCCCGCTCTATCGGAGAGCTGAGATCAATCTCATGAGCAGGCAACCGCTTTCTTTTCCGTATTAACTGTGGTGCCAGGACCGGAGACGACGATAGGATGATGAGATCAGCTGACTTTCTCTGCGTGTAGGCCGTTACTGTTTCGGTTTCGATTGTAGTGCTGCTGGTTACCTCTATATCGCTTGTTGTCTTGCTCAATGCCGGTCGTCGACTTCGTCCTGCGAAGACATCTGAAATACTGGGAAGATCATCCCCAGGCGTGAGGTCGACGGCAGCTGCAAGTGCTGGAGGGCGCGTTCTGGACAGAAATGGAGTCTCCTCGATCAGAATGACGTCTTCTTGTTTCCGTCTGGCAGGTTGCGAGGCTGTCTGTAACTCTGATCAGCGCATCTTCCCCGAGGAACTGTCAAGCAATTTCCTCACCTTCTGCCTCGTCGATTCAAGAACGATCTGATCTATTACCTGGAAATCATTGGCTGTAAGGTCGATAGAAGTATCATAAGCCCTTGATAAGGAATCACGCATTTGCTTCGTAAAGGACCCTTTCCCTGCCTTACTGCCCTTACCGCTGTGCTGGGTAGAGGATGGTTCTTCGTCACTCAAACGGGATGGCATTGAAGGGGAGGGTGAAAAACGCGTGTGCGCACCCCTCCCGCTACGCCTGGGCCTCTGAATAGATCACATTGTGGATGAAATGGTCATTTTTTGCGATTTGGATTACAGGGCGTGCGCAGGGGCGCATGCATAAACTATACTGCTGTGTGCAAATTCTTGACGCGGCGCATTTTACCGCCTATCTGCGCGGGGATAGTTTCATGAACCCCCCCATCTTCGTAGACAAGGCTTGGAAGGGCGGTTTCAGGGTAGAGGTCGATAGATCAGACTCTTAGGAATCGATAGATGTCCTCGAAACGCGTGTAGTACCGGTTCTCATAGAGTTGTGACATTATGAAGGATTTCGGCCCAGGTGCATGATGTTGCATGAATATGCATGAAAACATCGAAAACACTCTCTGGACCCACAAACCTCAAAAACTGGTAGAATCAAAGAAACCACACGCAGAACATGTTCATCCAAGCTCCCTCTATCTCATGGGACCCAGAGCTGCATCCGTAGTGCCTTCCAGGGTCCGTTTCTTTCTTTTCACTGAAAACACCTTTTTAGCATGAAGCAGCTGAGGGAGGCCTTGTGGCCCAAAACCGGTGGCACGACGTGATTGCTAACGATAGGTATGATCAGTTTGAACCCTTACTCGACCTCCGAGGCCTTTATCTATGTTGTTTTAGGGGTTTTTGTCATATGGAGTTTGCGATTCGCGCGCACATGGGAAAGTCACGTCAAGAATTTTGCACACAGCAGTAAACTTTTGAACTCCACTGTAAGCGCACTAGTAACGTGGATGCGGCACACCAGGAAAGGGACGTCATTGAACTTTTGCGGGTGATTTGAGTCGTGGAAGATGTTAGAGGTTCGGCGTGCTGAGACCATTGTCTTACTTCAGAAAAAATGGAGTTGTGCTGAGCACGGGACTTTTTGCTACCGGCATTCAGTAACCAACAAAAACGACCATTTGCAATTGGAGGCTCATCTATTCAATGCCTGGCTTGATGCTATGATCTGCGCTGAACCGTCTAGCACCTTGTCATGCCCACCGCTGATTGAACCATTTTATGTGTTAGGCGTCAACAGAAGCTGTTCTCGATAGGGTTGAAATCCGGTGAGTAGGGTGGTATGTAGACCAGTCAACACCCAGCTGAATGGATGATTTCGGCAACCCTGGGATCATAAGGGACAGCGCAGTTATCCATGACAATGACGCTATTTGGTGCAGGGTAAGGGCATACAATCTTGAGGACCCTTGTTTCGAGAAACCATACAAAGAAGTCTGCATTGTATGAACCATGGTAAATCTCATATGCTTTGTATCCATTCTGCATCGAAACAGGAAGTACAGACCACTTCTTAGAATGACCTAGGTGAATCTGGGCTTCGGCTCGATGGCCAGCGAGAGCATATCCATATTGCGGTAGCCATTACGTTCATCCACTGCCGACTCGTCAAGAAAGATAAGCGGATCCGGTGCGTAGTACATAGTGGACAGCTGATGGTATGCACGAAGGATAGGGTCTCTTTGTTTTTGCCTTAACTGCTAGCAACTTGCGGGTATATCGGTTTGCTTTGCACCATCGAAAAACGTCGAAGCGTGTAAGTTGTAGCTCGTCTGCTGCAAATTCTTCTTTCAGCATGCCGGCAATCTCCTCGTGGTAAGCATATACTGCATCCTTGTACAACTCCTGAAGACACTGCATGGCAGCAGTATTAGCATGTCAGGGTAAAAATGGTACCGGCCAGGATGACATACTCGATGTACGTTTGGGGTGACTTTGCTAGGACGTCCGCTACAAGCGAGTACTCCGTAGCTCCCGTTATGTTCGCAGCGCTTATTGACTCGATATACTGTTCTTGGGCGGACATGGGCACAAGTCGCAGTATCATTAGGTGTCCTCCCGACCTTGCTGTTGAGTACTAAAAGTGCACGCACCTGATTGGACTCATGTTGAATTTCAGGCCTTATCAAGTGTTGTAGGGAGTACAATGGCGGTTGGTGTTTTCAGGCATTTTACGATTTGGTGGAGTAGTGCGCACACGCGCTTTTGACTACTCTCAGTTGCAATATAGTTAGTGGATGCAGGTCCCACCACGGTGCCCAAGGTCACCAAACCGTAAAATCCAACAACCTCACCATTCAAGCAGTCCAGGGATGGGATACAGGGGTCAAGAGCTACCTATGAGTGTCTGTCAGAGGATGCGATGTGCCATTCGCGATGGTACCAAGCATGCCGTACGCTTTTTGCGAGTCATTATTCGCTACTTACGCTGAAAACAGACCTTCGAAAAATGTACGATGATGCGCCCGGTACTCACCAAGACGAAGCAGCCGAAGCTCTCACGAAGCTGTATGGCTTTAAACTCGACAAATGGGATGTCTGCCGCGCCCTCAAACGACTCAAGTACACCTAACCCTAACTCCCTCAACTGAACTCGAGCCAAATCCCAGACCTGGGCGATCTCGAAATCAATAACCGACGCCGGATTCAACTTCCCCTGGGTTCTTACAGCAACCTTGGTCTGCGGGATTGGCGATAGGTCGACTGGTGGAGGAGAGAGGTCCTCTTGGAGGGTACGAGACCTTCGAGGCAGGGGTAGCTCAGGCTCAAGGGCATCCTCGGGAGTCGGACGAGATTCATCCGTACCAGGTGGAGGGACATAGATAGTAGCACAATTGAGGTAGACCATGAAGTCATTGAGCTTCCAACGAGTATGCAGGTCCTCCATCTCCTCAAGGAAGGCTCGTCATTCTTCGATTCCCGTAATGCTTGTAGGCCCAGGGCGGAAGTTACCTTTGACAACTCTGTAGGCAATTTTGAGGGTGCAGTCGTCTTCACTGACCTCAGTGCTGAAGGTCTGATCATGATTGAGACGCATCAGGACCATCCTTGATATGCAGGCCCGCTACATTCCAATCCCATTGCGGTTTCATTTCGGTAAGGAGTTCCGGATAAGCACTTCGGCCTGGGCGTGAAACAACCAGCCTGACCCTGAAGGTACGGCTTAGCAAGGGTAAAGCCGCAGTTTTAATCATCTCCGTAGTTGCATCATCAGGTAGGTGTGTCAGATCAATCACATGTATGTCTGGTTCAAGCTCCACATCCTGTAGTCGAGCTGGGGTTTTACGGGCATGGCCTGTACGCTTTGGCATTGCCCAAAGTCATTGCTGAAGTCGGCTTATCGATATCTGGTCTGTAGCTTGAGATACAAGGTCTTTTGTGTTTCCGTGGAAGTCAAGTTGCTGGAGTTGACCTGGCGCGCCCTGCCCTGAAAATCCCGCGTTTGACTAAACTTATGAAAAGCGCTGTATAGTCGAGTTCTAAAGTCATGCGAATCACGTGTGGGTATGCGCATCCGAAAAAAAGTAGCAAATGTCGAAACAAAAAACCCTTCATACTCGACAACCAAGGGCCTAGGAGACCAGGACGCGTCATCATATGGTAGGCAAATGAGTTCATGATACGGTGCGCGCTCTGGTTATTCGCAATTCGCCTCCGTGGTCAGCCTGTGAGTGACATTGCTGAATGGACTGGAAAGCACAAGTCCACCGTTTACAGAATTAGGAACCAGTGTGTCGTTGCCTTCTCAATATCCTTCAGCATACGCTCCGTAGGGTTGTTACCGTACTTCTTTTCGCCTTTATTCGTCCTAGCAGCATTGGGTAGTTCACCGTCGGATTCACCGCTGGTACTGTCGGCAGGTCTGAAATCAGTCTTGAGCGTAATATGAACAGCCCACTTCTTCCCTTTACCTGCCCATGCTGTTGAAGGCCTGCAAGGGTCTCCTTCAATTGCTCGAAGTCTTCAGCGGAGCGCAGTCGAGACATCGAGGATGTTGTCGAACCGCGAATGATCTGGTACCCGACGTTAAGGGCATGGTCGGAAGCGGAGATGTCTTCAGGGCAGAGAGGATCGTTCTGCAAGTCCTCCAAGGCCCACTCATCATCATTGGACGCTTGAATCACCTCTCGAATTGCTGGAGACGCTGGGTGTAGGTTGACAGGTTTTGCCGCGGGAACCGCGGTGGGGCAGTAGCTGGTGGTGGCACCTCGACGGTGTGCCGAATCCGGGAATTTGAGGCACGAGAAGATGCCCTCCGTTGACCTGGCTCAGGATCGACCTCAACCATCAATCCTAGACTTTTAGTCGTCGAGTATTAAGGGTTTTTGTTCTCGGGGTCTACAACTTTTTCCCCGCACATGCGCACTACACGTGATTTGCATGACTTTAGAACTCGACTATACCCCACTTCGGCAGGCGCAAACCGCAGTTTCGGAGATGCCCTGAGATGTCGCACGCTTGCTCAGCTGCCCAAACACGGAGACTCTCTGACCTAGCGTAATGGGTCAAGTGGAACCTTGTTCATCTTCGCATCACATGTCCCTACACGACTGCCGTTACCCGACCTTCCCCTCACCATGATAAATCATCTGCCTGATCCTTTTATACGCTCTTCATCCTCAATGTAGTTCTGTAGTCCCCTTTCAACCCTCCCTAGCACACGACAATGCCCACACCCACCACCCAAACCCCAGTCGTCATCATTGGCGCGGGCATCTCCGGCCTCTGCATCGCCATCGACCTCATTCGCAAACTCAACCTCCACGACTTCGTCATCCTCGAAAAGTCGGCCGGAATCGGCGGTACCTGGTTCGACAATCGCTACCCCGGTGCGGCGTGTGACGTGTTTTCACACCTCTATTCGTACTCGTTCGAGCCGAATTCGGAGTGGACGAGGGAGTATCCGTTGCAGGATGAGATCTTGGAGTATTTTATCAAGGTTGCGGAAAAGTGGGGCTTGTATAGTAAGATCAGGTTTAATAGTGAGGTCGAGGATGCTGTTTGGGTTTGTTTACATCTCTCACGCCCCAGTCAGTATTCGCACTGACATGTCCGGCAGGATGACGAGAATCAAGTCTGGAATACTAAAGTCAAGATCAATCCCGGCACGAAGGAAGGGGAGTACACCCCCTCTTACACAATCACATCACAGCTTGTCCGTCTACCTTCTTCCCCTATTAGTTTCAAAACTTACCACATGTATAGCTCGTTAGCTGCGTCGGCCAACTCAACCAACCTCACTTTCCCACGGACATTCCGGGCTTCGATACCTTCCAGGGCCGCATCATGCATTCAGCCCGTTGGGATAAGACCTACAATTACGCTGGGGAGAAAGTTTGTATCATCGGCAATGGCGCAACGTATTTACTCTCCCCTACCCTCCACTCTCCTCCAAGTGTCGCGGCGAGCTAACACGATGCTTGTAGGGCCGTTCAAATCATCCCCGAAATCCAGAAAGAAGCTAAAAGCTTGACCATTTTCCAACGCACCCCAAACTGGGTCGTCCCCCGCCTCGACGCACCAATTCCTACTTACAAGCGCCTCCTGTACCGGATTTCACCCATCCGGAAGTACTATCGTCAGCAATTGATGAACTTCCGCGAAAGTACCTACGAGCCGATCGTGCACCCCGAGAGTGAGGTGGCGAAGGGATTGATGGCCTTGAGTTTAGGAATGTTGGAGGCGCAGGTGCAGGATAAGGAGATGAGGGAGAAGTTGAAGGCGGACTATCCGATTGGGTGTAAACGTGTAGTAAGTCCTCTGTCCTCCTCTCTCCGGTATGTCGAAGCTGATCAGAGGTGCAGATCATCAGCGATGACTACTATAACGCGTTGACAAAATCAAACGTCACTCTCGAAACTGACCCAATCGCCTCCATAACCCCAGCGGGTCCTGTGACACTTTCCGGCACCCTCCATAATTGCGACCTCCTCGTCCTCGCAACCGGGTTCAAATCTCAGCAATTCCTGCACCCGATTACTGTTCGTGGAGAAAACTCTACATCGATTTCGGACATTTGGGACAAAGCTGGTGCTCCAATCGCGCACTACGGTATCACAGTCCCGCACCTGCCTAACTTTGCCATGACATACGGCCCAAACACAAACCTGGGTCACAACTCGATCATCCTCATGATTGAGGCTCAATCTGAGTATATATGTCAACTTGTCAAACCAGTCTTGGAAAAGAGGGTTAAGAGCGTGACTGTGAAGGAAAGGGCGTGTGAAAAGTACTTCAATGAGGTGCAGGAGAGGTTGGGAGGAACTTCATTTGCGAGCCCCAATTGTAGGAGTTGGTATAAGAGGGAGGATGGGTTGATCACCAACAACTGGTATGTTCACAGTACTCTATTACTACGGGATGCTAATACAAGAATAGGTGCGGCACGGTGGTGGAGTACCAGAATCGCACGAAACGCGTGAATTGGGATGATTATAGCACGACCGGCGGATCCTACTCCGGCGAACGTCAAACAATCACGATAACCCCGTCCCACGCCATCGCCGCCGCCCTCGCCCTCGGTCTTTCGACCATGGCAGCTGTTCAGTTAGGGTACTAGGATAGGAGGGTTTCGCGCACGGACCATAGCTTGGGTACATAGCAATCGTATATTAGCGTACAAGCTACAAGCACCATCCATAAGCGAGGCGGAGCACCGCACAAACGGAGAGCCACTCGAGCAAACCCCGAGATCTTCCGGAACGCACCAGCCACACCGGCTTCGGCGTCATAGGCGACATTGAGCGCGGAGGAGCGGGAAGACCGCTGTCTCGATTCAGCTGTCGGTGTAGTAGTTGTAGGGAACCCGTAGACGTCTACACTCGACGCGAGTCACTCCCAACTCATCCGCTTCCGTATCCAATCACCGTCGCTGTGCTCCCGCGGAAGCTCGTACGCGTCGGCTGAATTAACTCCCGCTTCCCAGGCCTCGGAGCGGGACGGACGCAGCTCTCCACCCTCACCGCCAACGCCCGTGCGCGGAAACCAATCACCGCCCTCCCTGACGTTTAATTCCCCCGCAGATCGGTCGCATACATCCGACGACTCCCTCGAACATTTCGAGTCTCTCACCTGAAGCCCGGAGTATAAGAAGGGTTCTGTCTGCTCTCTTCTCGATGACGGGTCTACCATATTTCATGCGATCGGCTTCTCCTACACGGATCAGCTCCAATATCCTATCACGTCTCTCCTCCTTCGCGAACCATTTTCACACGACGATGCCTCACCAAATAAACACCAAGACGGTCAACCCGCCCGTCATTTCCTCGGCCCTCATGCCATTCGGCCTCCAAAATACCAAGGAGACCTCAATGAAGTCATGGCAACTCGACGCACAACGGATCAAGGCGCAATTGGACGTCAAGCACACCGACCTCGATAAATACATGTACCTCGCTTCCCTCCGAAGAGAAGGCGGTGAAGCCAGAAAAGCATTCTACAAGCTCATGCAGAGCGCGACCGAACAGTACACTCCACTCGTCTACACCCCCACCGTCGGCCTCGCATGCCAGAAATTCAGCGAGATCTTCCCCGTTGGTGCGAGGACATATGTAGAGGGTATGTACCTCAACCTCACCCAACAAGGTCAGATCGCACAAGTTGTCGACGAGTGGGCAAAAGTCCAGGGATACCCTGACGCCGTCTCTGGATCCGGACTTCCGGAAATCTGCGTCATCACTGACGGCTCCCGAATCCTCGGACTTGGGGATCTCGGATTGGGCGGTATGGGTATTCCCCTCGGCAAACTCTCCCTCTATACCGCATGTGCGGGTATCGACCCCCAATTTACCATCGGTATCCAAATCGACCTCGGTACTAATAATGAGGAGTTGCTGAATAACCCCCTCTACCTTGGTCTCCGCCAAGAACGTCCAGCAAAGGAAGTCGCGACTGCGTTCATGGACGAAGTTATGCAAGCACTCCATGCACGATTCCCTGCTATGGTTATCCAATTCGAGGACTTCATCGCTGACCGCGCCTTCGAATACCTGGACCGGTACCGTGACCAGTACGCTTCCTTCAACGACGATATCCAGGGAACTGGGGCCGTTGTTGTTGCGGGTGTCAAGCGCGCCGCCGAGATTTCGGGCGTGAAGCCTCAGGACCAGCGTATCGTCTTCTTCGGTGCCGGATCCGCAGGTGTCGGTGTCGCGAAGATGATCGCGCAATGGATCCAGTTCGACGGTGGCTTGACTGAGGAAGAAGCCCGTCGTCGCGTCTGGCTCGTGGACTCGAAGGGTCTCGTGGCGCATGACCGTGGTGACAACCTCGCTGAACACAAGCTCTACTTTGCCCGCGACGACAACAACGGACAGAACCCCCGAACCTTGGATGAAGTCTTGGAATTTGTGAAACCCACAGCACTCCTCGGACTCTCGACCATTGGTGGCGCGTTCACCCCCTCAATTCTCAAACGCATGGGCGAGCTCAACGAAAGACCCGTCGTATTCCCCCTCTCCAACCCCTCTCACTGCTCCGAATGTACCTACTCTGAAGCCCTGAACGCAACAGGTGGCCGCGTCGTCTTCGCCTCCGGTTCCCCATTCGCCGCGCAAGACTACGACGGCACAAGACGCCAACCAGGACAAGGAAACAACATGTATGTCTTCCCCGGTATCGGACTCGGCGCAATCCTCTCCAAGGCCTCCCGGATAACCGAAACCATGATCTATGCCTCCGCCGAATCCCTCGCGTCATCCCTAAGCGAAGACGAACAGTCCAGAGGACTCGTTTATCCCGAGCTGAGCAGGATTAGGGAGATTAGTGCGATTGTTGCCGCGGGAGTTATTAAGAAGGCGGTTGAGGAGGGCGTTTGTGAGAGTGAGGAGTGTAGGAAGTTGGCGGGAGATGAGGAGGGACTGTTGGAGTTTGTTAGGGAGAGTATGTGGGATGCGTTTTCGGCTTAGGGGAGAGTATGATTAGAGATACCCGTCAAAAACATGATACCCCGGTCTCGAGGGAGGCTGCCTGATCTTAGCTACCTATAATCCATGGTTGAACATGAACTTGTCCACCGCTCGCTATCATAACAGTAGCTTAAACTGGTAGCTGTGGCTGTAGCTGGAGTGACCACAACTATTATCATTCCAATTCATTCCTCAATATAAGCCCTTACTCTCGGTCCATTCGTCGTCGGCAATTATTGACATCTCCTACGCCAAGCACGGCAAAACGGGATTTCGAATCTGCCGGCGCCGGCGCGCTTTCTTGCAGCTGATCGACCGAGGAAAACGTCACACCAAATCCATCCTCGACCTCCAGAACAATCTCAATCCTATTAATCAAAATGTCTGGAAGCTTCAACTGGAACTGCGCTCTCGTCACCGGTGGAGGTGGTGGTCTTGGCAAGGCAATTGCTCAGCTTTTCCTCTCCAAGGGCAAGGTTCGTCCTCTGATCTGATTTGTCATCCTCGATCCACAACCCTAACACTCCCTATAGCAAGTCATCATCGCCGGCCGTACCGAGTCTAACCTCCAGGCCACTGTCAAGCAGTTGAACAACCCTAAGCTCTCCTACGTCGTCCTCGACACCTCCAAGACCGAGACCTTCGCCTCCTTCGTGTCCGATCTCCTCAAGGAGCACCCCGAGGTCGACTGCCTCGTCAACAACGCTGGTATCCAGAAACCCCTCTCCTTCACTTCCCTCACCGATTCCTCCAAGATCGATGCCTTCACCTCCGGAGCTGAGTCGGAGATCCAGACCAACATTACCGGAGTCGTGAACTTGACCGCTCACTTCCTCCCCCACATCCTCTCTAAGCCTTCGGGAGCGATCATCACTGTTTCCTCCGGCCTCGCATTCGTTCCTCTCACGCTCTGCCCAGTGTATTCTGCCACGAAGGCCTTCATCCACTCTTACACCCTCTCCCTCCGTTACCAACTCCGTGACACCAAGGTCAAGGTCATCGAGGTTGCGCCTCCTCTCGTGGGTACCGATTTGCACCGCGACCACTCCGACCCTGACAACAACAAGAAGGAGAAGAACCCCATGTCCTTGACTGTCGAGGAATTCATCAACCAGGTTGAGAGCCAGATGGAGGAGGGACGTGATGAGGTTGCCCCTGGGTTTGCGGAGCCGAGGGCGAAGGCTTGGCAGGAGACTTTTGGGGAGATGTTCGTGAAGCAGAACTCCATGTTCCATTAGATTGTCAAATATGGCTGTATAATATGGAAGGATAGAGCAAGATGAGTAGGTGTGTGAAGTAAATATTATTGATGTCCATAAGTATGAGAGCAGTCCGCGATAGATAGGTATGACAAAAAAAAAAATTCTATAGTAACGAGCATGACTCTGGGCGATCAGCGAGTCTCAGAATCGTAAGCAGTGTGTCAAAAAGTTCCCGCCAGTCCCGCTGCCTTCTGCAAAAATCCACAAATATCTCCTTCCAACTTAGATCTTCGGCGCATTCTTCGACATCCCCCGAATCTTGGGTCCGTAATAAAAGAACAAGATAGGAATGGGAATAAGCGCAACGGCGATAAACCCACACAAACTACTCGCCCAATCAACACCCAAGTTCTGGTACATCTGGAGGGCAAACAACGGAAATGCGGCTCCAAACAAGGAACGGAGGAAGGTGTTTGCGGCAAGGGCAGTCGCGGCGACCATCAAGAAGGTGTCGATGATGTAGTTGATGGCTTGCAAGAAGATGGTCATCAACCCGATACCAGTGAAGATTCCAGACAAGGACGGCACGATCCAGTGAATAGACGGCTTACCCGTCCAGCCGAACCAGAACAACCCAGCAGCGAAAAACACCGAACCAATAATCATAGGCGGCAAACGCGCCTCCGGGTCAGGCTTTCCGCCCTTGGCCATACAACGACGAAGATAGTAAGGCTCGAACGCCAAGACGATTCCACAACCGATCATCTCACCGACCATGAGACCGACGTAGGGGAGAGATGAAACTCCAAGCTCCCAGTGGCGGATGAGGGCAAACTCGTAACCGTAGGCGGTGAGGAAGAGGTAAAGGATACCGTAAACGAAGGCGGTATAGATAGTCATCAACAAGATAATCGGTTCGCGGAACAACAAGTAGAAGGGACGGCCAACAAGATCCCTGACCATATCCCTGGGAGTGAGAGTTTTCTCCTCAAGTTTCGCGTGCCAGGCCCAGTTTCCAGTCTCCTTCCTGAGACGCTTAGCCTTGTTCGCCAAGATGGCCGGCGCATAACATTCGGAGAAGAAGAACAAATCGAGGAAGAGCGCAAAGAACCCCATGATGGCAGTGATATACTCCGTCCACCTCCACCCCAAATAACTCTTCGCAATAAACCCACCCACAATCGGTGCAGCCATGGGTCCCATGAACACCATCGCCGCGAAGATCGTCATAGCCTTACCGCGCCACTGCTGATTGAACATATCCGCGAACGCAGCACCGACGACGGCAAGTGGGCACGATGCGAAAACACCACCGAAGAAGCGGCCGAGCATGACGGTTTGCACGTCCTTTGCTACTGCGACTGCAATCTGGAAGATGGAGAAGCCAAGCATGCCGATAATGAGAGGTGGTTTTCTGCCGATGTTTTCGGAGAGGGGACCCCACAACAGGGGACCGAATGCGAATCCCAAGACGTAAAGCGAGAGAGTAAGTGTCGCAACCTCATGAGAAATCCCAAATTCAGCTTGTACGTAGGCCTGTCCTGGCGAGAACACCGAAGATCCCCACGCGGAACACAACGTCGTATACCCCAAGATGATCGCCGTCGTCAACGTCTTGCGCATTGGCCAATTGTGAGGGTGCTCCGGGTCGTCTTTGCCATTGAAGTCAACAATGTAATCCTTCCAGTCGATTTCGTTGTGAAGGCCATTGGGGCCACCGTAGTTGATTTCCTTCGTTTCGGTCGAGGAGGTGGAGGAGACGGTGTGTTCTGCGCCTTCCGTCCCAGGCCCGCCGATCTTTGGAGGCATGCCGTCCGTCTGAGGACCCTTCTCGATATCCCTATGTTCGCTGTCCATTGTCGCTGGGGGTGTATGCTATGCTACCCTGGATGTATGCTGGTCCCCATCCTTACCGCAGCAGGGGTCTTGCTTTTAACGTTCTCGGAACGGATGCTTATTATTCTCGTTCCGCGCCGACAATCACTCTGCAGCTGGACGCGCGTTCGCCCAACTGTCCAAGTTTGCCGCATTAACCGACCGGTACATTCGCAGGCCATGCCAAGCGGGGCAAGAACTCCGCCGCTTAACCCCTGACTTATTACAAGACGAGTTAAATGTTAACATTATCTACCACCAGGTCTCTTCATGCTCTCGAATCCATCGTCTTCGTCGTCACTGATTTCCACGGCTGCCCTTTTCCTTGGAGTTTGACTCGGTGCTTGACTGGGTTGCGAGAATGTCAGTTGCGCTTGACGCGCTGCTCCTCGTCTCGCTGGTGCGGCCTTGGCTTTCGGCGGCGGCATCGCCCGCGATGGTGCCTTCCGACGCGTAGATTGTACACTCTCAAAATCGTCCTCTTCGTCGTCGATGATATCGTCTTCTGCATCTGAGATTTCCAGTGTTGGACTCTTGGCTTTCTTCCCTCGTCCTCTCCCTGTAGACGTAGCCGCCGCCTTTCTCGCCGGAGCAGCTTTCTTGGCGGCCGGCGCCCGCTTCGTCGTCCGAATACTCGGCTGCGGCTCTTCCTCTTCTTCCTCCTCCTCATCCTCGTCATCATCCCTCGCCACCTGCCTCCTCCTAGGCGGGGGCATGTCATCTTCACTAAGCCCATCATTCTCAACCGCCTTCTTCCTTGCTCCTTGCTCCTCCCTCCCAACCTTCTTGGCAAACTTCTCAGCCTCCTTCTCCTTCTGCGCCTCAATCGCCCCGTCAATATCCTCCTCCCGCACATCCATCCTCATCAACGTCTTCATCTGCGTCGTCAACGTATCATCTACAAACTGCTTAACAGCATTCTTATCATCCTTATCCACATATTGCGAAATCGCGTCCCCTAATCCATTCTCGGCTAAAATCGCAAGTGTTTGTTTGGAAAGAACGTCGTTTACCAGAGTTTGGATTTTTATCTTGTCGAGTGAGTCGTGTTCTGCTAGGAGATCTGTGTCGTCAACGTCGATGTTTGTGCGGGCTTTGCGAGTCGCTTGGGCGCGTTTGCGATGGAAGAGGACGACGTCACCCGAGTTCGCGACTTTACCGACGAAGCGGTTGGAGAAGCGTTGCGGGTTTTCGACGTCATATCCTCCTGCGTAGTCGACCCTCAACCGTACGAGAGGTAACGGAGGTGTCTTGTCCCGGTCTTCTGGGCCCTGTGCCTCTCGCCACTCCTCGATTGCCTCCGTAATGCATTCCTCCACCTGCTCAATCAAGAACGCCGTCACAGACGACTTGTTCTCCGTATTCGGTCTGATGGCTTTTTCGTCGCTCAACGAAATATCCCTAATCACAAACGGCCTCACACTCGTCAACCTAATCGTCTTCAACGAAAACGATTTCTTATGGATACTCAGCACACCCACGTGTTTCGGGATACTCTCACCCGCACTCAAACTCGTCGCAACACTACTCCCAGGTTGGATGACGTGGAAGTTCTGCTCGGTGTTGAGGCGGGGTTCGATGTGGCAATCGTGTTCGTGGCCCCAGAGGACCATGTCGAAGAAATCTTGGATGAAGGATTCAGGGAGGTACCCCGTCTCCGTATGACTCGTATGATTCTGGTGTACCGCAATCAAATTGAACCATTCGTCCTTTCCTCCCGGACCCATAGCAGGCCTCATGAACCTCACCTTCCCATCCCTAAAACTGCGAAACAGCCTCTCGTCTCGGACGTTAGAAAGACCGTATAACGCGAGTTTCGTTTCGCCCTTCTGGAGCAGGATCGGACGAACACTGATGTCGTCATTTTCGGGGACACGTCCAAAGTAGTTGACGAGGCCTGCTACTTGCAGAATGTCGAGGGCGCAAAAACGACCTTCGCCGGAGGGGTCGTCGTGGTTTCCGTGGATGGAGAAGACGGGAATGGCGACGTTGATATCGGGGTCTTCGTAGTTTAGATGTGCGACGGCACTGTAAGCTCGTCAGTCCTCGACTTTTGCTAGTGATAGACTTTGAAGAGCATACGTATCCTCCGTCGCCACAGATTGGTCACTCAATACTCGTAGCTCACACGGCTTATCCCCGTAAGAATTTAGGCGAATACTCCGCATGCACTGATACAGTGCCTTTCGACTTGGCTTGTTTTCATGGAATAGGTCACCGCCCAATAGGACCATATCCACATCCTCAGACTTCGCAAGTTGCATCACCTCGTCAAAGGCGACCATGGAGTCATTTCCACGGACAGGATCGCGCTCAAGGTAACCAACATGGTTGTCGGTCGCAATGAGAATACGAATTGTATCTCGAGGATTGGAGTCGTCTCCCATTGGTGGTATTGACCTTGGTTGAGCGGGGGAGAACTACGTTACAGTTGCAGTTCGTCATGTTCCCAATCGGGAATGGTGATGATGGTCCAGGCGTGAGCGCAACGCCATAACAACGGTCCCCCAAACAGAACACCCCCTGCTCCTCTTATTCATAACCGTCTACCTGAACGGTCCTTTGCTGTCCACAGTTTATGGCACCAGACACCCTCGTCCTTGCTCCAGATTCCGATCCAGAAGACGACCTCTCCGCCCGACGACATCGCGAAAACATGTGTGCGCAACGCTACAAAGACGGCCATGATCTCTTTATATTGTCGGCTTCGATACGGGGTCCGTTTCCGTTGAAGGATGAGCATCATCCGTGGAGGAGGACGGCGATACGAGTGGATGATTTGGTGTGTGCCAGTGTGCAGGAGGGGACGGGGAATGGCAGTATGCTCAGTCAGGCGAGCAGTGTTGCGGCAACGAGCAAGAAGAGGAAAAGGAGAGAGGGGACGAGTACACCTGGTCCGGCAGACAAAATCAACCAGTATTTCTCGGCAAGGAAGAAGCAGGGGGTGGTGACTGGGAAGAAGATGGACGACACGTCGTTAGCCACGAATTTCGCTTCGACGAATGGAAGTGTTGGGATGGAGGCGCATACACCCGTACTACCGGTCTCCGATTTGAATGCAAGGTCATCTTCAGCACTTGAAGGGTCGCAAACACCTCGGGCAGCTGTCATCAATGCGCAATATACGGGCGTGCGCTACCCATCCAGTCCTACTCCTGTTCCTCCAGTTGCGGGTGACCCGCCGTCATCCATACAACGACGAACATCATCCCCAATGGATCTACGGAACATGCTCAACTCACCTAAACCCGTCCTCGCACCCGTCGAGAAGCCTCGCTTCGTAGATTTCGACGCATTGAGCCCCGTCAAATCACGGACCAAACAGACCATGATCGTTACAAAACTGCCTACGGAATCTGCGAAAGAGGTAGTGGAAGAAAGTAACGGAGGTGTGTGCGAGTCAGCCAAGGATACTCTACATGTCGGTAACTCCGCTCCCGTACTATCTGCACCACCGCAGCTGTCACCGTTCGCCCCTTTTGAGGGCGTACAAGAGCTTGAAACGAACACCAACAAAGACACTTTCGTCACGGCCAACGAAGAGCCTGCCTCCCTTGCTCCAGCTCCCACGTCATTACGTGTACCCTCACCCGAAAAACAGCAATCACCTCCATCACCAATAACCCGCGCCGATGTTAACACCTCCAGCGCAAGCCTAGCAGACATGAATACACAGGAAGAACTAGCGAAAGCGAAACTATCATTTGTGGAGGCAATGCGGTCATCTACCCTGTTCCCACCTAAACCAGTGTTGGATACACCGACGAGAGAGGTGGGCGAGTTGAGCTTAGTTGCTACGCCGCTGGTGGAAGGAAGTGGGGAGGAGGTCAAATGGGGAGAGCTGCTTGGAGTCGGTAGCTCTGCGCCCCGGCCTACGATCGCGGAGACGAAGGAGAAGGTCACTCAACGGACGCCGGCACCGACAAATGCTACAAACGGAACTGGAACAGGTGAAGCTCCATTAGGCACCCTTCACTTCGACCCCACCCCAAGCGGACCAATCGCCGAAACTCAAACCCCCTCAACCCCGAAGCCAGCAAACGGACATGCAAACGGAGCAAGTCTGCACTTCCGCACCTTCACCACACCGACCGCCTCACCCGCCCCAAAACCCTTCAGCGCACTCCTCGACTCGCCAATTTCCTACAACCCCACGGCATTTCTTCCCTCCAACAGAAAGGGCGGCGAGGGTATGAGTAGAGCACTGAGTCAAATGAGTCAAATGAGTGCGTTTGATGTGGATGATGCTATGAAGGGGATTGAGGGATTCCTCGAGGAGTCGAGGTGGGATCTGGGATTAGAAGTACAGAGGGCGTTGGGTGGGGATGCCGAGAAGGGGTTGTTTCGTAGTTTGCAGGATGCGCAGGAGGAGGTGGTGCTGGAGACGGAGGATATGGATGATTGAGTACGGTGTGCGTTATTAGACGGCCGGGCAAGGATAGCAATCATTAATCTCTAATAGAAGCCCGGAAATGAACGCAGCTGAGTAAGCATGTATTGATCATTGATGATCCTGTAGATAACCTCAAAATCGATATCGCATACAAATAGTCCACTGTCATACTTGATAACCACAGTCAACGCTTCACGTAACTAAGCCATCGCGCCCACTTGACCCTATTCCCACCCTCCTCCGGCGTCACCGACCCATCCTTCGCCTTTCCCGCAACCCCCTTAATCACCCTCATATCCTCCTCCGCCGCCCTCGCAATCTTCGCCCGGTAACTATCCGCAGGAACCAACTCCCTCGCCCTCCTCGCCCTCTTCCTTCCTACCACCAGTGTCACATCCGGTCCCTCAAACGCAAGACGCTGTACCTTGACCTCCTCCTCATCCTCCGAATCAATCCACCCGCTCGTTTTCCGATCCACGATACTCCTCTTCCCCACCTCCTCCTCCTCCCTGGTGCGTTCACCCTTTCGACGGCCAGAACCGGTGAGTGTTTCGGGCATGGAGTACCCTGGGGGCGGTTTCGGTGTCCAACCCTTCGGACCGGGTTTAGCGAGTGGTGTGGTGTAAAGCGGTGAGGATAGACTACTACGCCCAGTCTTTCTCCGTTTCCGGCGGATTGCGTGGGTCTCGCCGTTGTCGTCCTCCGGGTCAGAGATGTCAGGATGGAAATCAGCCTCGTGTCTGTCAAACTCCTCCTTCCTCGCGAACGTCAACCCAGTGCAAACCCCACAAGCCCACCTCATCGGATCCAGATGTTCTTTCTGGATATGTTCCAAAATCTCCGGTCTACTCTCAAACTCGATCATTTTGTCGGAACAGCCGCCTTGCCAGACACAGGGGAATCCACCAGAAGGTGCTTCGAGTCCGTGTTGGGACTTTACATGTTTCTCCAGCGTAGGTCGATCGTGGAGTTCGGCGGCACATCCCATCCAGCCACATGTCCAGACACTGAATTTCTTGCTTGCCCTCCTCTTCTTCGCTTGCGAGGTTGAGCTCGTTCGTTTGGGGCCTGGGGAAATCTCGACAATCTCGTCGTCAGGGTCGGCGTGTTCCTTGGCCGGAGACTTGGTTTGTCCAAACCCCAGGAACTTCCTGGCGCCGCTCATGAGTGAGTCCGCCACAGTGGACAAGGCACTCTTGGTCGGACTCGTCTCCCTCCCTTCCCTATCCTTCTCCTTCGTCGCAGGAACCGGCGTCCCAGCCCCCGACACAATCTCGACCGCAAACTCCTTCGAAGTCCCACTCATAACATCATTCATCTTCCGGTCCGGGTGGCGGTTTGCGGCTAGTAGTATCGATTCTGCGACGTTGTGTTCGGTGACGCCTTCTGGGATGAGCGTGTGGGTCTGTGTGAAAGCGGGAAGATCAATCTTCCACAGATTCTTCGCCGTGACTCTCAGCCCCTCCTCGCTCGGGACTCGCCGCAAGAAATCAGAGACCCATTTGTGCGCGTCATCATAGCCCAGCCCAGACCTCGGTGTCCCCAGGTGCTCGCCCTCGCTCAGCAGCTCGACGACTGAACTCAGCGTCCTCGGCGTCGGAGTCCAGGACACGGCAGCGATTGGGCAGCTGAACTGGGCGGCCAGGTGAGCTCCGAGCGCGTGCAGTGAGGGCGTCGCGGCGAGGAAGCGGGCGATGTACGCGTGGGCCTCGTCGTAGTCCATCGCCGCCGCGCTCTTGCTGCTCGCGAGGAGCTCGGCATATCGGTGCTGTTCTGAGGGCCGGAGGAGGGCCATTGTCTTCGGTGGACACTGTACCTGTGCCTGTTACGTACCTGTCTGTGCCTGTCTATGCCTGTCTGTGCCTGTCTGTGCCTGTCTATCTCAGTTACGTACCTGTCCAGCTGTTCTGAGGGTTTGGAGACCTCCCAGCTCAGGGACACGTGACTCCCCTTGCAAAATCTGACCCTCCCAGCAATAGCAATACAGTTCTCGTCCGATCCATCCCAACACCCCCCCCCGTTCGACCACCAACAAAATACAGAATGAAGTACTCGGCTGGTATGTCTACCACTACCTTCCGTGGAACTGTCCAAGTGGGCTCTTCTTCGTGAATCCCACCTTGCAATTCTGTCCGGTCTCGTTTGTTCGTCGCCTTTCCGTCGGTCCATCTTTCGTCTCGTCATTTAATGAAACGGTCCCTCGGACGGGTGATGGATGCTGCGAGACCGGATCTCGGATCTTCTTCCCTCTTTGTTTGCATCCCAATCCTTAACTGTCTCCTAGACGTCTCCTCCTCCCGCCGCCAGTGCCGCAAGGCCCACTTCTCCGCTCCCTCCTCCGTCCGCCGCACCCTCATGTCTGCTCCCCTCTCCAAGGAGCTCCGTGAGAAGTACGGTGTCCGCTCCATGCCCATCCGCAAGGACGACGAGGTCCTCGTTGTCCGTGGTTCCCAGAAGGGCAAGGAGGGCAAGGTCACCTCCGTCTACCGCCGCAAGTGGGTCATTCAGGTCGAGCGTATCGTCCGTGAGAAGGTCAACGGTGCTTCTGCCCCGGTTGGTCTTGACGCCTCCAAGGTTGTCATTACTTCTTTGAAGTTGGACAAGGACCGTCTCGCTATCCTTCAGGTTTGTTCCCTTCACCTTCTATAGTGGATCAGGGCTAACTACTCATACAGCGCAAGGGTGGCAAGGCTCAGGAGTCTGCTTAATTGTCTGACTCTGCTGGTCACACGTCAGTCGACTAACTTTATCTCGGAGTTTTGTCGGTTTACATGGGTCACATTCAATAAAATATCCGTTTACTCGGTTCCGTCCCCTTCCTCCATTTGTGAAGTCTCTTTCGAGATATAGCGGCTTTATCTCGTCCTTCAATGGCATACTCACATTGTTGGACGTAAACGACCCGCTTATATTGGTTAGACACATCGCGGACGTTAACTCTGCGATGTGTCGTTCGTACACCTCCTTTACAGAGGATACCCGAGCTTACCTCCGTGCTTGGGCGTCTTTTGAAGGGGAGGGACATCTCTGTAACATCTTTGATAATCCTAAGAATTTATGTTTCTGGCACCTTCCAAGTTTTTCTTAGTGTGTGCCCGTTGTGCGTAATGACCGCAAACTCCCGCGCTTCGCACACCAAGACGTCGGCCGAGCTTAAACAGAGACGAGGACCATTCCCCACTTTCACTTACCACATCCAATACTGAATTGAAACAATGTCTGCGCAAACGGCTACTCCCGAAGGTATGATACGTCGACAAGCATTCTCGGATTGATTATTGACAGTTCATACAGTCCTCTGGGCACAAAGATCAAGTGCGGACGATGAGTCCAAGAACGTCGTTTACCTCACCATCAACACCCCCGACGTAAAATCCCCCTCGATCAACCTCACCTCCACCTCCCTCTCCTTCACCGGTTCCTCCTCCACCTCGGACAAATCCTACGCCCTCAACATTGAGTTCTTTGCCGAGATCGACCCCGAGGCTTCCGTCACCCACGTCTCCACCAGAAACATTCAGTTCATTCTCCGTAAGAAGGAGAAGAACGAGGAATACTGGCCCAGACTCTTCAAGGAGAAGAAGAAGGAACATTGGCTCAAGACTGATTTCGATAAGTGGGTTGATGAGGACGAGCAGGATCCCGAGGAGGAGAACCCCATGGCCGGGATTAACCCGATGGCGAACATGGGTATGCCCGGGATGGATTTCAATAATCTGGATTTGTCGAAGCTCGGGGGGATGGGCGGATTGGGAGGCATGGGTGGAGGAATGGATTTCGGGGGCGATGAGAGTGATGAGGAGGAGGAGATGCCGGCGTTGGAGGAGGAGAAGAAGTAAAGAGGGATGTAAGAGTATCAAGATAGGGCGGAAAATGGAGGCAATTTTTGTACGCATAGCGACATACCCGTCTGGAAGTTATAAGAGTATTACGATTTGCTGTGAAGGCTTGAAGCACTCATACCAACAGTTTGGTTAATCACGCAGAAGCCAATTGGAGTCTGTCCTCACATGCGTGTAAGAGCGTATTGCAATCCCATCGAAAACCGCAATTCCCTGCTCTTCCCATGTTAAACGTTTTGGGCGTGGCGCGTCGACCTGCGGGTTCTCTTGAATTTCGAGGGGCACGACATCGACGAACGAACACCGCAAACGCAAAAAGGGCATCGCCTTACGAAGCAATCGATACCAAGGTCGTATCAATAACTCCCCTTTCGTTTCAGTACATCCTCCAGATACAGATCGCCCAACATGCCACCAAAGGGAAAAGGCCAACAGCCGAAGGAGAAGAGCGTCAAGGTCGACAAGACCTTCGGTATGAAGAACAAGAACAAGTCCGCCAAGGTCCAGAATTACGTCAACACTGTTAGACAGCAAGAAGAGCAGGCGGGAAAGAACAGTAAGGCCGCCAAAGCCAAGGAGGACGAGAAGGATAGGATCGCAGCCAAGAGGGCCGCCGAGGAGAAGAAGAAGGCTGAGCTCGCCGAGTTGTTCAAGCCCTCGCTCATCCAACCCAAGGTACCGTTCGGTGTTGACCCCAAGACTATTCTTTGTGTTTTCTGGAAACAGGAAGGAAAGTGTGCAAAGGGCGAAAAGTGCAAGTTCTCGCACGATCTCAACGTCGGCCGCAGAGTCGTCAAGAAGGATCTATACACCGACGTTCGTGACGAACTCGGAGAAGCCGTCGAGGAAGACAAAATGGATGATTGGGACGAGGAGCGTCTCGCTGCCGTCGTGTTGTCCAAACACGGAAACCCCAAAACCACCACCGACATCGTCTGTAAATTCTTCTTGGAGGCAGTTGAGAACAACAAATATGGTTGGAGATGGGAATGCCCGAATGGCGGTAACGACTGTATGTACCGTCACGCCCTACCACCTGGTTTCGTGCTCAAAACCAAGGGTGAAAAGAAGAACGACAAGAAGGTCGAAATCACCCTCGAAGACTTCATCGAGACCGAACGACACAGGTTGGGCAAGAACCTCACGCCCGTTACATTGGAGACCTTCAACAAGTGGAAACAGGAGAGGATTGAGAGGAAGGAGGCTGATGAGAAGGATAATCAGAAGAAGATTGAGGCACAGGTTAAGGCTGGTAGGGCCGGTGGAATGGTTTCGGGAAGGAACTGGTTCGTGTTTAGGCCCGATTTGCTTGATGACGATGACGAGGGTTACGGACAGGAGGACGAATGGGATTTGACTGAGTACCGGAAGGATGAGAGCGATGATGAGGCTGAGCAGAATGGCGAAGCATCCGGCAAGCCGGCGAACGGTGATGCAGGGGTCGAAGAGGCAACTGAGAAGCTCGAGGCTGTTGGGGTTGCCGAGTAGGTGGTGCATGAGGTGTTCGGAGCGGAGTGTTTGATGAGATGAGTGTGTGTTGGTTCTTTACGAGGCGTTTTGTCTTTCAGGTTTGAGATTCGTCATAGCGAGGCCTAGGTCGCGGCCCTTTATCCAGAGGTCCACAGGTTGTGATCGTGATTTGTACGTTGGCATGGTGGATGATTAGGCTTTATTGGGTATTCTTGGTCCGAATATATCTACTTAGATACCATGCCTGCTTATCCTGTTTTTGCTTTCATGAAGGTCCAGAGGGGAAGTAGGGAGAGCACGGCTATTCCGGCAAACGCCAGATCGAGACCTATAGTTGTGTTTGCGCCAACTTTACCGTTGACTCCGCCCCATAAGGCTCCTGTTACTCTCCCGATGTAGTTTCCTGTTTGGATGATTAGGCTACTTCTCAGGTTCCACTCCTTTGGAAGCTGCTTGCTGAGTAGAGCGAACGTGAGAGTTGTGAGGAGGTTGAAGCCTAAGGCTACCAGTACCCAACTGATGTAGAAGCTTGAGTAGTGCACCTTCCCCGTCACTTGCGTCATCAACTGGATTAGCAGGCCAACAATTCCAACCAACGATGCAGAGAGGAATGTATGCCGTTCTTGTGTTTTCCTCACAGTGAACAAATTCACTACGAGGATCGGGAAAACTGCAAGCCCCCCTAGCGCGAAAAGAATACCGGAGGAGAATGGTGTCAACTTGAGGCCAGGTGCGTCTTTGGAATATGATGGGATGAATGCTTCCCAAGTACCGAGGACGAAGAATGCTATGGTTGCGTACCACACCATACAAGCAAGAACTGCTTGCTGGCGGGGTTGGAGCTTGCGTATAGGCGTGATTAATTCGTCCTGCCAGAATGAAGCGAATCTCAAAAGGAGGTTGCGTTTTGGATGGCCCTCGGTATCAGACTCCGGACTTTCTTGCACGATTTCTGTCTGCACATCCTCAAACACACAACTCACGACAACGAAAAATACCAACCACAACCCCATCATCAACCATCCCGGCGCCGTATACCCATTCCACCACTTCGAGTCCCCACTACTCACCCCAATCCTATATAATAAAGCCCCAGCAAATGGCCCAATCATCGTCCCAGCTGCTTGTGTGAGAACGAGCCAACTAGCGAGTGTCGCACGGCGTCGAAGACCCACCTGACGGGGATCCGTGCAGAAACGTTTGCCGAACCTGTAGCGCCCTGTCAGGACCCGTATAGAACACTTTGCCAGGGAAGCTACATCAGGTATACCTGACCGGGTCCACTCACGATGCGCCCGATGAGGATCAAGTACAACCATCCCGTGCGATCCGCGATGGCGTACAGAAACTGTCCGAGAGCCATGGCCAAACAACCAATTTTAAGTGGTCTTCCGTACCCGTTCTTACTGATACGGAGCATTGGAGCGAGGCATAGTGCTGCACAGGCCGTGGGTACACCGATGATTGCTCCGGATATGGCGTTGGTTCCTCCCAGGCTCTTCGCGTAGGTCGAGGAGGTGGGGATGACGATGAAGTAGGAGATCTAACAACTATAAGAACCGCAGTGTCGCAATGTCTTCATACGCACCTGGATCAGAAGATTGCAGATCAGTACACAAGTAAGGGAAGACCGTTTTGGCAGCTTGAAGTCATCCTCACGATCTGGGTCGACATTGGCGTCTGGAGAGATCGCGGTGTCGGTGGCCGTCAACTGTAAATGCACAGTAGGAGTGGTGACTGTTTTCATAGGCATATGACGAAAAACCTGAGCATTTTCAGAAGAGCACGGGCCGTTCGGAATACCGTATACGACATGGCCCTTGCATCGATGTGGGGTGCTGTCGGGCAATTGCAACTGCAAGGGTCAACGAGTCTACGTTACCACCTCCAAGCCAAAGATGGCAGACATCGCAGCAACCGTATCAGAGACGGTAACGCAGCCTCAAACTATCTAGGGTGTCCTTGCGATCAAGCAGGGTGCTGCTGCTACTCCAGCGGCAGCGGCAGATAAGGGCTGGTTCAGTCAGGTCACGGATAACCCGCTGTTCGGAGCTGTACGTTACCTATTGCTCCAGGTTTATGGTGGTAGAACTGACAATGTCCTGTAGGGATTCGGTTTGATGGGTCTCGGTGCTGGGTTGGCAATGGCCCGACAGGGTGCAGTAAGAGCAGCACATATGGCCCAACGCAAAATGTTGGTCACCCTCGAAATCCCATCAAAAGACAAACCATACCTCCGGTTCCTTCACTGTATGTCCCTACAACAAAAGACCGCTTCCGCGGGTCTTGGTCTCGGACGCTTACATCACCTTGCCGTCGAGACATCCTACAAACAACACGACAACGGTTCGGCACCCACCACATTCTCGCTAGTCCCTGGACCTGGCAAGTACTTCTTCAGATGGAGAGACATAGATTCAAGTTACCAGATCAAGAGACACCAAGATGGTTGATATATCTACTGGATCACCGTGGGAAGTTGTGACGCTGACAACCCTCTCCCGGGACCGCCATTTATTCACGGGACTGTTGGAAGAAGCAAAAGGTCTAGCAATGGAAATGGGCGCATTTTGAGAAGACGGTGATGTACACCTCCTGGGGTCCAGAATGGAGACCCTTCGGACAACCACGTCGGAGACGTCTTTTGGATAGTGTGGTTCTGGACAAAGGTATCAAAGAAGAGATCGTCGCGGACGTCAAAGACTTCTTGGCAAGTGGGAAGTGGTACTACGAACGCGGTATCCCATACCGAAGAGGATACCTCCTCCACGGTCCTCCAGGTTCTGGAAAGACATCGTTCATCCAGGCTCTAGCTGGGGAACTCGAATACAACATTGCTATCCTGAACCTCTCCGAACGAGGCCTAACAGACGACAAACTGAATCACCTCCTCTCCAACCTCCCGAGAGATCAATCATGCTACTCGAAGACATCGACGCCGCGTTCTCAGGCCGACAACAAACCGAAGAGTCAGGCTATGGTCGCTCAAATGTGACATTTTCCGGTTTGCTGAATGCGTTGGATGGTGTCGCATCCGCTGAGGAACGCATTATTTTCATGACGACAAACCATGCTGAAAGGTTGGATCCTGCACTTATCCGTCCAGGTCGCGTCGATATGAAGCGGTTGATTGGTACTGCTACATCGCACCAGCTCCGAGAAATGTTCATGAGGTTCTATGAAGGGAAGGAGGCTGAGGCGGATGAGTTTGTCAGACGGATTCTCGGGAGACGGGAAGGCCTGTGTCGACGGCTCAACTTCAGGGTCTTTTCGTACACAACAAGGGCGAGCCTCAAGAGAGTATTGAGATGGCGCCGTATCTGAATCGGGAGGATGGAGGATTAACGACGTAGTCATAACACGATTCGGCTCGCTGGTTCGGACGGATGAACTTTATGAGTTGCCAAAATCACGAGTGTAACCTTAGAAATCTCCTTAATGGAGAGAAAAGCGACGAGTTATGCCTTTGGTTCGGCGAGACGCCCGGTGTCGATACGTCTGCGAATACGGGAGGCGAAATTTCGAAAGGTTGTCGAGGAAGCGTGAGAAGCTTAACACAGCTTGCGAATCCCAAAACCCACGGCAGGGTATTACACATCGCACATCCTCCAGCAAAATTATCATTAGAATAAAGATAAAGTCCACTATGGTATCATAGAATATTTGTCAAAGAGACGCCAGCGCCTTGACCTCAGAAACTCACACGGTATCCCTTAGCTAATCATACTTTCCCCGTCTCACGCCCTTGCCTCGGTCTCTAAACACGATAATACTTTCTCTGCATCCGCAATGTCTCTGGATGTAACGATAGCTCCACAGAGCCACTTCAACCCTGGTGCAGAGGTGTACACCAAGCCCTCATAAGCTTTCCTCTTCAGCTGAAGATCAGCGGGCAAGTGCTTCCTGAACGTTGCATCTCGAGTTTGCCACTCTTCCTGTGCAGACCTGCTCACTGCCAGCGTGTACAACTGTCGATGGTCGATGGTAGTGGAGGTCATGGCAACTGGTGCGTAAAAGCCCTGGGTTAGAGGGTTACCGCGCAAGTCCAGCACCTGGAGATGACGAAGGTTGAGCAAAGTGTTGCAAACATCACCAGCACGCTCGAGTTCGTTGCCAACAGCGAACAAGCGGTTAAGCTTCTGCAGATCATGCAGAGCCGAGATATCCCTGATAGCATTGTATGAGATGTTCAAGACGCGCAAATTCGGTGCCATCCTTGAAAAGTTTTCAGGCAATGCAGTCAAACCAGTAGCAGCAACTTCCAGGTACTGAAGGTTGTAAAAGCCCTTGTCGAAATTAAACCGGGCAAGCTTGTTACCTGACAAGTACAGCTTCCGTACATCGTCGATATCGCGCATCTCGATCTGCAATCCCTCGCTCCTCTGATCCCTTACCGAGAGGTTCTCGAGATACTTCAACCCGTGCAATCCGTGAACATTGCTCAAGCAGTTGTCATCGAGATACAGTGTCCTCAAGTTAGGGAACATTGACGCGTCGAAGGCTTCGAGGTCATTTCCGCTAATCCTCAGTGTTCTGAGACTGCGCATGTGAGACACAACCTTCAGCTCCTTGATAAGATTCCCATCCAAACTCAAAGACATGAGCCTTTGAAGGTGCTCCAGCCCAGTCAACGACGTGATCTCGTTGCCGGAGAGATCTAGCTCCTCCAACCTCACAAACTGACCCTTGGTGAAGTGAACCTCCTTGAGCCCATTTTTACGAACATTCAGCTTCAACAGCCCATCCAAATGAGTAACCCCATCCAGAGAGGAGATCTCATTCTGGTCAATGTTGAGCTCACGCACATGATACAACGTAGCAAACCCATGCAATGTATCGATCTCATTGTTGGCAACATCCAGATATTGAAGATCCTTCAAGTAACTGAATGTAGTCAACCCAGTCAACCTGTTCCCGCTAGCCTTAAGTGCCCTGACCTCAGTCGGAACGCCCGTCAAATAACCGAGCTGATTATCGCTAACATCTAACTCCTTGACCTTCGGGCACTGCTTCTCCAACGTCATGAGACTCTCCAACTCACGACCAGACAGGTCGATCTTCCGGATACTCGCCCAGTCAGGCTTGAACGGCTCGACGTCAGTCAAAGCCTTCAACACCATCTCAGCAGCGACGGAAAAAGAACAGTCGACAGCAGAGAGAGACATAAGCGATGAATTGCCCTCATCCAGCTTCAAGTGTGACATACGTGCCAACAACGGGTTAGCAGCCAATTTCGGCTTCGGTGCAGGTTTGGCGTATGTCGACCTCGCAATGGATCCCTTCGACGACGGTGGAGTGGGCGGAATTGGCGACTGGAAGCTGTGTTCGATCATGTTGTTGCGGACACGCTCGAGGTAGTGAGGAGTCGCGAAGCTCAGTCTTTCGAGGTTCGATTTGTCCCACGAGGCAGTGTGCTCATCGTTTGGTTGCGGGTGTTCACGGATGGGAGACCACTCGGTAACATGGTTGTTGGCCCGAGCGGGGCTCAAGAAGGACATTTGCTCGTTGCGAATGGGAGAGCTGCGGACTGGCGACCACTGCTGACACTGCTCGGACCTTTCATCAGGCTGAGAGGCTGGAACAAACTCCGTGACCTCGGCGCTTTTCTCCTCCACCACCTTCACTTCGGGTGCCACAGTTTGCTCAACTTCGATGACCTCTTGTGCCTGTACAACCTCCGCAACCTTCACCTCGTGTGGCGTCACAATTACACCCTGTACCTCTCTTGCCTCCAGCTTCTCCTTCGTGGTCAACCCTTCATCAGCCGGCACGTCCTCCTCAATCACACTATCCATTGGCAAGAACTCCTTCCTCTCCCGATCCGGCGACACATCCCTCTCACTAACCAAACTCTCGATATCCCTGAACGGATCCTCATCCTCATCTTCCATTGGCTTGATCCATTTCATTTGTCTGCGGTCAAGTGTCATCTCCCCAACTCTGTCCGCAAGCATGTGTGAGGCATCGGCGGGTGTTATCACATGAATGGACTCTGCACTGCTGATGCGAGGTTGTTGTTGTGGTTGATCGCGGGGAGGTAGGATGTCGGCTGGTGGCGGAGCACGGAGATGGATAAGCGAGCGCGACCACTGTTCCTTGATAGAATCATAGTACATCCCCTCCTCACCCCTCGCGCCCGAATCCGCACTTGATGGACGTGACCTTTCGAGTTCCTCCTTGAGTGCCGCGACCTGGATAGTTCTCAAACTCCGAGAATCGGCAGGCGCAGAAGACCAATCACTAAACGCACTCGTCAATGTAGCAGAGACTTTCGTCTCCCTCTGGATCTTTGCCATTCTCTCCTCCGCTTCCTCGACTTCGTGAAAACTATCGAGAGATTCAGGCTGGTACCTTCGCCTGATGTACCCCATAACCTTCTCCGCTTGAGCCAAGAAATCTTTCGTACCCATACTACGAACTCTCTCCTGTGGCTTCTGCGGGCTATTGTTCACACTGCGAGTTCTCAATCTCTTTGGTTCGGGCTCGATCACACTGCCGCCGTTGGAACTTCCTGCTGCAGACCCAAGTTTCTCCACCATCGCACTCAGCCGCTCCTCGGTGAACGTATCAAAGTTTCCCTGGAACAGCTTCAGCGGACTCTTCTTTGGTTCCGCATTCGGTGCTCGGCCTTCAGGTGTCGCGGGACGAGTAGTTTGTGGTTTGGGAGGTGAAAAGGTAAAGTCGTAGTGTTCGTTGTTGGGGTCGAAACGGACGGTACGCTGCTTGACAGACGCGGCCGAAGGTGAGTTCTCGTCGCGTTCTGAAGGCACAAAATGCGTGATCTTTACTTCTGAAGGCATGTCAGAAATGGTCTGTCCCTTCGACGACACCGTCAACAGCGGATTCGTTACACCCTCGTCCTGCAAAATATGATCACTCCCGACCTTCCCAATCGGACTCGTACTCCCAAACACCTCCGCAAAGCCCTGGGGCTGCATCGCTTTATTCAGGGTCGAACTGGCGAACGGCGCATTAGGCGCACTACCCGGTCTCGCTTGAACAGTCGGTGGTCGAAACATACTCTCTAACGCAATCGGGCTGAAGAAATCTTTTACCGCACCGTTCTTCTTCCACTCCGGTGTCCGCATCCCTAACCTCCCAACGATGTTCTCAGGGACCTCCTCGAGGACTTTCACCGTTCCAGCGCTATCCCTAGCAGCCGCTTTCTGTGTCTCGTTACTGCGGTGCGTACTCACGCTTCCCCGATCCTCCGCCGGTGAATTCTCCCCCCGCTCACTGATCCACTCCCCCGACAAATCCGCGAGCCAATCTGGAACATATTCACGAGTCGCTGGTGTCGATACCTGTTGTGCGTGCTTGTGTGGGAGTTCTTCTGAGATGTCATCGACGATGTCTTCGAGAAATGGGTCGTCAACATGAATCGATGTGCCGTTGCCGACGGCGAAAGTGGTCATTATAGAAGCGAAAGAATGAGCCGGTTGTACTTAAAGAATGTCGATGGTTGTAAAGAGAGTGAATGCTGCTGGCCTGTCGGTTTGCCGTACGCTTCGTTGGAGGACTTGGCGGAGTCGTTGTTGTCGCGCACGTAAACAATGATCGCCGCATAGCAACGGGGACCCCACGATTATGCACGTGATCACACCGGGAGGTCCTGGGAACTTCATCCATGAAGTCATTGAAGGTGAACAGTGTGTCCTAGGTAGTGAAGCTGGTATTCGATGCTCATATCGCCTGATCATGCTTAAGACTCATCACCATACTGGTTTACCTTCTTCCTCCCCCCGAAGCCTGTACCCGCATACTTATCCTCCCCAGTCCTTGCAGAAGCCGCTCTCTCGCTCTCCAACACCTTCTCGAAATCCTCCATCCCCTTCTCCCGTGCCAAATCCTCTTCCTCGAGTTTCGCGGAGTAAGAATACGCTCCCTGTCCAAACGGCTCCGAGCCTGACTTTGACGAAGAAGAAGACGGGGAGGAGGTAGCGGCTTCTCGACGAACGCGCCCCCATGCGCTTTGCGATTGTCCAGTTTGCGCCTGACGGATCTCGTCCCATTTTGGTGTCCGTGTCGGTGGTTCTGGTTGTTGCTGTGCCCGTGCCCATGCACTCTGTGGTTGCCCTGGAGTGGGATCAACACCGTCTGCACCGTTCGCGCTGGCTAATCGTTGTTGCTCAAGTAACATCGCTTGTCGATTCATCTCCTCATCACTCAAAATCCTGCCATCATCCGCATCCGGAACTTGCTCAAACTCATTCCCATTCCCATTCCCACCTCGCACCTCCAATGGCGGAATACGACCACTTGGAGATCCGCCGACAGCTGAACTTCTTGGAGCCTTGATTCCACTCGCGATCTCCGCCTGCGTCTCATTCAACACAGATAGCAAATGCTGTTTATCAGGCAACGCACGAATAATGTTAGAGGTTTGGTATATGCCGACCATGAGACCGACTTGACCACCGGCGAACATACCGAACAAACTAGCTCCGAAAATGCGGAGCCGTGTTGTATTCTTAAGACGGCGGGCTATAGACCGCAGTGTTAGAACAAGAAAGGTAGCGAAATAGGAGGGATGCGGAACGTACTAGCGAATCCCAGAGCAATGACTCCAACAGCTGCTCCAACCTTGGTACATATGGACATAGTCGATGCGCTTTCTTCAAGAACGCGTTTCTCCTCAGGACTGAGTTTGTCCAAGCCATGCTTGAGGGTTGACTTGATGATGTCGTCTGGACTTACTCCCATGGCTGATTGATGTATGATCTGGTGTAGATCTGGTGGTGAGTTTGTGGGGATCTCGGACCAGCGTGAACCTGGGGGAGGAGAACGTCATACATGGTCAGGCACGTCACGTGCCGGAGAGGATTGGACCATGGGGAGATAATGATTCGTTACTTCAGCTGCTTTACACGTTGATAGACCAAGCGTTCGAGCTTCTCTTGATTGCCTTGACCTCATCATTCATCCGTAACGAGGTGCAGAGGCAAGCTATATCGCTCGCAATGAGAGCGCTCAAGGATGACACTCCGCACTATTACAAAGACCGCGAAGCGCCGTACTCTCGACCCTTCTGGTGGCCACAGATATTCAATATCATGACATGTCCGTCACATCGTTCTTCACTCGATTCTCCACTCCACGTGGTCAACCTTGCGGCGCCGCTGGTGCACCCGTTGCACCTCCCACAACCGCCCCACCCCTCCCTCCTCCTCTGCCGCCTCCCCTTCCCCCACGACCTCCGGGCCCAAAGCCGGCTCTCGCAAACCCTCCGCGGCCACTCTGTAAGGCCTGTAACTGTGCCTGTGCGACTAATATTGGGACGGGTGGACCACGTCCTCCTCCGATGGCTAGTCCACCTCGAGGGTTCATGCCACCACGAGCCGGAGCACGGCCACCGCGTTGTGCGACTTGAGCAGCAGGGCCCGTGGGTGGTTGTTGTACGTGTTGTTGCTGTGTACTGGCCTGAGGTTGCGTGGGAGGTTGTCGGTTCCCCTGTGCCGCACCACCGCCACCACCTCCCCTCCTTCCCCGTCCACCACCCTGCGCCTGTCCCTGTCCTCCCTGCCCACCACCACCAGCCTGAGCCGCCAGCGCATTTGGCGGCCTCCTCGCAGCTTGCATCAACGCGTTCGGCGGACCCACCCCATTCTGCGGTGGTTGCACGATCTTGGGCTGCTTCTGTGCAGGTTTCCGCGCATTCGTCGAAGGCGCGCAAGGTTGCGGGGTGGTCGTGGCGGTGTCACCGGCTGTTGCAGAAGCTGCGGCTTTCGCTGCTCGTTGTTTGGAGCGACGAGATTTGGGTGCTGTGGCGTCTCCTGTAGCGGGTTGTTGTCCAGCCTTCGCACCGTTCGTCTTGGCAGCCCCATCCCCAGCAGCAGGCGCTCCACTTTTCTTCCGTCTACTACCTTTCTCAGCCGTAGCAGCACCAACCCCACCCTCCTTCTCCTTCCTCTTCTTCTCCTTCTCCCGACTCTTCTCCTTCGCCACCTTTTTCTTCTCCTTCTGCGCCCTCAAATACTCAATCAATGGCGTAACCTTGCTCTCCTCTTCCTTCTCCACAGCCGGTACTCCACTCCCTTTCTCACTCAAACTCTCCACAAAGGCCTTAAACTCCGGGTCCTCCTCAAGTGTGTTGGAGCGGTTATCTTTCGCCCTCCCGCTGCGGGTGCGGGCGGTTTTTTGGTTGGGGGCCAGTTCGACAAGGGCACGGGATTCGCGGCCACGGGAGTCGATGAAGAGGTGCCTATGGAAGGCGGTGTGGAAGGTCGTGATGTGGGCGGGAGTGAGGAATTTGATGTAGGCGCGGCTTGAGCGAGATTGTTTGTTGGGGTTCTCGGTTAGTTTTCCGGGGATGTAGTGGAACCAGGATGTTGTTTTTTCGTTGACCCATTCGTCTGTTGCGGTTATGAAGATCTCTTCAGGAAGGTTAGGCGGGAGACGGCGTACGACCACCTTCAATTTGGGGCCAACTGGGTCTCGTGGTTTAGGCCTTGGTTTGAGTTTTTGGTCGGCAGGACCGTCTTTCTTCGTGATTGCTATCGGAGGAGCCGTCGCAGCATCAGTTGCAGCCTTGGGATCCGGCATGACAATTGCAATATATGGTGGAGTCGGGATTTACGAGATGCACGTATTCGATACGGCCGTACGTACGGCGGCCGCGGCTGTGATGCAGGTTAAGGGGAAACAGTGCGTCAATACCGTCCTGTACATAGGATAAGCTAAAGAGAAGAGAAGAATCTTCAATCAATTGATAAGGTCTCCTGAGTGATCCGTTGCCGGCCCAATCGTATCCTTGTGCAAGCTGCGCACATCGCCGTCAGCCTGCATAAGCTCACCGACCCGAACGCCGTCACAAAACAGCATTCACCCAAGATACGCCTCTCTATACTCCTCCGATCGTCGCGTTTGTTCAAGCACATTCAATTCTTCTCGCCTCCACGTCTTTGCGCATCCTCGTTTCTCCCCATTATCCACAATGGTTGCCGGTCCAGATGAATGGCTCGAGCAAATCAAGCAGTGCAAGTACGTTTTTCCTCATTGGCATCTTCACAGGCTGGGCGGCTGACGATTCGTACAGATACCTACCAGAGGCCGACCTTAAACACCTATGCGAAATGGTGAAGGAGTTGTTGATGGAAGAATCAAATATCCAACCTGTCAACTCGCCCGTAACAGTCTGTGGCGACATCCACGGTCAATTCTATGACTTGATGGAGTTGTTTCGCGTGGGTGGGCAGGTACCAGATACAAATTACATCTTCATGGTATGTTCGTCAACAGATTTATTCTAGAAAGAGATTGGCTAATCGACGTATAGGGCGATTTCGTGGATCGAGGATACTTCAGTTTGGAGACCTTTACGTTGTTGATGTGTCTAAAAGCACGGTATCCGGACCGAATAACACTCTTGCGAGGAAACCACGAATCCAGACAAATCACCCAAGTCTACGGTTTCTACGGTGCTTACCGCCCCTCTCTTCCCACTGCAGCCATACTGACAGTCATGCACAGATGAATGCAACACAAAATACGGCAACGCAAACGTCTGGAAATACTGCTGCCAAGTCTTCGACTTCCTAACCCTTGCCGCAATCATCGACGGGTCCATCCTCTGCGTCCACGGGGGTCTCTCCCCCGAAATCAAGACACTGGATCAAATCCGCGTCGTTGCGCGCGCACAGGAAATCCCACACGACGGAGCGTTTTGTGATTTAATGTGGTCTGACCCCGAAGACGTCGGTACATGGGCTGTGAGTCCCCGTGGTGCAGGGTGGTTATTCGGTGACAAGGTCACCTCACAATTCAACCACATCAATGACCTCAAGCTCATCGCTCGGGCACATCAACTCGTACAAGAAGGATACAAATACCATTTCGAGGGCAAAAATTTGGTTACAGTCTGGAGTGCACCTAATTACTGTTACCGATGTGGGAATGTGGCGAGTATTATGCAGGTGGAGGAGGGGCAGGAGGAGCCCACATTCAAGATTTTTAATGCGGTGCCGGATGATCAGAGGCAGATACCGGCGCATCGGGGTGCGAAGTCAGAGTACTTTTTGTAGGGTGGTTCACGTTTTCGATGGAAGGAAGTATGTGGGAATTGGGATGTGGGATGCAGATGGCATTATACCATAGCTTGGCGCGGAATATGAAAGGCGCAGCTTCCATTACACCTATCCTCTTCCTCGCCCTTCTTCTCTTGTTCCTTCCTCGTGATTCTTGCTTATCCGTATCATACTCACCATCCTCCTTTGATACCTCCTGATATGTAGTAGTATCAGCTGTCAGGGATCGGATACCGGTGAGAGCTCCTACAGTGGGCCGGCATAAAGACCTATGACTGTCTTGCTTAAGTCGCTAATCGCCTTGAACACTGCACCGATTGGCTCGGCCGGCGCGGTTGCACAATAGGAAACCGGTGCGCGGACCGCGAGATCGCGATGTACGCATGCAGAAACTGCTCACCGCCCAAGGAGAGCAATCCCAACAGCATCTATCATCGCGAGCTCTCCTTTGCCCTGATGTGTGTGACATTTCTGATGCCCGTGCTTGGGAGCTCTGCGTAAATTGGCAGTTGGGTTACTTTTGTGTTGAGATTTCCAGCACGACGTACAAGCGCCCCGTTTGCATTGACTTCCTCCGCCTTTCCTTACACGCAGGTCGAAAAGCACCTAAGACTTGATATTAGTAGCACAGATACAGATATGAAACCCACCAACGTTGGTACTTCTACATGCTCGGATCACAGACAAGTGGCACACAAACAACTGAAATCGTTTCCAATAGCATGTCCCCCGCCAGCAACTTATCGCGCACTGTCAAACGCTTACAACCCTCCTACAGAAAGGCTCTGCTCAAGCAGATCCCGTTGAGGTCCCCAGCCCTGATCCAGTGCGTCACTGCATGTTATTTCGTCCGGAACAGTCGTGGGAAAGACGAGACCTGAACCCAGTTTAGCATTTGTTTTCTGTTTGATTTGGCAAATTCTCAAACATCAACCATCCCCCGTGGTCTAGTGGTTATGATGCCCCCCTAGTAAGGGGGTGATCGCTGGTTCAAATCCGGCCGGGGGAATCACTTTTTTCTTGTCTCGCTGTTTGGGCAGATGCGCCAAGCTGCTCGCTTTCTATCTGACAGGCTTTCCTTTTGTGTCTCCGTGAACATGACTGCGGAGTTTCATCGCTTTCCTACGACTGCGTTACTTCCCCACCCTCAGTTAGACTGACGTCGACGCATGTACGACGCCGACTATCGATACGCGACAGCATAAACACCAGATCATAAACGTCAACCTTCCTGTCTTCAGTTTCTAGCAGGGGAAGAGTTTTCAGGATCCAGTAATCATTATTCACAGTCTAAGCTTTCAATCGGCTCCACCCTATAGTACAAACCTTCGTCCTTCTTCCCTCCGGTAATCAGCGATGGAGACCATCCGCAGCTTCTTCTTCAAGCCAACACCACAAGAACTTCACCGGAAATGGTCGACTCAGCTTCGTGCCGAGCAGCGCGCTCTCGAAAAGCAGCTCAACTCTATCTCCCTTGCTGAATCCAAGACCAAACGGCTCCTCAAGCAAACCGCCAAGACACGGCCAAGCGATGTCGTATCGCAGAAGACCTTAGCACGAGAAATCGTCAGAGCACGAAAGGAAAGCGAAAGAGTCAGTAGGAGTAAAGCCTTAGTTGGAAGCGTCCTGATGCAATTAAATGAACAAATGGGTATGTCCATAGGTTTCGTCAACTGACAAAACTTGGTTGACTGACAGTGATGGACAGCTACGTACAAAATCTCAAACAGCTTAAGATCCTCGACAAAAATCATGAAAGACGTCAACACACTCGTCTCCCTACCCCAAATATCCGCACAAATGCGCGAAATGTCGATGGAGATGACGAAGGCGGGTATTATAGATGAGATGATTGGAGATACGCTGGATGAGCTTGGTGTGGACGAGGAATTGGATGAGGAGGCTGATGAGGAAGTTGACAAGATTTTGGAAGAGGTTGTGGGTGGAAAGTTGGCCAACGCGGCGAAGGTCCCGGAGGGGAGGATTGTGGAGCCAGAACCCGTACAGGAAGAGGAAGACGAGGAGGACGTATTGGCTGGTATGAGACAGAGATTGGAAGCATTGAAAGGATAACGACAATAGTTTTTGGCTACGAGGAGCGGTTGTACGCTGAGCAAAGCATCCGTCAAATGATGAACACGAATGGAACATGAGCGGAAACATGATGAAAGAAGGCAAATAACAAAGAATGAACAACTCCCACGTTTTTAGCAAAGAGAACGCCGATTTCCAACATGATATGCATACCTAACACACCCAATTGCAGTCGCAACCCATCCGTAACTCTAAATGTGAATCAAATTGCCTTCTTTGACTCTTGCATGTGGGGAAGACTGTGCGACCTTTTTCTGCTTCTCGATGGATTTGTCTGCAAGCTGAACGACAGCATCCTCGATGTCACTACCGCTTCTCCAGACTTCGAGGACACAGCCCTGCGGGATTCTGGACCTTGCGCTTTCGAGGCGACGACGCCATGCTTCGACCTTCTTGTTTGGTGACGTCACGAGGGAGGGCTGTTCCATCGTCTTCTCGGCGGGTGAGGTAAAGAGACTCTTGGTGGACGAATAAGCCGAGTGCGCACGGCGGTACATAACCGGTCTCGGTGTCTTCGGCTGCGCCAGTCCATGTGTCGTAGACGTCTTGTCAACCGTCTCTCCAGCCGGCGTAACAGTAACTTCGCTCGCCGGCCCTGCACCAACCTCATTGATACTCTTCGCTTTCCTCGGCGGCAGCGGAGGTACATACGAACTTTCCACAGGCTCAGTATTTGCATGCACAGGCTTCCTTTCACCAGCGACCTTGTCCCTCGGAGGCAAAAGCGGTGGGATTGGCGGAGGCGGGTTCTCCAACATTTTCTTTTCCGCTGCCCTTGCGTTTGCTTCTGTCGGGTCGAATCCTATATCTCCGGGGTCGAGCATATTGTTGACATCGCTGGCACTGTCGACGTTGATATTCGGAACGCCCCCCGTACTCAATGCTGAACCCAGAACCTGATCAACTATCCCTGTACTAGACATATCACTGGAAGCCGGATTGTTCTTCGCCAAAGCAAGCATAGCCTGCGGCGTAGTAACATCCCGAACGAATATTCCAACGACTTGTCCCTGATACTCATTCGCCATCTCGACATACAACTCCAGATCCTGTTCTCCAGAATCGCCAAACAACATGAACTTCCTCCCAGGGAAGTCTTTCAGTACACCTTCCACGTTCGCGCGTTTCCTTTCTGCGGCAGGTTCCCAAATCCCCTGAAGCATACCAGAGTATTGCTTCAAATGAACGGAACCTCCCGGTAATCCACCCACACCCATGAAATCCTTCAACACAGGCCAAATCTGCCATGGCGAATTCGAGACATAGTGCAACGAAACGCCCATCTGCTCCAACTTCCCATACAAGGAACGAATACCAGGTACCTCCAACCCCTTCAAGTCTCGCACAAACGTATTCCTGAACAACTCCCTCGCACCAGCAGTCACAGCAGAATGCTTGATCGTATCATCGATATCAGAAATAATACTCACTCCATTGTCAGGCACGATCTTGCACTTGCTGGTCTGTTTCAACTCCGTGTTAACTTGATCGAAGATGCGCAACTTCAGAAGTCGTGATGATTGCACCCTCTGAATCGGCACGCGGACCTTGCCGAGGAAGTGGCCAACGTCAGAGGTGGTGAGGCTTTGCTCGTGTACCAATTTGTCCTCCTCGTCGAAAACTTTGCATGTCACTGCACGCCCAACAACAGGACGACTCATGAATGGTGCGAGACGGAATGCGAGATTGGTATGACAAGTAACCAAATCCAGATTTGGGAAGTGCTTTGCATACTTCTCGGTCGATGTTCGTTTCGGTTCTCTGGTAGGTTCTGTAGCAACTCGTCGAGGTGCGTTCTCCGCGTGTGGACTTTGGGGCTCGGAGTTCACACGCTTAGGTATGGAATGCCGGCGTGCTTCTTCAGCAGCTGCGGTACCTCGATCCTTCGCGACGTCGAACATGCCCGTCGCATCCGGCTCATTCGGTGTTGCGGCGCCCGAAGATGTCACAGACTCAGACGATAGCATTTCTTCAGGCTCATCGCTCAGTTCAATGAGATCCAGCAGCTCCCGTTCATCGCGGGGTGTGCTTGCTCCGCTGTTATTAGTGAAGTAACCTTGTGAGAGAGGTGAAGGACCAGAGCCGGATGCCGTGCTACTATCTGTCGATTTGCGTTTCGAATCAGTAGGGAGAGGCGGTAGACCGACAATTTGCCGTGCTACCGAAAGGATGATGCGGCTTTTCCGGCTTGTGCGGGCGGGAGCGTCATAGAGCCATCCATGGACGTTGATTTCGATTTCTTTACATCCTACATACATGTTAGAACGGCATTCATCGTTCCGAGCATGCTCGTACCTTCGTGACTAGGTCCACCATTCTTGATCCGTGCGTAGGAGGGAAAAACGACCATAGTTTCCTTCACCGGAATCCCACTATCCTCATCCAGCTTGCTATTATCAGACGCACTCGATACATTGACTCCAGTTTGCTCCGGAAGCTTCATAACTGCTTCCGCTACTTCGGCTGCAGCAGGAATAGCAGCAGAGGAAATTGGTCGTTTGCTGATGTAATTCAGGACTTTCTGTTTGTACCTCGAGGCTGATGAAGAACCCATCGAAGGTAATGGCGAGCCGGAAGACTCAGAGACTCCAGGCAGTGCCGGCGAAGACGGTCTCGTTGACCCAGGAGTCGAGGATGGCCTCGAGGAAGCAAAGGACCGGAACGATGGAACGGTAGGCATGCTGGCAAGATGCCGCGGTGGCAGTATACGGGTAGCCAGAGCTCTGAATGCTATATAGCTACTGTCAAGATACCGTCCTGTCGTCTTTTTCAGTTGGCACTGGACGATCTGTTATGGGTGGTCCCTACCGCGGCCGTATGCAACCTGAGCTCAACGCTGCTTTGTGACGTCGGGGCGTGGGCCTAAACACCAGAGTGCGGACTTGGACGGAGATCAACGCCAAAAATAGAAGTGAATTCGATGAGAAATGCGATGGAAATCATGCGGTTTCACGAGTGTTCAACCGCGGATAACCACAAAACGGAGATTCCCCCGGCCGGATTTGAACCAGCGATCACCCCCTTACTAGGGGGGCATCATAACCACTAGACCACGGGGGATGGTTGATGTTTTCGAAACGGACAGACAAAATACAATGAGTTGCGACGGGACCCCCCTCTGACTAACGCGACGTACGAGCCAACCCAGCACGGACCCAGACAACAAGCAAGAATGACCCCCCTCCCCCTCCACCTCCGCCTCAAAACGCAATACTCTGACTTCACTCCTCTAACAGCTCCAGACTTTGCTCCATCAAACCACGCAAACTCACTGATCTTGGCAACACACGATGCATCAGACACCACCATCGATCTCTCCGTACCCCTCAAGAAGGCCGAGTTTATGATCGAGGAAGTTGAGAGCATGCTTCGCGACCAGGTATCTCCCTGCTACTTAACTGACAGCTTGCGTCGCGATCGTGTCGGCTGACTGTGACGGGAAATACAGGTCGACACGCACTACTCCGAACTCATCGACGGCGCACGCGCCAATGCCTCACTTCTAGCTCCCGCAAAATCGCTCTCTACACCCCTCGAAACACTTCAATCAACACATACCCGTCTCCGCGATCGCGTCCATGCCTCATACGACAAAGCTGCGCCGCTCCTCGACGAAACGAGACGGTTACAAGAAATCGTCGTCGCGATGCGGGTCCTCGTGAGGTATCTCTACCTCGCACGACGAATCGAGGGAGTAAAAGTCGGGGAGAGTGGAGTCGAGGGCGACAGTGGGGTACAAGTCGCAATGACCGTATCCGAACTGAGTACGTCGGCCCCCACACCCCAAACAACCACATGAACGCCAAGCTAACACAGAAAACACCCATAGACCACCTCCTCCGCACTCACCCAATCCTCCCAACCCTCCTCCCAATAACACACCACACCCCCCACCTCCACACCCTCCACCACGCCCTCCTCACAAACTCCACCCGCACCCTCCGCACACCCTCAACCCCTCCCGCTCTCATCCACTCCAACCTCCACATCCTCAAAATCCTCGCGCCGCAGGCACATGTGGAGCAGAGTGTGTTGACCGCGTTGGATGCGTATGTCGCGTTTGGGGTTCGGGAGTTTGCGGGCGGCTTGGACGGGGCACGGAGAGCGGGTAGTGACGCTGCGATACTCAGGGCTATCACGACAGCGATCCAATCCCTCCGCCCCCCAGCCCAACTAGCAGAATCCCTATCCACGGCAACCACATCCCTCTCCATCTCGGTCGCGGCATTATCGGGTGTTTCGCCTATTTCGTATTTCTGGCGTGAGGCGGGAGGGGAGTGTGGTGTGAAATTGAGGGAGATGGTGAGAAGTCATGCCGGGGTGAGGGGTGTTATGACGGGGGTTAGGGGGAGGGGGGAGGTTGAGAGGGTTGTTGGGGAGGTTGTTGGGTGGGGGGATGAGAGGGGGAGGGAGAGGGCGGTTGTGGCGGGGTGGTTGAGTGGGAGATAGGATATGCACTATCATTATTACTATTACGTACCGCACTGTACCGAATAACGATCATCCCGATCATAGCTACTAAAGCATAAGCACGTCTCAAGGCAAACACGCATCTAACACCTTCTTGAGGTATTTCCCCTCAAGAAACTCTGGTACATTCTTCAGCCCCTCCAGCCCTCCACTCTCCTGACACAATCCACGCAAGCATACAAACATCTCCCTCGTAGCATCCCCGACGTATTCCCCCGCGTCTGCTTCGTTCTTGAAAGTGGCCATGGCCTCTGATATCACCGACTTTAGTTCAGAAAGTCGTGACTGTACTTGTAAACTCTTCCTGCTGATATCAATCGTAGGAGGTTCCTCATCCGGAATCGAGATGTCGACATGAAGTAGTAACAAACTGGACAACGCATTCACCAACATGCTTTCGTCATGTCGCGACGAAGCTTGTAAAATCTGTCTGATCGTGCCAAGAGCTTGTTGAGTGAACCCCGGCAGCAATTCTCCGTATCGTGTTTCCACTGCTGTCTGAATATGAGTGATTTTCTCCTCCAACATCACCCTTTGCTCAACCGCCCTCACACACGCATACATATGTGCCGTAAATATCTCTTTCGCTGCCGTCAAAGCCTCAGTAGTAGTGCGGATAGATTGTTGAACGAGTGTATCGAGTTTGTTGATTTCCCCGTTTTGCATGTGGGAGAGTAACGGCGCAGAGAGCAACTCAAGCTTCGCCATCGTCCCCTCTGCTTGATGCTGGTCCGAGATACCCGCCTCAGGACTGTGCGGCAATCCCTTATTCATCGAATCGGTCATGATCTCCGTCAATTGCGCCATCGCTAACCGGCAAAGTGCCTGCACACAAGCTCTCACGCCATCAAGCGCGCAAATCCTCGCGATGTCAGAGGCATCGGGATCACTGAAAACTCCAATCACAATCTCTAATGCCTCCATCTGCGGTCCGATCCATTGTGGTGCTGTACGGAGTGCGTAGCGGTCTTGCTTGAGTTCCCTCGGTCCACTTAGGCCGCGATCACCCAAGCTCAAGTCCGCGTCCGGCGTGTGCTGGTGGATGAGGCGAGAACTTTTCAACAAACGGGTGAGATTGGCGCCGACGCGGATTTGGCCTGGATGAGGACGTAGGGCGTGTACTTTTGGGTCGTAAGACTCAATGGTGCCGAGGAGGGCTTCGGCTGCCAGTGCAGTAGATATTTGAGAGATCTTCAGAAGATTAGCGGAAGAAGCCGCAATTTCGTCATGGGCGGACACATCAGGAGAAGGAAGACGTCCGCTAGGGGTATGGCCGTTCGTTGAGCCATTAGTATATGATGGTGCCGTCGATACAGCTGCAGCAATCACCTCAGCGATTTCGACCGCCAATCTTCCGTGCTTCGGTGCCAATTCGCGGACGATAATGTCAACTACAGCACCATGAGGGATCTCGCTGTGACCGAACTCATGGGTATCAACCTCCAGATCATCACGGATGTGGGTGTAAATTCTAGCGAGAAGAGGCTGAATAACAGGGGACAACGGTATCGACCCATTCGCTTCAGATCTCTTGAGTGACGACCACATATGCTCCAATACTGCCGCAGTGTTCTTCTTCCAGGTGCCTTGGAGTAGCTCGTGAATGTGTTCAGCATTAGAGGAAGTTTGGATAAGGTGAGGCACAATACTCGCGGCGATGTGTTCCATCCTCATTCGCACATCCATAGTCTTTGTAGCCTCATATTGCAGGATAAAGGTCTTCTCAAGCTGAGCAGATACTGCGGGATGCGTTTCGAAGCAGCGACTGGCCCTATCTACAACGAACTCCGAAGCCGCAGTGAGGAACAACTTGCGTTTCTTCGCGAGATCAAGGGCTTGACATGCCTCAAGCAGCACATAACCCACCATGATCTTGACCAACTTCGTCATCTCCCTCGCCTTCCTCGCAGCAACAAGAGCCATCGAATTGACACTCTGGTTATCCAACTCCGCCGACCGGATATGGCTTGAAACGTCTCCAGAAGCAAGAGACTGGATCTCACTCAGCAACGCACACATCGCAATATCAACACCCTTCATTCCAAAATCTCGGCTGGGGTCACCCCATGCAAGATTTGGGGTGAGCCCACTGATGTCGTGGTTAACCATCGAAGCGTGTAATGCGTAAAGCAGCTCGGCGAGGAGGACGAGGGTGGTGGCGAGGGAGGAAACGGCACGAGTCACGGCCATCGCTTGGAAGTTCCCACCGTGGAGGGTCGTGTTGCTTTGGGGATGGAAGAGGGGATTGTCCGTAACGGAGTTGAGTTCGATGGTTAGGGTTGCCATAGCTGTGTTGAGATGATGCAGAGCAGCCGTGAGAAACGAGGACACTGTTGCTAGTGAGACCTTCTCGCGCCCGTTGCGGGGGTATCCTCCCGTGATCTCCTTGCGCAACTCTCTCCAACTAGCAGGAGAAAGCAACAATACCTTGAATACACCCTCTATGTCCTTATTTCCGCACACCGTGGCCGATGGCTCACCGGCAAATTCAGATCCGACGGCTTCCATCACGAGTGCACTTGCGATGGTGGCAGCAGCAAGCAGACTGTCAACCTCTACGGAAACATTACTCGCAACACCAGCGCCAACACTCGTCCCATTGACAATAGCAAGGCCTTCCTTCGGACTCAGCGTCAAGGGCCCAGCATTCAACGCCGCCAAAGCGTCTGAGGAAGGCACCGGATCCGACTTCCCACGGACATCACAGAACGAGCCATTCTTCCCAGTCAGAGCAGCAGCGATGTAGCTCAGCGGGATAAGATCACCACTTGCTGAGATAGAGCCTCGAAGGGGGATGACAGGCGTAACCCCGGCATTGAGCATTGTCTCCATCACCTGAACTGTCGACCAACGGACCGCACTAGCGCCATGAAGAGCGGACGAGACGCGAATGCACATTGCTGCTCTGACGTCCGCTGCATCCAACTTCCCACCCTCCAATGCGCCGACATTAAGGTGCCTAATAAGCGACGCCTGTAGACCCCATGTATCCTTCGTCCTCGTATCTGCACTACCACCGAACCCAGTGTTCACGCCGTAGATGACTTCGCCCTTGGCAAGTTGCTCCTCCAGCCATTGGGCACAGTTGTCAACAGGGGCCTTCGTGTGCGGCGACAGAGAGACGCGAACACCCGAGTGGGCAACATCGTATAAGACGCCAGGAGAGAGCGAATTGCCATCCAGTACAACATTGCGGTCTCCGTTCTCAAGGCCAGGTGACTTGAGCCTGGCTGCAAATTCTGCGAGTAGTGTCGAGTTCGGCATGGTTCAAGAACAATTGACGGGCAATGAACGACGCGTCCACGCCCTTAAATACACGACAATACAAACTCGTGACTCAACCATCGCTCTCGTGCCGCTTTTTCCATACGTATGCGTGCGCGTGCTCAGGTTATCCTGTGACCATACACTTTGTACTGTACTGAACAACGGTGCGCGATTGGCGGACCGTGCGCGTAGACGAACCTTGAGACATCGACAATCAAGAATCCGCATCCACATCCTGTTTTTTGAGAAGGAACGAACGGTCAATGTCTTTCTAAGAAGGTATATGTGTATTTATACATCATCCCAGACAAGAAAATTCAAGACTCCATATCTAAATCCAGAAACGCCCGATCGCTAAAAGGCGGGTACCATTCAAACCCGCTGTAAGTGCCCGTGTTGATCGACATATTCTCCTCAAGTTCTTCACTGCAAGCTAGGGTCAATCGCGTGCACCGGAAGATGACCCTCCTGATGCACCTCCTCCACCTGCTGCTCATGGTGGTGAACGTACTCCTCGGGGTGATGCACTTCACCACCCTGCACTTCATGATGTCCATGTTCTTGATGCATCACCTCCACATGCGCAACAGGCTCATGTACCTCCTGCGCAGCAGCCTGCAACGCCGGATCCATATTCTCCAGGTTGTATTTATCACCTTCATCACCACCAACACCCAATTGCTGGTGATGATGCGTATAATCCACGTAGGGATGCTCGAAACCGTGCATAACCTGTCCATCCACGCCAAAGTTCATCTGCATGTCTTGCGTAGGGTCGTGGTGGTACTGCATGTTAGGGTCGTATTGATGGTTAGGATCCAGTTGCTGGGCATACTCTTGCACCGCTTGCAATTGAATTGCGTCGCCTTGCTGTTCGAGTTGCTGTTGTTGAGTAGGCTCGTGTGGCATGAGGTTATGATCAAGTGCTGCCGGTTGTCCATGACCCTCGACACCAGGTTGACCGTTCATATGCTGCACAGCATGCCCATGTGCAAGATCCTCCGCCTTCGTAGAAACATACTCCCCATTGCCGCCAACTGGAGCAACCAGATCCTCTTCCTTCGCGTCCTGCGCATCCCTAACATCCTGTGCCTCCTGCGCAGCTTCCTCCGCCGCCTCGCCCTCTTGTCCGGCTTTCCCTTTACCCTTCGCTTTCTTCTCTTTCTTCGGCGCAGGACTTCCTTCCACACCCTCACCCTCCTCCGCTTCCAAGCTTTCCCCACGTCCTCGTTTCAGATCACCAGTGACGCACTTCAAGTAATGTGGGACTTCGAAGTTGTTCTTGAGGAACCAGAGCTTCAGGTTACGCGCCTTATCCTTCAACTGAACCTGCGTTCTGTCCTTCAACGCCTCGGAGATCGACCCACCAGGCCCATACAACGCCAAAATCTGACTCCAGTGCGGTCCCTTCAACGCATCCAAACCAGCAAACAACGCATCTTCCTCCTCTTTCGACCAATGTCTTCGCTGCGTCGGCTTACCACGTCTAGTCGGGTTCGGCCGTGCAGCAGCGCGAGCACGTTCATACTGCTGCTGCGTACTAAGAGTGGGGTCGATCTTGTGGAGCGCGACAGGCTGTTCGGGAGCTGGCGTCGATGCCGGCTTGATAGGTGTTGGAGGAGCAGGAGTACCTGCTTGCGGCATACCGGGAGCAGGAGTGTGCGCCATAGGAGTACCAGGAGCTTCCATTGGCCTTGACATTTGCTGCTGTAATTGAACCGGCAGAGCAGCTGGGGGTGGTGCAGGTGTAGCTGCCGGCGTCGCTTCGTGAGAAACGAGCTGAGACTGAACTGGCATCTGTTGCTGCTGCTGGTGTTCCCCTGGAAAGGGCAGCCGAACTTGCATTTGAGCATGCTCTTCTTGTGGTTGAGGATGATGAAGGGGTTCGGGATGGGGATGTCCTTGTTCTGGTGCGGGAGGTGGAGGTACGGCTTGCGGAGTAGGCTCCTGCACCTGAACGTGGGGGTGAGCGGGCTCGGGTTGCACCTGCTGCTCAGGAGCTTGTACAACATGTGGCTGCGGTGTAGGTTCCACAGTGGCTTGCTGCACTTGTGGTTCGCCATGCCCTGACGGCGGCGGCATGCTTTGTTCAGGCTGCGGCTGAGGTTGAACATGGTTGTCAACAGTCTGTTGCTCAACTTGCTGATACTGCTGCTGCTCCTGAGGCGGCACACTCGGCTGATGCTGCCCCTCGGAAATTGCAGAAACAACAGACAACGTCGTCGCTGCCGTCTGCTCATGGACGAACATGGGCGGCGGAGGTACGACGTGTTGCTGAACGGCTGCCTGTAAATGTTGGTGCTGTACCAAGTGCGGCAGTGGGAGCTGGTACTGGATGTTCGGGTCTTGCGCAAGCTGGACATGCTGGACCTGGTATTGGTGTAGAGCGGGTTCGTGGTGAACCACCGGCACTCCAACAACAGTACCGTCCGCACCTTGCCAATGATGTTGGGCTGGGTATCCTGGAATAACCTGAACCCTTCGACTCGGCTTCGGCATCTGCGGCTCTTTCGCCGTCCCGTTCATCCCTGCTCGCCTCTTACGACCGCCCACACCAACAATAGATTCGTGATTCTTGGCAACATATTCGGCGACATCCTTCAAAAAGCCCTGCCATACATATTTCTCACCGAGGACAGCAAGGCCTTCCGGTGATGTAGTCTGCTCAAGAACTTCGCGGCGTTGCTGCGCCTTATTGATGAAGTCGGTCTCCGATTGCGACAAATTCTTGGACGAATGGGGATGTCGGGCAACCAAGAGCTGAGGGAGAATACTAGGGAACAATTCCTCAATGATCTCGTGCTGAGGTCGCTCGGCTTGCGTCATCGCACTAATATACGCCTGAGTCTTCAAATCCAGGAATAGCTGTCCCTGAGGCTTCAACAACCTCCCACCGTCCGGAACAAACACATCCAAGAAATGCTCATTCAAATGAAAGAACCCAACCTCCGTACTGCCGAACACACTACTAACGAAAGTCGCCAGATTGGTTTTTCTCACGACACCCCGCTGCTCAGGATCAATCAATCCAAGAAGATCAGCATTGAAGAAAGCTTCCTCGGAGTATAGCTTCTTCAATGACGTAAAAGCAGACACGAGAACGCGATATGCTTGCGAGTCTAACGTGTCGAGTCGAGTCACGATGTTGAGCGTCTCCTGATACGGCCCCTTAGCCAATACCCCCAGTATTCGTGTAGCGAGCGCATCCATGACATCCAAGTTCTCGATCCTTAACGCGATAGCGACAGAGAAATCGGGCAGTGAGAAGTCCGGCGGATGTAATGTCAAGCCCAAGAGCCGACTCGGATCCGCATGTCCCTGGGCAGGATCAAAGGGAATATGTACATCCCCATGCGAGGTCAGGTCTGGCATTGTATGCTCAGCATTTCCGTGTTGTAGAACCTCATGACCAGCATTATGGCTCTCCAAGCTCCGTGCGAAAGCTTCGTGATCCATAGTGTCAAGGTCGAGATGCTGCTTCTTGCCATCCGGCTCTCCGTCCCCACTTCCGTCAGGTATAGGGAAACCGAGATCAGCATGATCAGCACCTGTTCCTTCCGCTTGTTGCGATTGCGACATCTCGTCACGACTTCGCTTCCGGGAAGGGTCTACGGATGTTGGAGGTGTGTGTTGTTGCTCGGGTTGCTGATCCGGCGGAATTGACTCCCCAAACTCCGGTATCGAGAACGGCGTACCGTCCACACCTTCCTCAACTTCCGACACATGCCCATCCCGTCCCTCTCCTCCGTCAGGTTGTTGTTCACTTCCATTGTCCAATCCCGCGACGGCATGCTCGACGTGGTGCAGAGGCAGCAGGCCATGCTGATTGCTCGAGGGATCTGCTACGGCACCGTCTGAAGGAATGAATAAGGTTTGTGTATCGCATGGGGGGAGTATTAGGGCTTACCCATGCCTTATCGGCTTATCGTAGGGTCTGTGTGGAGGGTTAGACCTAGGGCACGGTGCCGGTGGTGGTGGAAACTTTCGCACGTGACGCGGGATTGGGCTCGACTTCCTTCAACTCAGAGTATGTTTGGCAAAGGCATGATATTAGATAACCAAGTACTTTAATCATAAGTTCATTATTACCGATGCTTCAACCAGGGACGCCTAGGGACGATTCCCAGGCTTAACCCTCCTCCTCTCCTCCACGGCCATCTCACATTCTCGAAATCTCTTTTCCCTTGATCACTTCCTCAGTCTTCTTCGTGCGCGTCCTGGTGTATCGTTCCAGCTCGGGCTCCTTGGACGACTTCTTGGTCTGGGGCTGCTCGATGTCCCTGTTCTCCGCCTTTCTCTTCGAAGGCACAGATCCTTCCGGTTCATCTTGTTTCGCCGAGCTCTTGCCCTTCTTGCCCTTCCCCGACACCTTGGAATCAACTTCACGCGCAGGACTAGCATCTAGTGAAACGGTTGCACTAACTTCCTCCTCCTTTTTCCCAGCTTCCTTCTGGACCACCTTTCCAAGCTCTTTCACATATTCCCTCACTTCCTGGCTCGCTTTTCTCTTTATTGGGCTTGTCATCAGTATCCCCACCCTCCTCAGATTTCAAATCCTCGCTTTCCTCATCCATCTCGTCGTGCTCCACATACTCTCTCGCCAAATCCTCAGCCACTGCCCCATCTCGTGCAACCTCAAGCGCCGTCCACATCCCGGCCATAACCGACGCAGGCAACACCGGCCTTCTTAGGCAGGAATTGGGTTTGTGCAGGTCAAGCAGCGCAGGTAGGAGTCGGCGAATTCTTGCGGAGCGGTCGTGGGTAATTCGGCCGGTCCAATCGGGAACGGCCTTAGTTAGGTCAGCTGGGACCACGGCGTCAACATGATAGGCTGTTCTGGTCGGTGACGACATCGACCTCGTCGAATTTGAACGTCGGCTTCACGTGAGCTACGGACCTGAAGAGTGGTTCAAGGGGCGATTCGGGAAAACGGGCGCTTGACATCGACATAAAACTCTCCATAGTATTTGTCGAGGTGGAGGGCCTCCGGCGTGCCGTTTAACTTGTAGATCGGCGCGAATCCTTGACAACGTGATCAGTTGGCGATTGTCTTATGCTGTCATCCATGGACGTACCTGGAACACAGATCGTAGGATATTCCTGGTCACAACTCACTTCTTCAATCCAATTGTACGACCCTACAACTGTACAGTCCTCTCGACTTTGACTGAACCAGCGGCGAGCTCAAACTCTCGATGTCGGCCCACGACTTCATCATTTAGCCATGGACATTGGTCACTTTCTCTCGTTGTGCCAAGTTCACCAGGTTGCTCAAATCGGGGACAGAGGCAGCAGTTTTCTCAAACTTGAGATTTCTTCCGTGTCTGGTGGATTGTCGAATCCTCGCCCTGTTTACTTCTTCGTTGTGAGACATAGTGTGTTCTTATGGGTTTCAATGTTGTCGAAATGGTCGCTGGATCAAAGGTGCGATGGTGAATTGACCTTCCAGAGGTCCGTCTGGCCAAGGCTGATGACCCATGTCCATGACAATCCCGCCTTCACCAGTCACGAGCACACCTGCACTTGCTTCTCATGGTGTTCAAACCGTGCACGCTAGTCCGTTCTAGGTAACTCCCCGGTCTTTATGAGCCAGTCATTTCTCATACAAACAGCGTATCAGGCTCCTCTAGGGCAGTGGTTAACCTATGAGGCGAGATGACATGCCATATGCAGAATGTCTATAGGTCCGGGACTTCCACTGGTTCCGAACCGACCCCCATCTTTTGTTTTTTCGTTTTTTCGTTTTTCGAAAAAGCAGTCAGGCTTCGTGTAGGAGACCAGGAGATGCTGATGGTGGTCGAAGCCTATATATAACAGCGTTGCAAGACTGGGAGTTGTAGGTGTCGCCGATTCGTTGCCGACGGACACCTGCTTTCCAGCAGGTGTATCCATATGAGTGATGCTTGACACAGCCGTGTAGTTGGAGCAGCGAGGGTGAGTTACAAGGTAAGAACTACAACTACTGGATCAACACCGTTCGGGTCAGTCTAATTGGGCTCCAAATGCCTCAAATATAAAACTTGATGATGAGATTCAATTGACATGACGGCTTCACGACAACCCGTGGGATTCTCAAGCTCGTATGGGTGGTTGGAAAGGTCGATAAGGTAAGAGGGAGCAAGCCGGTACAGAATCGAACCATGGAGAGTACTAGTATTGCCTAACAGTCTGTCACAGCGACAATGAATCCAGGTTTCTGCTTCTGTCACCGGCACCGTTGTTCCGCATGTCCGGTGTCGATATCAACGAAAGCTTCATGGCTCTGAATCCCGGATACCAGCAGGCCGAGCTACACCAACGAATCGTCTCTATCTTAACGGATCACCCATCTTCTTGTCTACCTCAGTGCAGGTTGCGTCAATTCAACTGGTGTATTCGTAACTCGCCCTGGACGCAGCTGCACGGAAGCTGTAGGGGCTGGATTAGATCGTCTTGAGGACCATCTTCCTCGCTTCACGGCGCTACAAATATGTTTGTGTGGTATGGCATTTCGTCAACATTGAGTATCAATTATGGAATCTAATATCATGTAAACACCTTTCAGAGTTCCCGGCGTCGCTCATTCATTTTGCCATAACCATACATTCTTGCGCCGGCCCAAATGAGTACGCTAGTGTCCTTTAGGTATACGTAACTGTCCGTTTCTGCCCCAACAATCAAGGTGGAAGCTGTGTGCCATGTCCACCTTCTATATTGCGGCGGAATGAAGCATGGACTAAAGTTATCATACCCCGAAAAGGGTGTTGTACCACGTAAGTCGCTCGCAACCATTAGATCTGCCGTTGGTTCGAGTTGCGATACGCACTTTTGGTTTCGTGCGTTTTAGAGGCTTGTGATTAAGTGATAGATGTTCAACTTGGAATAAAGAAAGGATAATGATCATTAAAAAGAACATCCTTGATTTTGGACATTGAAACCTTGTTTGTTTCCCGTACCACTTGCAGCGAGTGGTAAACGTTCCGTTCGAGCGGAACGCCAAACATAAACCATCATCAACCTTCTCCTCCACAACCTTCTCACTTTCTCCAGACCTCTTTTTTCCCCCTTTCCTCCCATTCATGAACCTCACGATTGTTCTTAAAACGGGTCATCTTCACGGTTCTGGTGCACTGCTTCTCCTCGATCTTATCATCGTCATCGTCCCCTGTCTTTGCCTTCTTGCTCTCCGGGGCTTCTTCGTCGGCCTCACCCTCAGCTTTCCTCTTTGACGGGGTTCGCGAATTGGATTTGCCTCCCGAAGATGTTACAGGCTCGTTCGCCACCTTCGTCTGCTGAGGTTTTGGCGTCCCAGAACAAGGAACCTTGTTAGTTTTGTCGGTGGAGACGTCTACTTCCGTCGCCTTCCCATTCTTCTTGTCTTCTGGCTTGGAGGGAGTTTCCAACATCCTTGCCACTAAAGACCCGGGAAGCGCTGCCCGCCTATCCCGTCCCATCGGGTGTAGCTGAATCCCTGCCTTCAAATCGCCAATCAGTACGGTCTTGCTGACTCCCCTCTTGGCCATCACTTTCCTAATTGCGCCGAAGAAGTTGCGTAACTGCGACCCAATCACCGGATCAATGAAGTCCATCGCACTGAAATGATGTTCGTCAATCCTCTGAATATCAGCCATAAAGTTCTCCCCCATGCGACTTGATAGATGTCTCGCACAATAGCCGGTGGGGACTCGACCCAGCACGCATTGCAGTGTGTCTCTCGCTTCCCAAGGGTTTCTATCGTAAAAGCACTTTAACTCGGCAACACGACTTTGCTGAGGAATAGCATTGTCCGATGCTAGGCACTGAAGAGTCGTGCCTTCAAATCCAAGGGCGGTGGTCGTGGGTAAGATAGGAGTGGTGTCAGGAACGTTTGGATCAGGGTTGACAGCATCCACTTCGGTGCGGACCACCATCTTGAGGCCGCCGCAATTGTACGTGATAACCCGGTGATATGATTCCGCTTCAGGCAACCCTCGTGTAACACGCTTCTCGAAAGCGTGACCATATCCCTTTCCAGCGCCAGTGACCCTGCCGTCCCATCGTTCACACAACAGCGTCCGTCCTACTAGCTCAATGTAGATGCGATATTTTCGATGATTCTTGTTTGGGCTGAGTATTTTTTGCAGATTATTACGATGGGTAACAACATCCACCTGATCGAACCTAAATGCAGGTGTACATTGGGCAACTGACCGGAACAGTGGCTCCAGGGGTGATAACGAAGAATGCGCTCGGTTGATATCAACGTGATGCTCTTCCTTGTCGTCTTTTGGCAGGAACCGCAATTCCTGTGGCGTCTTTCGATGATATATCGGGGCGAAGCTTAGCGTATAATTGTTAGCGTATTTCTCGTACCAAAACACATGCGCAAATTCACCGGGAACGCAGATTGTTGGAGCTTCGTTATACCACTTAGACTTCTCGAACCAGTTGTACGACCCTAGAACTGTGCAATCATTCTCCGTATCCGGCTCCGGTTCAATGTCTGGCGTATGCGAGCTTGCAATGCTGGACCACGATTTCATGACAGGGCCAGCAACAGTATTGGACAGCCCTTCCCTCGCAGCCAGATTGATCGCAGCTGGGGCGGCTGTGCTGCCTGCGGACGACACAGAAGCAGTCGCCCCAGTCCTACTAGCGTGATTCTGCGTCTGCCGTCTGCAATCTCGCTTGTTCTGGCGAACACCTTGGCTGGTTCCGGCACCATCAGCAGCATTCTTATTTCCAGGGTTGTTGGGCGGCTTTTCGCCATTTCCCCCGGCAATAGTAGTCATGATTCAAAACCAATTTTGCTGTGAGAGTTGGAATGCTGAATTTAAAGGACGGATCAATTGCAACTGCTTTTTTTTGAGGTGACAAATTTATCGACGTTACACCCCGCACGCTGGCCTACGCCCCACGTAAATGTACACATGTTAAGGCTGTGTCGGTCAGATGCTCTCTGCGAAGGTAACTTTCCGGCCCTACCATTCAAGAAAATAAGTAAGTGCAGTGACCCAACTCTCTGGTGCAGCGTGACCAACGCCAGGGATGACATCTGGCTATAAACAACCCACGCTAGACTGCCGCTGGTCAACGTTCGAGTTGCGTAGGGCACATTTTGTTTTCGCGTTGTTTCGGAAAACGTGATTTGGAAACATACGCGATATTCGATAAGTAATAGCATTCTTTAGAGGGGTGACTGAGGTTGCACCTGGGATTTTTCTGCTTTGGAACGTGACTTTGACGTCGCTGTCACAAAAGGACGTGGTCGATTGCGACCACAACGCCAGTCCTAGCCCCGTGAAAACCATTCCCGTCGAACTTCTCCTCGCGAGCTGGATATGATGAAACAAGATTTGGAGCAGTTCCTCGTGTTCCTCTTGAATCATGATATCTGATTCACGCGCTCACTGCTTCATGTGCTACCCTGCATGTATATATTTGAGCGGTGTTTGACACTCACAAACGAATCTTGTGGTTGAATGGCTTTGATCTCCAAACAAAGCGTTTTGAATGATGTTGGCATGCTTTCTATTGATATTGAGGCTGGTTCTCCAATTTTTCGATGTCCAAATCCATTTCTATCCGGTTCGCAGAAGTAATGCTCGCTTTATATGGCCGTACCAAAGACACGCCGTCAGCAATGTCAATCGCGGACTCGTCCTCCTGGACTGTACGTTGTCATGACCCGACTCTCGAACACGATTTCGTGCACTTTCTAACTCTACGACCCTTCTGATGCAATCTCAGGATTCACACTTCTGCCGCTTCCTACTCCAGCAATGGGCCGCGTCTGGAAAACAAGTGATACCGTCCAATTGCACATGGTGGTCCGGGGGTAATGATCATTACGAGGTCAGCCGTACTGTAGTTGATGCATCGGCGCATATGTGACTTCACATCTCTTCAGTTTCTTGAGATTTTTCGAGGTTGTTTTCGCGAGAACCGTCCATTTGACGGCGAGGTCGTGGGAACATATATTGCAAATCACACTAGCACTAAGCCTACGCCGATGATGACCTGCAGCCCTTCCTCAAGAAAGCACTGTTTCTGGACGATGCTCAAAATTACGGAAAGGGCTTGTACACGAACATTTCCGGTTTGACGAGCAGTCTTGGGGCTTGGAGCTTGGAGCATGTGGAACGGAAGGACGTGTGGAGTGAGTAGTTTCTTGGCCGATGCCACAGGAACCTGTAGCTGTCAGAAAGGGTTCAACCACGAGATTGTACCGGCTAGGGATATCTCGTCCATGGTCAAGGCAGCTACTCGGAAGAAATCGGGGTTGATGCCATGCATCCCAAACCTCCGATACCCACCCAGCTGATGCTAAGTGCCGATAACGTTAAGACTTGGCGCGCTGTCCAAGAGCACGATTGTTGGGGAGCTCAAGGCTAACACATCAGCACATCCTAAGGACCACGTCAACATATTTAAGGATCAACGACCACCACCAGCTGCGGCCCAGCTCTGAGCCGTCACCTTGACAAACCTGCCGAGGGCTACCAAGATCTCTCACTCTCCCCATACCCAAACATTGAAAGGACCGATCCGAAGGTTGAGGTCGTGAATTGAAGTTGATATGAGGTCATGGTGCGGTACTGCTTGCCGAGCGCTTCGTACCCGGGCTTTCCGCTGCGGGCCGAGCGGTAACGGCGGGTTAAGACGGTTGTGATCTGCTCATATTGCTGATAAGTCTGCCGTTGAGCAAGCTTTGAGGTCTTGGAGGAATGAGTGACCAGTGGTGAGCCGCGAGTGTCGAGGAGAGGAGATGACCTTCACATGCCAAGTTTATGATCAGCCAAGGCGGGGCACTCGTTGGCCGAGCCGTGTGAGCCGCGTTTATAAGGTTGAGGAAGAAGCGGCAGGAGATCAGGCAAGGCAATCCATGGCATTTGGACGCTGCCCTTGACACCTTCCCTCTCAGAACTTCCTCGCAGAATTCACGTCATCACACATCCCTCAACGTCGTCGCTATTTTAAGCAACAAGCACCTCCGACACCCAATCTCGGCAATTCGCAGCAAGCGGTCCATCCACCCTCTACTGTTCGCCCAGGAATGTAAATCGATGCAAGCCAAAACCACAACCACAAACAGGCGGATATTGAGTTATGTCAGTGCCGTCCCACTTGGTCGTGAATAGAGTGCCGAGCCACGCGGCACGGGCCTCTCGGGTAACGCAACATCAAGAGGGCCCTTGGGTCACAAGCATCTTCGAGTCGAGGTATTTCGAGTGATTGGGCGTCATTTGGAGCAGGTTTTGGACGAGTTTAAAGGTTCTTGAGGTGAAGGTCAATTACACTTCCTAATCCGGTAACAGTCAGAACAAAGGGAGCTGGTGATGCGCGCGCCCTGAAACGTAGACTCGTACACAAAGGAGCTCCCAGCTTGAAACGGACCCCCGCCAGACAGCCTCCCATGTACCGCCCAGCCTTGTCGTACCCTTATATTATAGATACGTGCAATGAAACGCCAGCCCGGGAAGGGGTGAACCTTGTCGAATGTCTTTCAAAGTCGCCTACTCACACGTACAGGTACTATAGACGGCCCGGCTGAATCCGTTGCAATTGCAATCTGAACCTGGTTACCAACTGTGACACGACTTGGTCACTCTCTCTTTTCACCACTTTCAACGACGTTGGTTCGCTAGAAGTACACCACGACAACGACCGGGAGCTTTTTAAGGGTCAACAAAACTCGACACCCTTCGGGCCGGTTCACTTCGACATTTTCCTTCCTTATAAGCATACACATTCGTTACGATTTTAACAGCTCTGGTAGCTGTCCACTGCTTGGACGAAAAGGACGAAGACGAAGATGCGGCATACCCTGCTACTATCCCTCGCTGGCCTCGCTTCGAGGGCATGGGCAGCCGTCTACACCGAAGCAAACGCACCTTATAACTTGAACACCAATCCTAATGCCGCAGGTTTGTCTTGCGCTTTCGAAGCTTCGTGTGCATTTGCTAACTGGTGACAAACAGCCGGCGCTATCCTCGATTACTCCGGCGAATGGGAAAATCACACCTTCAACCCCTCACCCCCACATTGGCGATATCCGACCTACACCATCATCCTCGACAAATGGGTCGATGGTGATCCGACAAACAACGATATTGGTGGGACGGTGAAGGAGTACGATATCTACGAGACTGGATTTCGAGCTGGTGGTGATGTGAAGGGGTTACAGAAGAGTTTGGCGTATCTTGAGGGGATGGGAGTTAAGGTAAGTCGATGTTAGACGGTCACAACAAAGTCTGGCGATGCTAACATCCGTTTTGTAGGTTGTTTATATTGCCGGATCACCATTCCTCAATCAACCCTGGGGTGCAGACGGATACTCCCCTCTCGACTTCACCCTCCTCGATCCGCATTTCGGTACTGTCGAAGAATGGCGAGAGATGATCCAAGAACTGCACAATCGCGGAATGTACCTCATCATGGATCTTACGGTCGCAACACTCGGTGATCTTGTCGGTTTCCAGGGCTATCTCAACACCTCGACACCATTCTCGTTGAACGAGCACACGGCTGTATGGAAAACAGCTTTGACGTACCCTGATTTCAACTTCACGAACACGTATAATGACACGTGTCAGATGCCAAGGTTCTGGGGTGATGATGGATATCCTGTAACCGGAGCCACAGTCAACTCTCAAGTCGGATGTTACAATTCGGATTTCGACCAGTACGGTGACACGGAAGCTTTCGGGGTCTTCCCCGACTGGCAGCGTCAATTGTCCAAGTTCGCCTCCGTGCAGGATCGTCTGAGAGATTGGAAACCGGGGATGTCCGACCGTCTTGGACATCTTGCTTGTTTGGTCGTGAGCATGCTCGACGTCGACGGCGTACGTCTTGACAAGGCTACCCAAATGACTGTCGACTTTACTGCGGAGTGGAGCACGGCTGTACGACAATGTGCGGTTCAGTACAACAAGAAGGACTTTATGATCATGGGGGAGGTTACTGGTGGTGATTACTTTGGGTCCATTTACTATGGACGCGGAAGACAACCGGATCAGAGGCCGCCGGATATCTTGACAGCGATGTCGTTGCATAATGATTCGGATGGAGACTACTGGTTACACCCTGAAGCCGCCGGTGGTTTCGACAACTCTGCGTTCCATTACTCCATCTACCGTGCGATCACTCGGTTCTTGGGTATGGACGGTAACCTCCAGGTCGCGTACGATATCAACACGGACTTCGTTACCGCGTGGAACGAGATGATGGTCAACAATGATTTCCTGAACGCGATGACTGGTCAAGTGGACCCAAGGCATATGTTCGCTACCACGAACCAGGATTTGTTCAGGTGGCCGGCTATCTCCGACGGAGCAGGCAAGCAGATGTTGGGTTTAATGATCGTGACGTTGTTGCTCCCGGGTGTGCCCTTGTTGTACTATGGAGAGGAACAGTTAATGTACCTCCTTGACAACACTGCCCAGAACTACATGTACGGACGTCAGCCCATTGTCTCGACGGTTGCCTGGCAGTCACACGGATGCTACAGACTCGGATCTCAGCAGTACTATGAGATGGACTTGGGTAATGCCATGTCGGGTTGCGAGGACGATTGGAACTCCCTCGACCACCGTGACTCGAGTCATCCTGCCCGCAACATCCTGAAGGGGTTGTATGATATCCGTGATAAGTACACTGTTGTCCGCGATGGATGGGCGCTTTTCAAACTAGGTAACTGGACCGAAAATGTCTTCTTTCCTGGGTCTGGGAATTCATCGACGGAGAAGGGACTGTATTCCATCGCGAAGAATGGACTGGAGGGTTTGCAGGACGACTTGATCACCAATTACAATCAGTCGGCTTTGTGGTTGTTGTATACCAATAATAACGCTACCGACAATCGCACTTGGAGTTATGATTGCATGGGCTTCGACCCACCGATTATTGCGCCGTATACACCGAATACAACGATCAAGAGTTTGATGTGGCCTTATGAGGAGTACACCCTTGAAGAATCTCTCGTACAGATTTACCAGAACGGATCAGGGCCATATCACGGTTGTCTGCCAAACGTGACTCTCGAAGCTTACGGCTGGAGGGCTTTCATTAACAAGGAGTACTGGGTTGAACGTCCACCTGTCATTACTCGCTTTTCTCCAGGTCACGATGCGAGAGTGGAGATGGCTGAGAAGGGTGTCGCTGGCATTATTCCTCTCACCTTCGAGTTTTCGGAAGTTATGGATTGTAATCAGATCACGAAGCAGATTTCATTGGAGTCAAAGACTAGTGATGGCTCGACACCGACGATCAGCACTGCTACTTGCCAGAACCTGACGGTCTACACGTCGCAATATGTTGGCTCTCCAGGATCAGTATTCAGTTGGTCGGCGAATTTGACAGGAGTTATGGATGGTGTTCATGCGATTACGCTGAGCAATGTGACCACTGCGGAAGGCAACTCCTCTCTCGATGGCGACGCTACCTTCTTCGTCCGCTATGGGTTGATCAATAACCCGATTGTTTTCCCTCGCGTGGCGAACTACTCTTCAACGTTGTTGACCAAGGACTCTGATGACAACTTGCAGCTCAATCAGACTGCCGCCGGTGCTGATATGTTCCGATACTCGACCGACTGGGTGCACTACTCGGACTGGTACACGTACAAGGAGAGTCAGATTGTCACGATTAACGAGACCGACTGGTCTGGTACAAAGGCTCAGGAATGGGCCGGTGAACATGTGATGGTTCAATACTATTCTTCCATTCTTGGCTCTTCCCACCACATTCAGCACGGCGATGTCGATTACTCTACTCCTCGGCGCTTCCCCAACATTTGGGCTATGGGAGTATTCAACGAATGGGGTTATGATTCCGGTGTCGACAATCAGTTCAAGCTCGACAGTGAAGGCAAGTGGAGATGGAACTACATGGCGACCTGGCCTGCGTCGTTGCAGCTGAACATGTGGGGAATGAATCCTGATGGAAAGCCCGATGCTCAATTTGTGTACGGTGATATCGACGGTGATGGTACGATCGACAGATTGTCGCCTGCTACTCTCACCACCAACCTGCTCAACATTACTCTGACGCCGCCAAAGCCTTATCTGTCATGGCAAATTGTCATCGACGATGGGACTCGTCAGTGGTATGCCGTGCCGAAGGGTTCATGGGCTGTTCAGATCGCCATGTTCATCATTATGGCTATCGTCCCGGTGCTTACTGCCATCGCGGCTGTTCTTGCATTCCGTGGATCCTTCTACAAGATCAAGTTCAACACGAGAGGCAATACTGATAAGAAGAGCTTCATTCCCTTGCAGTCATTGAGGGATGTCTTCAGGTCGTCTGAGCCAACCCGACATGACGCCAAGGGCCCTTACAGCATCGTCAAAGCTATGGCATCTACGTATACTCTCGGTAGTATGGCGGCAGACACGTCGGCCGTTGCTGCGGTTGCTGTATCGCCAAACAAGAGGCGATCCGTAATCATCGCGACGCTTGAATACGACATCTCGGACTGGAACATCAAGATCAAGATTGGGGGTCTTGGAGTCATGGCTCAACTTATGGGTAAGAACCTCGAGCATCAGGATCTCATCTGGGTTGTTCCCAAGGTCGGCGGTATTGACTACCCGGAGGCGGACTACTGCCCACCTATCGAGGTCAAGATTCTTAACAAGTTCTACCAAATTGGTGTCCAGAGCTATCAGCAGAAGAACATCACCTACATCTTACTTGATGCGCCGGTCTTCAGACGACAATCTCAAGTTGAGCCTTACCCGGCGAGGATGGATGACTTGGAGTCTGCTATCTTCTACTCGGCATGGAACCAGTGTATCGCGGAGTGTATTCGTCGGTACAAGCCGGACATGTACCATATCAACGACTACCACGGTGCCCTTGCGCCCTGCTACCTTCTCCCCGACGTCATTCCTTGCGCTTTGTCTCTCCACAATGCCGAATTCCAGGGTCTCTGGCCGCTCAGGAGCCAGGAAGAGAAGGAAGAAGTCTGCGCCGTGTTCAACATCAGTCAGAAAATCTGTACGAAGTACGTGCAGTACGGTAACGTATTCAACCTTTTGCATGCCGGCGCGTCATACCTTCGTATTCACCAGAAGGGATTTGGTGCTGTTGGTGTGTCAAATAAGTACGGTAAGCGTTCGTGGGCAAGGTACCCTATCTTCTGGGGTCTCAGTAAGATCGGTACTTTGCCTAACCCGGATCCTTCCGATACTGGAGACATCGATCCTGACGATGACAAGAAGAAGAAAGTGGTCGTCGACAAGGAGTTCGAGGCCAGACGTCATGACTTGAAACGACAAGCACAGGAATGGGCTGGGTTGAAGGTGGACCCTAAGGCGGAGCTTCTTGTGTTCGTCGGACGTTGGTCCATGCAGAAGGGTGTCGACCTTATCGCTGATTTGTTGCCTACCTTGCTTCAAGATTTCCCTGTGCAGTTGATTGCGGTTGGTCCTGTGATTGACCTTTACGGCAAATTCGCAGCGGAGAAGTTGGATGTTCTCATGAAGAAGTACCCTGACCGTGTCTTTTCGAAGCCGGAGTTCACTCAGCTTCCTCCGTTCATCTTCAGCGGTGCTGACTTCGCGCTTATTCCCTCCCGTGATGAGCCCTTCGGCCTTGTTGCTGTCGAGTTTGGTCGTAAGGGCGCCTTGGGTATCGGAGCTCGCGTTGGTGGTCTCGGTGCTATGCCCGGCTGGTGGTACACTGTTGAGTCTGCTACTGCGAGTCACTTGATCCAGCAGTTTGAATCCGCCAGTCGTCAAGCGTTGTCGTCCAAGCAATCGACTCGAGCCGAGTTACGTGCCAAGTCTGCTAAGCAGCGTTTCCCTGTCAAGGTCTGGGTCAAGAAGCTTGATGACATCCAGAACAGGTGTATTATCGCGTCTGAGAGGGTGCAGAAGAAGCGCAGCACTCGTCGTACGTCTGCGGCCTCGAGTATCTTCTCGTCTTCGCCTACGCCTAATCAGGGCACCTTCAGTCGTAGCTCGCCCGGATATGCTGACCCTCACACACCTTCTTACTCACCCTCTATTACTGACCTCAGCCCGACTCCAGACGAGGATCCCTACCTTCATGGTTCACCGTCATCCTTCGGCGACTCCGACACCGGGGAGTTCTCACCGTACGAAGATTCGCCAAGCATCTCACCAGCCATGTCTCCGACCATGTCTCCTACGATGTCACCCGTTGGGTCACCACGTAATGGCGGTTCTCCCAACCCAAGCGGAGCCAGCGTGAGTCGCTATGGATCCAAGTTGGGTCCTGGCCACAATAGCAGACCCAGGCACGGTAACGGTGGTATTGAGACTGTCGACGAAGAAGAGATCTACCTCGAGCGACCGATGTCTGAGGATGATTGGGACGGTATGTCTGACAATGAGTCAGTGTTCTATGACCCGCAGCGTGGAACGGTTCTCGAAGGTTACTTCGATCGTGATCCTGAGTCACGAAGACGGTCGAGGCAGCAGCATTCGTTGATTGGTCTCGGAATTTCAGATTCGAACGATAGTCGTGAGACTGTGCGCCTTGGAGAAGTTGGTCGTGGCGAGCCTACAGTTGTGTCTCACGGGCATGTAAGCTCGTGGACGCCAATCGTCTCGGGTCACAGTGGACCATGGACGCCGAGCATGCCGTCGGAGCAGGGGGTGCCTATCATTCACGAGAGCCCTTTGCGTCCGTCGTCATCTTCACAGTCTACGGGTACCGGCACCCTTGGTCGTACCCTGGGTGCAGGAGCGACCATGTCGACTCTCAGTTTGGCCACAGTCATGACCGACACTGACAAACCCCACTTTAAGCTCACCGACACCGAAAAGAACTTCACGGACGAAGACGGGAAAGTCATGCGAACCTTTGCCTCCCGCCTCGAAAACCTGAACAGCAAGAACTCTAAGGACGAACTTTGTATCGAAAACTTCCTTGTCAAGTCTGAACGCGCGTTCTTCAATGACGTGAGGGAAAAGAAGTTGGGGATTGTGAGTAGTCGTCCCGCGAGTATCTTCTCTGAGGATGATATGTCGAGGAGTTCGCCGGAGCAGTACAGTCCTGCAGCTGGTGCGATCAATGATATGCGTGCGTTGAATCCTAATGGAGTCAAGAAACCTCCGAGGGGTATCAAGTTATTGATGCAGCGCAAGCTTGGAGACTGGCCGGTCTACTCCATATTCCTCGCTCTTGGACAAGTCCTCGCCGCGACGGCGTTCCAGCTCAACTTGCTTGGTGGTTCATCCGATAACTCTGCCATTCAAATCTACAGTATCGGTACTGTGTACTTTGTATCTTGTGCGATCTGGTGGACTGTTTTCCGTCTCTTCCCCTCGATCCACGTCTTACACGCTCCGTTCTACCTCTACGCTCTGGCATTCTTCATGATTGGAATCCCCGGTCTCCACGACTTCGGCATCGCTGCACGCAGTTTCATCAACCATGGTGCAACGTGGGTTTACGCCGGTGCCTCTGCCTCAGGTGCCTTCTACTTCTCCCTCAACTTTGGTGACGAAGGAGGCGCAAGACTCACATCTTGGGTCTTCAGGGCCTGTGTTATCCAGGGTACGCAGCAGATCTGGGCTGCGGCATTGTGGTATTGGGGACACAAGTTGACAGTGGACGCGAAGAACACGCCTGGTGTTGAGATTGGGTTGACGACGAGTGTTACTACTACTGTTGTTACGTGGGTTCTTGCTGGGTTAATGACGGGGATTGGGGTGTTCCTCTATGTCGGACTTCCTGACTTTTACAGGCAGATGCCGGGTAAAGTTCCTGCATTTTATCGGTCGTTGATGAGGAGACATGTCGTGATGTGGTTCTTGTTCTCGACGATATTGCAGACGTATTGGTTGTCAACCGTTTACGGACGTAACTGGACATACCTCTGGAACTCGTCATTGAAGACATGGGAAACTTTCCTGTTATTGGTGGGTTTCTTCGTCGGTGTGTGGAGCGTCATCTTATACTTCCTTGGTCGGGCAGCGAAGACTCATTCATGGTTTATCCCGGTCTTTGCGATCGGGCTTGGTGCACCGAGGTGGGCACAGTTGTTGTGGAGTACCTCCAATATCGGGTTGAGTCTTCCGTGGGCTGGAGCTGCTGGACCGTATCTCGGTACGAGTCTTTGGCTGTGGTTGGGTGTACTCGATGCGATTCAGGGTGTTGGGCTGGGTATGATTCTCCTCCAAACCCTCACCCGATTCCACGTCGCTGTCACCCTCGTTGCGGCACAGATGGTTGGTGCACTCGTCGCCATGCTGGCTCGTGCTACGGCGCCGGATAAGGTCGGTCCGTCTGGTGTTTTCCCTGATGCCTCGGCGTGGAATCCTACGACGGACGGCGCGGGACCGTGGTCGAACTGGATGTTTTGGTTTGGGTTGGTGTGTCAGATTGTGATTTGTGTTGGCTATCTGAGGTTCTTTAGGAAGGAGCAGTTGAGTAAGCCATAAACTACAGGCTAATGAGGTGGGGAGGAAGATGGGAGTGATTTAGCATCATCTACGACCTTTTCTTTTACTTTTTCTTACGTTCGCATCCAATACTTGGGATCGCGAGTAGCATCTTACGCAAGTTTCGATCATCTAGCATCATCATTATTTTTATTTACCTACTTTTTATTTCAAAAGGACAATAAGTTATATGAAGCTTTATCGTTCCCTCTCTTGCTTCCTCCTGTTATTCTCCTCTGGCCTTGACGTCAACGTTATCGGCTCCCAAGACCTCCCCATACGACTGCTATAAGAGAGTAAGCAGGCCACCTTGAGGGTTACCACGCACCACCATGATGTTCAAGTCCCGTCCATCTGTACTGTTGATCCGATCAGCAACGCTTCCGCTGCGTCCCCCGATCTTTCGTGACGTCATAAAAAAACGTCCTCTATCGATAGCGATAAAGACTCGTCCATCACCTCTAACTTCAACCTCATTGCTGCGATCTCAAACGCTTGACAGAACCTTCACCAGATCATACAGTACACGCAAAATGAAAAACCGCGCCGAAGTCATCCGCGAATTCAACTCCTACGTAAACATGTCCCCCTCCGAACTCTCCTGCTGGCTCTCCACCTCCGAATCTCAGCACACCGGGCAGATGAAAAACGACGGATCCGGCGAATCAAAAGGTCACGAAAGTGGTCGGATTATCGTGGATATCTTGGAGAGAAACCCGGAGAAGGATGAGGAGAAGTATACGGATGAGGATGTGGAGCATATGAGGAGGGTTGTGAGTTATTGTAAGAGGCATTTGGCGCAGGAGGGGAAGTTGAAGGAGACGAAGAGTGAGGAGGAATTGGAAAATGCGAATTCTACGAAGAGTTTGAAGGTGAGTCTTGCTATATTGCTATATCTACAAGTGAAGGTGGCAACTTACGGGCGAAATAGAACTGGGGCCATGATCCCACCAAGTACTAAAGTGATGCTGAAAGAGAGAGTAGGAGGCTCTGAAAAGTCGTGTACGATATTCTGAAGCGGAATAGACTTGACGAACGTGCCGTTCGGTTCGGACAAGACGGTCCAGTTTATCAGAGTTCACACGCGAAGGCCCACCCGGGCCCCACATAATTCGCGCTCGGTCCCTCGAGCACCTCCCAAACCTCCAGCTTCACGTAATTGACAAATTGCGACTGCCAAGATCCCTCGTCATGTATATACTATAAATAGCATACGGCATGACTGCCCCCCGCCGTTTAGACTCGTACACTGCAGCATACGTAGGCTGCGCAAATCCACAGAAATCTGCAGCTAAGGTTATCGCCGGGCTTCATAACAATTCACCAGCAACATTCTCGATCTGCCATTCGGAATATTCGGCGGTTCTGATTCAGCTGCTGGGTCAGTTTCTTACCTGAAGAGCTCTTAGCGGCATCCGATTTATCGATCACGACCATGCCGAAGGAAAACGAGAAAGAACCGGCCTCCGCAAAGAACCCAGTCACGATCCACCCCAAGACATGGCCATGGCCCTCCTTCCTCGCGTGGGTACCAGCAAAATGCAACTACAAGTCAATGAAACCCGTCATTCGATCCTCCGTCGCAGGCTGGATCGCGTTCATCCTCATTATCGTACCACATACCCTCCACGTCCTCGGGCAAGCGAGTTTCTTTGCGTTGGTGGTGGCGTTGATTACACCGCCTTCTGACCCGGTTATCGTTACGTTTTGGAGGTCGGTGTATAACATTATCCTCGTCCTCGTTGCGTGGGCGTGGGGCATTGTTGCTGCCCGGATCGCGACGGCGGTGAGGGATGAATATCTCGATCTTACGAGTGTGAATCGGGTTGCAATTTTCAATGGAGATTATGTTGAGACGAAGAGTTCGGTTGTGTTTGCGGTTTTCTTGGCGTTCGGGGCTGGGTTCTTTTTGTGGATTAAGTCGAAGTATCCGGCGTTAATTTTTGGGTCGGTGTTTTCTATGATTTGTGTTGGTGCGTATTCTCGTTATCCACCTACGTTTGTGATTTCGTACTGATTGGTTTTCGGCAGTTGTTACGTGTACGTATGGGGCACTGTTTCCGTATTTCTACCCATTGCTTGGGGGTCTTTTCGTTGTCCCGTTGGTGATCCAATCTGGTATTAATATTGGATGCGCGATCTTCATTTACCCTGAAACGGTGAATCATCTCTATATGGACAAATTAATGGGATTGTTTGGGGCGCTGAAGGAGGTCATTGCCGAGCAAAAGAGCTTGCTGGCCACGGATCCGGATTCCGACAACTGGAGCAAAGCTAGCACCGCCCACGAAAAGCTCATCGGCGTTCGACAGATGCTCCCCGCCTTCGCCGCCATCGAGGGTTTCCTTGACATGGAACCCTCCTACGGCCGTCTCTGCGGCACGGATCTAAAACAATTCCTCGACATCGCAAAGAAGATGCAAGCGCGTCTCTCCGGCCTCGACTTTTTTCATAACGTCGTCGACGTCAACATGCGTCCCGGGCCCCGATCACGGTTTGAGAGGATTTTGAGGGGGAATACGGAGCCGAAGAAGAGTCGGAAGAACAGGGATGGGTGGTATAGGGATGGGACGCAGAGTCGGCCGTATAGTGGGTATAATACGCCGGCGGGGGGTGAGAGTAGTATTGGGGATTGGATGACGCCTGTGCCACCTCCTGGGGGACGGGTGACTGATCATTGGAAGAGGCAGGAGAGGGAGGAGAGGGATCAAAACCCGGATGTTGATCATGATAATGATATTGAGATTGATTCGCCGAGTCCGAGTCCGAGTCCTGGGGTTAGCGTTAGTCCCAGTCCGCGGATGACGGAGACGCCGCCGAGGCCGAAGATTAGTCATCACTCTTCTGGCAGGAGTGGGAGGGGAAGTGACAACCATTCCTTGCATGCACGGTTCGCGAGTCCGGATGGTAGGGGTGATAGTGGACACCGAGACAGTCATACCGATTTCTTGAGTGTCCCTGGTGCAGAAGAGTTGAGGGAACGCAGGGCTTCGCCACTGCAACAGTTTGAGGCTACGCAGTCTTCTGCTGCCAGTGTACGGAGTGTGTACACTGGTGGACGACCAAGTGGGGAGCATACCATCCCCGACGACTTCGCCGACCTCTTCAGGAAAAACAAGAAGAAGAAGAAGAAGCAGAGGAAGAGTGATAGCCGGCGCAGCAGCCATGATCACCATTCTCATTCGCCCTTCAGTCCGTTTCATCCAAAGATTCTGCATGAGGCGTTGCATCATGAGTATCGCCAAGTCGCTGTGATGGAGACGCAGGCGTACATGGATTTGGAGAGTAAATTCCCAAGGGAGAAGGATCGGGAGGTCATTCAGGAGATGGTTGCGTTGTTGAAGATCGCGACGGAGGATGTGATTCGTGTTTCGGATGAAAGTATGGGGTATTTGCTTAAATGGTTGAAGAAGATTAACAATGATCGGTGTACGAAGTTCTTTAGGTCGAAGACGAAGGATGAGAGGGATCGGAGTATGGCAATTGAGGAGTTGACGTGGCAGGTTGGCGAGTTAAAGCGCGTTATGGATGAGTTTCAGAGTGTGAAGAGGTTGGAGATTATCAAGCCATTCGAGGAGTACTTCCAGGAACGGCATCCGCATGATGAGATCCCGCCGTATCGTGGGTTGTTTTTCGCGTATCTGTACGAATTCCAGATTGTGGAGTACTCGAAGCAGTTGACGGTGTTGATGGAGCATATCCTCACATTGGAAAAAGAGAGGCGCAGGAGGAAGTTGTGGTTTGATTGGAAGATGGCGCTTAACCCGAAGGTGTGGTGGAGGGGTGCGTTCGGTGGTGGTCCCGCGTTTGCGAAGATCCATTCTACGGGTGGAGATGCGGATGATGACCCGGAACATTTGGCTGGAATCGATGAGCTTCCGACCGAGAAACGTGATCCGGATGCTGATCCGCCGAGTAAGACTTGGCATCTGTTTGGGTTGGCGATTTACAAGATTTACTGCTTTTTCAGGAGGAACGACGTCACGTTCGCATTCAAAGCAGGAATATTGGTCTTGTTGGTTGCGTTGCCGACGTTCTTCAAGTCGACAGCTGGGTTTATGTACCATAACAGGGGTCTGTGGGCTATCATCATGGCTGGATTGACGTATGCCCAGTTCAGTGGTGACACACTTTTTGGGTTCGTCAGTCGTGTTGGGGGAACTTTGCTGGGCGCTGTTGTTGGTTTGGTGTGTTGGTATATTTCGGCTGGTAACGGACCGGGTAATCCGTATGGATTGGCTGCTACTATGGCGGTTGCGTTGATCCCGATTTTGTTCATCAGGGTGTACCATGTCTACCTGACGCCTATGCCCGCGATTATCTTTACGATTACAGTTGCGCTTACGATTGGCTACTCGTGGCAGGACTCGTACAACCCCACTCTCGGTACTGTGGGTATTGGATGGGAGGTTGCATGGAGACGATTCTTGTGTGTCGTTATCGGTATCACGGCGGCGTTCATCTGGTCATTCGTTCCTACGCCAAAGACTGGTCGGTTCCAACTCCGCTTGACTTTCGCGAGGACGGTCACGGAAATTGGTGCAATGCATTGTCAGTTGTCCAACTACGCTAGGAAGAAGCATCCAGACAATGTTCCAGATGCGGAGTTGTTGAAGATGGCTCTGGCGGTCATGGCAAAGCTCGCTCAAGCAAATCTGCGATTGGGATTCGCCAAGTTTGAGCCGCCCATTCAGGGTCGATGGCCGGCGGAGAAGTATCAGCAGTTGTTGGCGGTGCAAATGGAGCTTGTACAGTTGATGACTTCGTTGATGAATGTCTTTATGCAGTTGGATCAGAAGTGGACGAGGGCTTTGCTCATCCGTACTGGCTGGCTTGACCCGCATTTCGTAGCAGATCAGCTTGCGACAATCTACATGGTTAGCACGGCGTTGAAGACCGGAAGCTCGCTGCCTCAGATCGTTCCATCTCCGCTAGTGGACCGTTTCTACCAGCGTATCTATGGTCTGAAGGTTGTCTGGGGCGATGAAGACGATGAGGATGACGATGGTCTTCCCAGGCACATCGACTACGAAACACTTCAGCAGCGCGAATACGCCCTCTTTGCTGTCGGTTGTACGTTAACGAGTGGTATTGTGTTGAGGCTGGATAAGCTTATGTGGATTTGCAAGTCTCTGGTTGGTGAAATCTACAGTTTGCCAGGATATTATAGGGATACCCGTATGAGGCATGAGAGGCATCCGTTATTCCAGGATAAGTTTACGGATGAAGCTGTATGAAGTAGTATGAGATGGAGCATTGACCTTTTTTGATCTCGTTGTTGCACTATTATACCATATGAGATGAATAATAATGCCAGCTTTGCATTATATTGTGTACCTACCAGTATCGCATCGTTCATGTCAAGGCTAAGGAACATGGTGCTCCTTACTTGTCAATTGGTACAGAACGATTACACATCTACATTGATGGTCCTCATGCTCATAGACTTCTAATCAGTCGCAGCCAGCTTTCCAAGACGGATTGGCAGACGCCGACATCGTGGGCACTTTCCGAGCAATCGAAGACGTTGTATCGACCGGCCAAGTGATGTATCGAAGAAGAGTATGTATTACAGGCTGCCTGAAGCTAATACCAAGGGGATATTGTGTCCAGTGCTGTTATCTGATGCGGAATCCCAACTAGGTCAGTCGGTCGCGACAAATAATCGGGCTATACAATAGAAAATGGTGATGTTGGAAATTAAAATGGATCGTATGTTGGGCCCCGAGATCCCAGTAAGTCTACTTCCGTAACACTTCAACTGATCTACGTCCATAGAGCCAAAGAGAATCAATGTGAAGCCGAGGTTTGCCCGTGGTGTTCGCTGCACCATGCCATTGCTTCCCCCCACTACTTTCCTCTCCTTTCTTGGATTGCAACTCCCCTGAAGCACTTCGAACTACTTAAATAGAGAAATAATCACTGAAGCGCTATGGATATCGCTTGTCCGTCTTCAGCTACATAGCTGATGAGTCCATGCGTTGACGAAGTTCGTGGGAAAGACGATACCTGACCCGAGTTTGGGATTTTCTTTGCTGATGTTTTGGCAGATTCTCAAACATCAACCATCCCCCGTGGTCTAGTGGTTATGATGCCCCCCTAGTAAGGGGGTGATCGCTGGTTCAAATCCGGCCGGGGGAATTCCCTTTTTGCTCCTTTTCCGCGACGAACCTTCAAGGTCGCCCACACTCCTTTCCTCGTACGAAACTGCCTATCACTTGCATTCCATCATCATGGCCTACAATACGTCTTACAGAGGAGGATGGAGTGTATACGACGAGAGAATTGATCCATATGAATGTGATATATTGTGGTATCATCGAAAACGACTGCGAACCAAGAACACGGTACTACCGGAGTGACAGACTCTCAAAGCCAACACATATCTCCCTAGTCAAACAAAACACAAACCCGTCCTAATCATACAATCCTCACCACTCTTCGACGACAGGACTCCTTCCTTAATAGATAGGTGCCGGCATCTCCAAGTTCAAGTGAACACCCTTGACGTGAGTGTACTCGTGCAAGGCGTACTTGCCCAACTCGCGTCCAATACCAGATTGCTTGAAGCCACCAAACGGCAACTGGTGGTGAATGGTGTTATACGAGTTAACCCAAACGGTACCAGCCTCAAGCCTGTTCGAGACCTGAATCGCAGTCTTCAAGTTGGTCGTAAAGACAGCCGCAGCCAAACCGTAAGTTGTGTCGTGTGCCTTCTCGATGACGTCCTCGATATCGGTGAACTTGGCGATAGCAACAACGGGACCGAAGATCTCTTCTTGCATGATCTTCATCTTCTGGTTGACGTTGGTGATGACGGTGGGTTGGATGAAGTAGCCCTCCTCACCGTGCCTCTCACCTCCGATCTCGATCTTCGCACCCTCGTCGCGTCCGGCGCGGATGTAGCCCATGATACGGTCGAACTGCAACTGAGAAACCTGAGGACCCTGGAAGGTGTCCTCCTTGAATGGGTCACCGACAACAGTAGCCTTCGCAGTCTCGATGAACTTCTGGACGAACTTGTCGTAGATACCCTCTTGGACGTAGATTCGGGATCCGGCACAGCAGCATTGGCCGTGGTTGTAGTAGATACCAAAGTTGGACCACTTGACGGCTTGATCGATGTCGGCGTCGTTAAAGATGATGTTGGGAGACTTGCCGCCGAGTTCGAGGGTGACCTTCTTGAGGTTGGATTCGGCGGAGGCCTTCATGATTGCACGACCGACGACGGTGGAGCCGGTGAAGGCGACCTTGTCGACCTTGTCATGGCGGGCGAGGGCGTCTCCGGCGATCTTACCAAAGCCGGAAAGAACGTTGATGACACCAGCGGGGAACCCAGCCTCCTTGACCAACTCGCAAGCCTTGAGGGCGGAGAGGGGAGTCTGCTCGGCAGTCTTCAGGACAACGACGTTACCACAGGCGATAGCAGGTCCGATCTTCCACGACCACATCAAGAGAGGGAAGTTCCAGGGGATGATCTGTCCACAGACACCGACGGGCTCGTGACGGGTGTACATAAACCTCGAATTCTCAACCTCCATCGTCTTTCCGTGGATCTTGTCGCACCAGCCACCATAGTACCTAATGCAGTTCGCCGACAACTGAACATCCATCCTCGCCATCGAGATTGACTTTCCATTGTCGAGGGACTCAATTGTAGCCAGAACCTCAACGTCACGCTCCATCAAGTCAGCGAGCTTGGTGAGGAGCTTTCCGCGGGCCTGAGAGGTGAGGCTGCGGTACTCGGAACCGAACTTGAAGGCCTTGACGGCGGCTTCGACGGCGACGTCGACATCTTCCTCCTTGGCTTCGTAGACTTCGCAGATAGGCTTTCCGGTGGAGGGGTTGATGGTCTCGAACTTCTTGCCGGCCTTGGGGAGAATGTATTCGTTGTTGACGAAGAGACCGATGGGCTGCTTGTAGGACTTGCCGGAGGGGAGCTGAACGTCGATGGAGTCAACGGCCATTGTAGATGTTTGTATGTAGTTGATCTGAGCGGAAGGTTGGGTGATTGATCGAAGAGGAAGTACTCGAGGATCTGGGGAACGAGAGCGAGAGGAGGAGGGATCCGGTGATTTATATAACCACCGAGGTCGTACGCAGCATCACAGCAGCAGCTTACTCAGCAATTGGAGATACCCCGCTTCTCCCACGCATCACATGTCGCTAGTAACCTCTGGGCGTACGACGTACGACGCACGACTCCGGACTCCGCCTCTCCGCACCCCCGCATCACGAGTGAGGCATAAATTCGATTGGAGCGACCCAGCCTTGATCAGCAGGGAGAGTCGAGATGAGTCGATTCGTACGAATGTGACTTGGACGGCGATGCGCGATTGGCGCCTTCCGTAGGACCGGTATGAGCTCAGGGTTCCGTTTTCAAGACGTTGAGGCTGCGATTGCCGTTGGGGAGGGTTCGTGAGACCAACCCGATTGGCATGGGCCGAGAGCCTCTGACGAACGAACGGAGGGAGATCGGGATAGCATTGTTCCGCGGCCGGGGAGCTGGTACTGGGGTGCGCAATCGGCGCGCCCTGACCTCGGATCTTCAACCGAGAGAAAAAGTGTGAGGTCAATTGGAGGGCGGCATGTTGTCTGTCGTTCTGGAGACAGAAGGGATCAGATAGCGAGAAGGTTTTGAGCTAAATGGGCAAAAGGGAATTCCCCCGGCCGGATTTGAACCAGCGATCACCCCCTTACTAGGGGGGCATCATAACCACTAGACCACGGGGGAGGGTTGATGTTTTTGCAAGATTCATGCCGTACCCGTTTGGTCAATACATTTGACGGGATGTTTCCAGAGCAAAAAGCTTCACAGGAACTCAAGCATCGAGGAAACGGGTATTACATATGTTTCCAGGTTCAAAGTACTTCAATGTCCGTCAATATGACTGGTCAAGTCCCTATATCCATGCTACCTACTAAGTTCAATACATTGTTAATGAAACTCCAATATCCCGATAATCCCAGATAAACTCCAGTACCTCACAACACATAACGTTCGCTCTCCCCTTACTTCACTCAACTCAATACTCTCCACCTGCAACCCCACCCTCAAACATCCTCACCAACGCCCTTTCAACACCCCCAGAATCCACCCTCCTCCCCGCCAACTCCTCCAACTCCCCCTCCCCCATGTCCCTCCACGCAGCCCCCTCCCATCCCCACTCCCTAACCAACCACTCCATTCTCTCCTTGACATACCACCCCGTCTCACTCCTCACATCCTCTAACACCTTCACCAACGCCTTTCTCTGAGCTGCGCTTTGAAGGAGTCTACCGGAGATGAAAAGGGAGACAGTTGCGTTAACCCAGGCTATGTGCCCATCGTTGCGGATAGAGTTGTCGGCGATGCTCTGGGCTGCGCGGAGAGCTTCGTGGGGGATTGAAGGGTGGGTTAGGAAGAGGTCGTAGCGTGAAGTAGCCCCAGCCCCCGGAGATAAAGCAGAGGAGGAGTTGGAGAGCGGGTGTGCGCAGAAGAGGATGATCTTGGCGGTATCGTACATCTGCATCGCGGAGGCGACGGCAGAGTCAGCATACCATGTGCTCACCTCAAACACACACTGTCCACCTCCTGATTCATCGGTCATGGAGTCGGCGGTGTTCGTAAACACGCTGAGCGGCTCAGCTACAACCGGACGACTCCTATTCCAACGATCGAGCTCGCTCCGTAACTCCCTCCACTTCGAAACATCTTCCCTCCCCTCTCGTGCCTCAACATGATACTCGTGCACCTTCCCCAAAATATACGTAATGCGATTCGCCCAATCCCCAAATTTTCCCGTTCCCATCTGCGGCGGACTCCATAGATGTGACGGATGCCTGATTCTCGTCCCACTCGCAATAGCAGCCCACGTATCCATCCTGGCATAAATCCAAAACGAAGCCTGTGCCAACCCACCACTCGATCCATCCCAACCATGGCTGACGATAAGACCACGAGATCCGGAGAGGTGGGACTGCCAGTCTGAGGAGCGTTCACCGATCATTTCGAAGTGGCCGAGGAGCAGGCATGCGGCGAGAATCGCAGGGTCAGAAGAGAGGGTCGGGGAGGCGAGGATAGGGAGAAGGAGGTGGATCGCGGCGTTGTAGTACTCTAGCGCACGATCGGTTGGGTACCCCGTCACGAGAGAATGTTGTCTCGCAGCACATGCGAGAGCGGCTTTCATCACCACCGGCGTCGCAAGTGCGATATGCGGCAACACCAACGCGAAATGTTTCTCGCGATCGAAAAGGTCGAACCAAACGGCGATGATCTCCACGAAGCGTCGGAAGAAGAAGGTGTCGGTCGGGTCTGTGATGGGTTGAGGTGGTGGTTGGTGGACTGAGACCGCGGGACTTGCGATGGAGGCGATGGAGGGGGAGGTTAGGGGGAGGGTGTTTGGGGAGAAGGAGTGGCGCCTGATGTAGTCTTCGGTAGAGGGTGCGTGGATGGGTGATTCGACTGATTCGTGCTGAATTGTAAGTGGTGCAGGCGATGGAAATTGTGGTGTTGGTGGCGGAGGAGAGTTTGCTAGGACGCGATATTCGGAAGATATCGACGACGTCTCATCTTGGAAGACCAGATCACGCTGGATCACACCTCCACCGGGCATCGTATGTCTCCTAGCCAATGTTCTCGGTATCGACTGATCCTTCGCCAGCGTCGCATTGTACGCTTCCATAATGAACACATTCCTCTCCTCATACCGACACTGCTCCCCAAACCGCCTACAATTCAGACACTCCGGCCGCTGCTCATCGCACTTACTATGCCTCTCTCGACAATTCAGACATGCCGCTCTCGCGCGACTCCTCGGTCCTCTCGACGACCTTATCACGGCAGCCTGTTTCGCATTTGATTTCCCAGAAGCTGATCCGGCCATCGGTGTTGTTTATGAAGGAAGCCTCGCGTATACGTCGTCGAATCGTACGACGCACGAGATGGCCCGGGTTCATCGATGCCCAGCTGCGCATTCATTACTCAGGGTTCTTTGGGTTTGGGGCTCCGCGGAGGCTAGTTTTGCCGCTGCAGTGCGGAGACAGTTCTCCAGCCCCCGGGTCGGTGCGCACCGATAAGCGGGTAGCCGTTGGGTACATGTGTTTCGTTAGGAATATGAATAGTATCTACGGCTATGTATAGTTATAGCAAGGGCATAGCAATGACAAGAGCAACTCCGGTCTACCTCCTCCTCCTCTCTCCCCTCCCCCTCCGGCGAGGTACCGCATCGACATGAATAACATCATCCAGCTTCTGCCCCTCTGGAATCTCGATATCAAACAGCGCTAACATCTCCTTCGCAACAATCGCTTCCTGGTCGAGTGTGGGAGCCGAATGCGCCGCCCGCTGTTCGCCGTTCTCGTGCGTGACAACGACGTCAGGGTCTTGCTCGGCCTGTTCCGCCGCTACGCGGGAACCTTCGCGTTTGCGTTTGGTAAGTGCCACGATCTTTGGCTCGACGGTGTTCTTCAGCACCAGGCGGATGGTCGTGGTCGGGCGTGTCTGTCCGATTCTGTTGATCCGATCCACCGCCTGGTCCTCCAATCCAGGGTTCAATGAGGGTTCAACGAGGTAACAGACATTACACATTGTCAACGTCAACCCTGCCGCTCCCTCTTTGTTCTTCATCGGAACCAAGATCATGTTGACGTCGTCGTTCTCCTTGATAGCCTGCAACGCCTTCGACCGATCCTGCGCAAAATTCACGGCACTGATCTCGTTCTGGAGAAGTGCAGATTGGATAAACTTGTGCATCTTCTTGAATGCGGAAAACACGACAGCCTTTGTCGTGGGATCTTTCGCAATGCGTGACTTGATGTCATAGACCAAAGCCGAGATCTTGGTCCCAAAATCGCCCTGAATCTGATCAATGAGGGAACTGGTAGCCGCATCCTCGGGACTCGAGTCCATATCAATGATAACAAGCTGCTTCACATCAACCATGAGTCGACAAACAGGACAAGGCGCTCGCGCATTCTCGTCCCTCATATCCCGCTGAATGTGCTTGAAATACCCCACGATACAATCCGAACAGAACCGATGCGCACAGGGCGTCGCAGCAATCTCGATAGCTTCGCCGAGTTCTTCCTGACAGATGATACAAATATCATCATCTTGCGTCTCAGCCGTCTGTTGTTCCTCTTTCTTGTTCTCCTCCTCAAGCCCCGGCATCGCTGCCTCGACCAACTCTGCGCCTCTACCAACCCTCTTCAAGTGATTCGCCCGCTGACTTCGCAAGAACCTCAACTCACTCGTTACACCCTGCAACACTGTCGAACACTCCTTCACGTTCGCCTCCAAAACCGGCAAATCCTCCTTAATTATCTTGATCCGTTCCCTCCGTCGCATACGCTGCATCTCCTGACCATCCTGTCCAACACGACGACGCAGACCGCGTTCCTGAGCAGCAGCCTCAGCTTGTGCGTCATCCTCGATAACTGCACCGTCTTTGTATTCATAAAATGCGTCGTGAATTTCGTTTCCGTCCAGTTTGCCCGTGATGGCGTCTTCAGCCTCCTGCCTTGCGTCCTGAAACGTCGCCAGCGCCTCTTGATCCTGGGTAAAGAGGCACAAGTACTCGAACGCATAAAACTTCTGCTTCTGCCACAGTAATATTCTTTTCGCGTGTCTCTGCTCGTCAGCATCGTTTCCATCACCATTGACTCTCTCAGCAGCAACCGCTTTACCATACGCCTGCTTCAGCTTGGCAACATTCTCATCACAAATTCTCGGGACCCTTTCCAAATGCCCCTTCAACTCATTAACCCCAATGTTTGCCTTCCCGCCCTCCCACTTCTCCTTCTTCGCCAACACTTCAGTACGGTGGTGGATTCCATACGCCAATACAGTCACATCCTGCACATAAATATCCTCCAACCCATACTGGTGCTTCTCCTGTTCCTTAATGAGTCCATCCAACATCGCCTCAAACGTCATTCGTGTTTCGGGCATGTTTCCCCCAACAACCTGCGGATGATCACAGATCTGCCTCAACTTCAACAAATCCCCCATGGTCCCCCTATCCAGATGAAAATGACCCCGTCTCGGGATCCTCCTCACGAGCGCATCCCTCAACTTCTTCGCGTGCTGGTTATAGATGACTTTTTCGATCCGTGTAAACTCCAGTTCAAGGGTCTCATCCCTCGTTTCCGTCGCGTTCATTTCGTGCTTCACATGCGCCTTCGCATGCCTCCAAATAAACTTCGGCATCAAACCCCTTAACTTGTCCGTTTCCTTCCGCATCCGATATCCCTCAACAACCATCTGAAACGCCTGAGGATTCGCAAAAGGGTCATGATCCAAAAAAGTCAATAACCCCTCTAAGTCGCTCACCCCCGTGGAGAAGGGAGTTCCAGTAACCGTCCACCCATTCCGTCGCCATAACTCATTCGCCATGATCGCTGCAGCAGAATTCGATTGTGCGACCATCTGTGCCTCATCAATAACCACCCTCCACCAATGCACCCACAACAACGGACTCTTCGACGCTCGATTCGAATTAGCCAATTCCCTCGTAATCGTCTCATACGTGACAAACACAATATCACAATCACTGAATGCAGCACGAGCAAACCCCCTCGCATCAACACTCGTACTCAACAACTTCCAACTCTGCCGCTGATCCTCATACATCCTCGCCACTAATCCAGGCGCATGTTTGACCGTCTCATCATACCACTGTCCCAAAATCGCGGCGGGACAGACGATGAGTGTGGCACCCACCGCAACCGGTCGATCCTCCACCGCCTTAATTTCATTAATCAGTGTCCATGAACGGGAGGGATCGGGAGCGGAGAAGGAGTAGGGGTGGGAGGCGATGAGGGAGAGTACTTCGACTGTTTTTCCGAGGCCCATTTCGTCGGCGAGGAGGCCGCCTGGTTCCGATTTTGGGGCGGTGAAGCGGGTGTAGGTTAGAGTTCCGCTTAGTTCGTTCATGTGAATCACCTTCTTCTCCTCCTCCTCCTCCTCCTTGACCTCAACCACATCATCCTCTCCCTCTTCATTGACCCCCACGTTCTCCTTCTCCTTCTCCTTCTCTCCGTTTACTCTCCTCCCGGCCTCCTCCGTCTTCTCATCAAGCTCAACGTCCACCCCAACCTTCGCAAACCTCTTCCGCATCCTCTCCATCGCACACTCCCTCGCGCCCTCAGCCCCCACAATCGGCCTCCAAAGCGGATGCAAAACATCCTCTTTCCTGTCGCCAGTTTCCTTGTCGTACATCCACTTCAATGCTTTTCTCTGAAAGGGAAAGAGGGTTGTGCGGATGATGTCGTTCAGAGGTTCCATTTCGGGGGCGTCGAGGGGTGGACGCAGGCCTTCGAGGAGTGCGGCGAGGTCTGTGCCGAGTTCGTCTTCCGGGCCGTAATATGTTCGGGTGGAGCGGAAGTATGCGTCGTTTTCGGGGCCGTAGATTAGGGTTCCCTGTTTGAGTGCGTATTCGAGAAGCTGGCGCATCGCAAACCCCACACTCCCCAGATTACTCGGCTGAACCCATCCGTCCCCCGGCATGGCGTCAACGATCGCGGGGCCGCAAAGGATGATGTTGATATAGAGGTTTCCCGAGATATGTTTTGGACGAAGCGGGGCCTGGGGACCACCCTCGACAAGCGCAGCGTGTTCGGCGGCGGATTGGGCGGGATGTACCGTACCGACCAAATGCGCATCCAACTCGACCCATCCCTCCTTCACGAGTAAATGCAACAACTTGAGCCAATGCTGGTTAAATAGCTGCGCAGTCGGGTACACCCCCAACTTCATCCATCCCGTGGTTTTGATATGTAACTCGAATTCTTTCGGGTTGTGGACTAATCTCGCTTGCCATGCGCCGTCGCCGATGGGTAGCGGGAGACGGCGGGAGAGGTCTTCGTGCCGGAGGGGAGCGGGGTTGGTGGGATCTTTTTGGAGGTAGGCGGGGATGAAGTCGCCGCCGCGGTTGACATCGTTGTCCCAGGTGTGGAAGGGGAGCTTGGTTTCGGCTAGGTAGAGTCTGAGGCGCTTTGTTTCCTCGCTTGGCGGTGGGAGTGGGGGTTCTTCTTCGTCTTTGTCGTGCGGAAACTCGACTGGTGCATCACGCATTTCGATTCGTAGATTGTCCACTTCCCTCCTCCTACCGCTTCCACCAGCTACGGGGCGCTTCGAGCGTTTTGAGCGGCGTAAGTTGGTGCCGGAGTCATCGCCGTCGTTGTTGGCTTCGAATCGGCGTTTTATGGAGTTTGCTTGGGCGAGGCGGAAAGATTCGACGGAGAGGATTGGGGTGATGTGGGCTGTTGCGGAGGTGCGACGGGACATGGAACGTGCTTATCACTCTTGACTGATCTATGGCGGTGGATTTCTTTGTCCCAACGACGGATTGACTGGTGGTGAGTACGAGCCCGGGTACTCTACGTACGTCCGCCTGCAATGCATACGGAATGTAGTCCCATGGCCCAACCCTCCCCCCCACGAGAATCATCTCCAAAATAAACGCTCATATGCCCTCACTCCAACGCAGCTCCCCGTCCCTTCAATCCCTCTGAGCCATATAATAATGCCTCGCCTAAAGTTGGTACTTGAGTCGTTGCACCGCCAACCCTCCTACGCGCAATGCACGCCTCAATTCTACGCCTGGAGCGATGCACCACCTGCAAACACTACACCATAACCACGACGAAGGTATCACGAGCATATACCCGGATCCTTTTCAAGAAACACAAGCATACAGCGACTGGCATAATTGGAATTGGGACGCATGCATGGGAGGATCCGTAAGTGAGCACCAACACGATGAACAACATATCAACTCCGACACCCATAGCGCGACGTCGACATCTACTACGTCGACTGCGACAGTGACGAGAGAGAGTGTGACGCAGACGCATAGAGGGTTTACGCGGAGTCCGCCGCTCGTCTCGCCCCGCGATGTCACCTCCATGTCGCCAAACCACCCCTTTCCGTCACCACCAATCGCCGCCGGTGGACCACGAAGTAACTCGCCGTTTTTCCCTCCAGCAACATCACGAAAGGCGTCACAGCTTTTGGAAGAGCCGACGGCGATGATGTCCTCCGTCTCGACCGAAAAGTCGTCACGGAAATCGACGCAGTCACTTCGTCTCTTCAAGGATTCTAGTAGCGGCGGTGTTCTGCACGCAGAGGTTTTATTGGATGAGGACGCGACGCTCGTGTCCTCCGACGCCGAGGATGGTAAAATTGGCCACGGGGAGAAGGAACGCGGCATGTCAGTTGTCGAAACCCCCGACCCCACCAAAACGGACAAAAAAGCCCGAAAAGCATCCCAAAGTCTTAAACTCTTCAAAGGCTCCAAAGCGGACGTGAAAGCCGGTGCCGGAATCTTCGGTGACGCAATCGACGAAATCGCTGTCGACGACACCCACATCGAACCTCAAATCATTAATGTCGCCGCCGAGATCGAGAGAAAGTTGCAGTTGGACGATCGGGAGGGGGTTAGGGTGCACGCGAGCAAGAGTAAGAGTAAGAGTAAGGATGTGAGTGTGGGCATGGATATGGAAGATGATGGAGAGGAGCGGGCAATTGAGTTGGGTGGCGGACTGGAGTTGACGACGGAGGCGGTGTATGTACCGCATATATCACCGCCCACGCCGCCGTCTTCTATGCCTGCTTCTGCGATCTTGCCTCCTGCACCGCATGCGCAAGCACCACCCATCTCGTTACCTCCTTCCACTTCGCCCTTGGATCCGTCGCCGACCACGACCTTGACGAGTGCTGCGACACAAGCTCCCCCACAACCCGAGCCGACACCACCGGCGATCCCGCAATCGGTGATGTTGAAACCGTATAAACACCAAGTCGGCGGCCACACCGCAATATTCCGCTTCTCCAAAAAAGCCGTCTGCAAACCCCTCGCAAGACGCGAAAACGAATTCTACGAAGCCGTCGAAAACCACCACCGCGAACTCCTCCCCTTCCTGCCCAAATACATCGGGGTGCTAAATGTCACGCATCGGGCCAACCCCCTGAAACCCGAGTCGGAAGAGGAGGAAGAAGAGGTGAAGCCGAGGTTTCCGGAGGTTAGTGTTGAGAGAAATCGGCATATTATTCCGGAGTGGTTGTTGCATCCGCCGAGTGCGCCGCCGAATACGAGGCAGAATAGTTCGCAGAGTCCGGTTACACCCTCGAGTGCTACTTCTACGGCGTCTATGGGGACTGCTGCGCTTCAGGCGCCGAAGCCGAAGAAGTATGGGAGTTGGGGCGCGACGACCGTGAACCGTAAATTACAGGAACAGGTTTTACGGGAGGTTTTTGCTCCACGCGAGCCTGGGACCAGAGATGGTGGTAGAGGCAGTGTTCATGGACACAGCGAACGCCGCAAAAAGCGTGGGGTATCCCGCCCCCGAATCCGTGAGACCATCGTCGAAGAAGCCGAGCCAAAGGTGGTTCGGCCGAGTACGAGTCTTGATGATCGGGGTTTGGTGATGGGTGTCGCGCACGGGCTCGCGATGACGCCTGATACGATGGTGGAGGGTGGGGAGGCGCCGAAGGAGAAGAGGAAGCAGAGGCGGTATTCGAGTGGTGATGATCGGGAGGATACGCCTGCGCGGGAGGAAGGCGATGGACATGGCGGTGTCTTCGATATGGATGATCTAGGTGATACCATCACTGGATCCATGACGCCCCCCGTCAGGAGTCCAATCGAGGGGAGTGTGGATGTTCCGTTGGGGAGTCAAACGGTCGATAGGAATGTTGGAACCGCGAAGGGTACGAATAAGGATTTCGTGCAGGCGAGGTTGAATTGGAGTCAGAGGTGTTACGAGATCGCACAGGCGCGACAAGCGAAAGCGGCACTTGCTGCGGCGAAGGCTGCGCAGGCTAATGCTTCGAGTCCGACGAAGGCTGGTGCGATGAGGATTGAGCAACCGGAGGAACGCACGGAACGCTTCATCCTGATGGAGGATTTGACGAGCGGGATGAAGAAACCCTGTGTACTGGACCTCAAGATGGGAACACGACAGTATGGAATCGACGCGACTGACAAGAAGAAGATGTCGCAGAGCCGAAAATGCGCGATGACCACCTCTCGTCAACTCGGTGTCCGTGTCTGCGGAATGCAGGTCTGGAACGTCGCGACCCAGATCTACATCTTCCAAGACAAATACTACGGCCGCGACCTCAAAGCCGGTGCAGAGTTCCAGAATGCGTTACGGAGGTTCTTAAGTGATGGGAATAAGATCCTCGTTCAGCATATCCCTGTTATTCTCCGCAAGTTGACGACGTTGGAGGGGATTATTAGACAGCTTAAGGGGTATAGGTTTTATGCTTCGAGTTTGTTGTTGTTGTATGATGGCGAAGCTGTCGAGGCTGCTGCTGAAGCGAGCCAGGGGAAGGAGGAGCCTGTCCAGCCGAAAGAGATCACGATCAAGATCGTTGATTTCGCCCAGAGCTTCGCACTTGAGGATGGATTGCCGGAGAATGCACGGTACCCGCCTCAGCACCCTGACAGCTGCGATCAGGGATACTTGAGAGGATTGCGGACGCTAAGAATCTACTTCCAGCGAATCTGGAGAGAAGCACACGGCGAAGGCGAAATCGGCCGTGGCGAAGGCGAGGAGCTCAGTAGTTGGGGCGTCGAAGACGTCATGGAAGAAGTCGCCGGACGTGGCGAAGCCTACGATGACGGAGAAGTTTCTACATGAGAACAGAGAAAGTTTGAGATTGATTGGGGATGAAAGATATACTAGGTGGTTACCTTTCGTTTGATCACATTGCAATTGCGCTTTTGCTTGCGTCTTTTATAAGTTATTATCTTTTGCAAAAGGAAAGGAAGGAAACATTGGGTTTAGCATACGTTAAAGGGTTCCGAATTCCAAATTCGTTAATAGTCAATACCTGTGAAAGTCCATTCTTGTAGTGTTCATCAAAGGTTCTGTAATGCTTGCCGCCTCTTTCTCCTACTCATTGTGTTTTGTTCTGGCTCGACCATATCTTTCGAAGCACGCATCAACAGAAACCATGCGAAGGTTGCTGGTTCTTCGTCGGGCACGTAGTCTTCACAGTCGTTGCATCTGTACATACACCACGTTAATGGCCTGTATAAAATGGGCTAACAAGGTGATGTACAGATTCTCACGAATGCCTTTTTCGATTAGCACGTCAAATGCTTCGCCTAGTTTCAGTTTGGAAAGATGGACTTTGCACCCGATGCACCAGCAATCGTTCTCTTCATTCTTTTCTGTGACCCGAATGTCTTCTTGCGTAGGCTCACTGTCGCGCCCTTCAGGCAAAGCCGTGAATAAGTTTGGCTCATCAGGGGAAGGAACTGAAGGACGTTCTGTCACTCCAATGCTCTGCAATTCGGTAGATGATTCATCACCTGCAGTCACCGGCGGAGCATAATCAAGTAGCTCATCTCTATGCACTGAATGCCGACAAACTGGACACTGACCCTGGAGATCCACGGCAAAGAGGAGATCAACACACTCTTCGCATCTGTCCCCGGTGCTGATTAGTTGACTTACATTCAACGTCATACTGCAAGCGAAGACATACATCTGATGGTTACATTCCGTAACGAGAAAGTCCATCCCATCTCTGGATCCCGGATCATCGAAGCAAACTGGACAAGTCGTGTTGAAGGGTTGGCGAGAGGTTGTTGGGAGACTGGATATAGCTTGACGAGGGAGGGAGGTTGTGCGGGAGGGGATGTCGTGGATTGTGACCGTGCGAAGCTCTGCTGTGCCTGTTGAGATCTGTGTGCGTGGAGCTGGGTAGAGGTTGGGATACGCCAAGCTATCGCATATGTCAGCATACATCGGCCAACCTTGTAGAGAAAGAGGCCAAACCGCATGTTCTGCTTGTTCGGCCAACCCCATCCACCTGAACAACCCGTAATCACCATCGGCATCAAAAACGCGGTCCTCACAACCACGATGAGACTAATTCCCCCCCAGTATCTCTGCTCCTGCCAGATACTGTTGTCATCCGCCACGAACGCGAGAAGAAATGCCGCAGCCCAAAGCAGGTGAACGAGTGTCCAGTACGCCCAGAGGAGAAGTAATCGGATGACGCACTCAGTCGGGGTCCGGATGGGGTCCGAGAGGCCGATGTTGTGTTGCGGCATAACACTGTACATATTCCATCAGTAATCCGTTGAAAGACGCTTCAGAAGTAGAAAGTACGCGATGTATGCTGGTCCTCCCCACCCAAATATCCCCGTAACGACATAAGGGACCAAATACGCGACCTTCACGGCAAGGGGAAACGCGCTCCAACCTTCGGGACCGAGGGTGAACATGAAGGCGATCGTCCAGAGCTGGAACACGGCGATGTGGTAGCATGTGAGGAGGACGCTTTGGAAGGTGCTGATGGTGCGGGGGATGGCCCTGGCTTCGGGGAAGGGCATGGCGGGGGTGAATGCTGGGTTAGGGAGCAGTGAGAAGACAAGGCGAGCAAGCAGAAAGACCAAGAAGATAGCAGAGGTAATCGATGGAGCAGTGTTTTGAGTGCGGTTGACGTTGACTCGCAGTCGTTCAAGCTGAGGACTACCCTGCGAAATCAGGTGGCACGGCACGTCCCACGGCCGGCACCGAGCAGCTGGTCTGCAAAACGCAACTGGAGACTGCTGCGAAGGATCTTTACATAACTGTCCGATACACAGGCCAGGTGTACGCATACATTAAATCTCAGTAAAGGGTATCACTGTGTTCTCGGCTCTCATCAAACAGCTACCTCGACTCACCATCAACATCCTCAATATGCCCACCCATCTTGACTTTCTCATCTCCATCAACCGGACTAATAACACCCCTCTCCATCTCCACCTCCCCCCTCTCATCCATCCTCACCACAACCCTCTCCCCAAACAACTCATTAATCTCCTCAAGCGTCTTCCCCTTCGTCTCAACACAAAACATCAACACCATCCCCGCAAACACGAAATCCAACACAATAAACACGATATAATACTTCCACCCCAAATTCTCGAACGCGGTTGGCGAAGCCTGCGAGAAGATGATTTGTGTTACGAAGGAGAAGAATGTCGCGATTGCGCCTCCGCGGGCACGGAGAGCCATGGGGAAGAGCTCGGTTGTGTAGACGGCCCAGACGGCGTTGAACCCGAGTGAGTAGATGATGGAGAAGAGGAAGAGGAAAGCGATTGCCGCGCCGGCGCCAGCTTTGTTGGAGTAGGTTGCGATAAGGGCGGCGAGGAAGATGAAATCGATACCGAGGAAGATGAGGGACCAGAATGTTGCCTTCACGCGGCCCCAACGGTCGATGAAGTTGGTGGAGACGAGGGTGGAGAGGGGACCCACCATACCATAGAGTGCGGCGAGGAGGAGGACGGTGGAGCCCTTGATTCCGACGGATTCGTAGATTTTGGTTTGGTAGTAGTTTACGACGTTCGTTCCGCAGGCCTGTGTTCCGACCTGGATGAAGATTGCGAGGAGGATGCGTTTGCGGTAGGAGGGGCGACGGAAGAGTTCGAGGGTTGAGGTTACTTCTTCTTGTTTTTCATACGTGATTTGTTCTTTCATCTGGTGGAATTCTTGTTCGAAGAATGTCTCGTCTTGCGTGTCGGTGTAATGGAGACGCTTGGTGACGGTGTAGGCCTCCTCGTAGCGACCTTGCTCGATCAGCCATCTCGGCGACTCCGGCAGGAATTGCATCCCAATCGTCAAGATGAGCGCAGGCAAACACTGAAACGACATCGGGAACCGAAATTGAAAGTCATTCCCAGACCAATACGACGCGTACCCAATCCAATTCGCCAATGCGAACCCAGTCGAAATGAAAAGCGTGTGCAACCCCACCACGAACCCTCTTTTCGTCGGCGGCGCAATCTCGGATTGGTAAAGTGGGATGGACGAATACAAAATCCCAATAGCCAAACCCGCAATCACACGCCCAACCAACAACATCTCCACATTCACCGCAGCAGCCATCAACAATGTCCCCACAAACGCCGTCAACCCACCAATCTGCACCGTCCTCCTCCTACCGATCCGATCGGACATGGTGGCGAGGATACACCCAACCGCAGCACCACCCGCGTACGAAGAGATGATACCACCGAGGATGGCACCGGTGGGGTACCCGTAGTATGTGTTCCAGGAGGGTTGGGCAATCGTGGTACCGAAGACACCAGAGTCGTAGCCCCACATGAAGGAGCCGACGGCGGTGAAGGCTGCGCAGCCGTACGTGTAGAGCTTGCCCATGTCGCAGTTGTCGAGGTTGTGCAGTAGTGTTTGTTTGTAGAGAGAGAGAGAGAGTACGAAGGGCCGGATCAAAGGTCTATTTATGTCTGTCCATGGATGGTGGTCAGCATCCCGTTCCACCTCAGTCATCGCTCACATGGACACACCATCCCACCCCGCATCGTTTCATGATTCAAATGCCAACCCTAGGCCAGAGTGTATCGAACGTGCCATGTGAGACGTACGGGGTGGAGTGCGCCGGCGCAACTCTCGGCAATTGTCACTTCATCGCTGACTTACCTTAAGCTTCACCGCATCCTGTGATATACCGTATGTGGCAACCGAGATCGCGTTCTCCGAGGGATCTCTTTCCTGATCTGGATCAATTGCAAACTTTATCGACTTTAGAGAACGTGAGATTTGAATTTCTGCTGTTCCTTTGGAGCATGATCCACGTCCCGAGTTTGAACGGGTCTGCGATGTCCATACTCCACTCCCCCGCGGGCGCTAGGCGTGGTGCGTGAAAGTGCGTCCCGGGGCCGCGTTGCCTCGAGAATTGCCCCGAGAATTACTCCGAGATACATGACATATCAAAGCAACGTTGTAACTCTAATCACCCTATCTGACATCCCGCTCAATTCAGCCTCGGCGAACACCTACCCACCCTCCCCTCCCACGCCCTCAACTTCACCACCCCTCCCTCCTCTATCACCTTCCCCTCAACCCCGTAATTCCCCACAACAACCTCCACCCCATCCCTGGCCTCCTCCGGCACACTCCACCTAACATCCTCCCCCGACCAATTCATTACAACCAACATCCTCTCTCCCTCCCCACTCTCCCTAACATACGCAAAAACCCTCTCATCCTCCTCCGCCAATAACGTAAAACTACCATGAACCAAGGCCCCCGCGTACTCCTTCCTCACCTCAATCATTCTCCTCCAGAAATGGAATACGCTGTCGGGGTCTTGTTCTTCGTCTTCCGCATTGACACCGTCCGAATACGAGGGGTTAACACGCATCCACGGCTCACCTGTAGTGAAGCCCGCGTGCGAAGTACTGCGGTTCCACTGCATCGGCGTCCGTGCATGATCCCTAGCTTTCGCTCTCACCCTCCTCATGATCTCCTCAACAGGAACTTCCTTCGACGTCATATCCCTCCGATAATTCTGCGTCGCAACATCCTTATACTCCTCAATCCCCCACTCCTCAGGCGCGTTATACATCCCCAATTCCTGGCCTTGGTAGATGTACACGGTACCAGAGAGCGTACACTCCATCAACGCCAACATCTTCGCCGCAAGATCACGAAGTTCGGGGGTGCCGGTGGCGGCTGTGGTGAAGCGGGATACGGAGCGTGGTTGGTCGTGGTTTTCGAGGTAAAGTGCGTTCCAGCCGCCGTGGGATTGCCATTTTTGGATGGTGCGCTTTAGGTCGGGGAGGGGGACGTCGCGTTTCAGAAATGGATCCGTCGTAGCGCAGTCAAGATCGACCAACTCAAAGTTAAAGCACATATCCAGCTCATACGCATCTCCAGCTGTGGCGCCGAGGGTGTACTTCCTCATCACCTCCGTATCATGCGTAAACGGCGTCTCACCCACCGTGATCGCCTCTGGATACTTGGATAGTACCTCCCCCCTCATCTCCCTCAAAAACTCATGAATCCGTGGTCCGTTGACGTAATGCTCCATCGCCGGTTGCTCAAACCTCGTCTCATCCACCACCTTTGCGTCGGGGAGTCCAGGCGATTTTGAAAGGAGGTTGATGACGTCCATGCGGAATCCGTCGACGCCGCGGGAGAGCCAGAAATGCATCATGGCGTACACGGCTTTCCTCACTTCCGGATTTTCCCAGTTGAGGTCGGGCTGTTCGCGGCAGAATAGGTGCAGGTAATACTCGCCTGTGGAATTGTCATATGTCCATGCGGGACCGCGAAAGATGCTTTGCCAGTTATTTGGAGGCATACGAGTCCCGTCTGCGTCGTATCGGGGTGGACGCCAGATATACCAATCCCTCTTCTCGCTCGTTTTAGAGGAGCGGGATTCCTTAAACCAGGCATGAAGGAAGGAGGTGTGGTTAACAACCAAATCCATCATGACCTTAATCCCAATTTCATGCGCCTTTTCAACCATCTCCCCCCACACCTCCATGCTTCCATACCTCGGATCAATCTTCCGATAATCACTGATGTCGTATCCCTTATCATGCAACGGGCTCTCATAGATTGGGGAAAGCCAGATACAGTCTACGCCGAGCGACTTGAGGTATGGCAGTTTGGAGGTGATACCGGCGAGGGTACCAGTGCCGGTGCCGCGGGTGTCGAGGAAGGAGGAGGGATAGATTTGGTAGATAATGGCGGATTTCCACCAGGGGTGGAGGGGGGATTGGGTCGAGAGGGGCTGCGAATCAAAGGTGGTCTCCGTTTGGAGGGAGGTTGTCATGTCGTTCGGCATCTTGTTTGCTTCGTACTTGCTCAACGTTGTCGACGTGGTGAAAGGATTGCAGGAGGGTTAAGTAGCTATGGGTGGAGCAGCCGGCTGGAGTGTCATGGTGGATTTCTCGGTGCAATCTCAGCGTAATACATTCCGCGAGAACACCAACGGCCTTCGCCTTCCCTCTCGGGCCGGTGCGGTTGCGGTCGCTGCTGCTGCTGCACCCCGCAGTCGACCCCAGAATCATCCAAAAATCCGCGGAATTGGTTGCCGATCCTGGGAAGAGAACTTCGGCGAATATCTCGGTGAAACTATCGGGAGCCTTTCAGAACTGAAAGGGAGGTGCTGGATGCTTGCGACCTCGTCGATTCACGTCGATGTCGAGGGTGGATGTCAAACTTGCAATTGAGCCCGAGCTCGAGAGACCTGGGAAAGAACCAGACGCTAGTGGACGAAATCTCAATCGACGTAGCAGCTGGAGCAAGGAAACCAATTCATGAATACTCAAAACAGAAAGTCAACGTTAAATCTTTCTGGACGTAAACATAGACCCTTCACAAATTCACATGTGTCCGGGCAACACCTCCCGGCCCGCTGCACTCCCCAAACCTTGTCTCCTGACCGAGCACCCTTCCCCAACCACGCGTACCATACAACCAACCCATGCTCAAATCCTTCCTCCAACTCATCAAAACTCGAAGAGATCTTAGGGAAGAAGGTAAGCTATCTCGCATAAGGTGATGAACCTTGTCAACTGACGTGAGGGATCTTGAAGATCATCCCTTAGCTCCAACTTCACCGAACGAGTGTTTACTGCAGTCCTTTGAATGGCATACCCGCTCTTCGGCAGATGATCCACACTGGAGCCATCTGTCGTCGTTAATGCCTACTCTGGCGGAGTTGGGGGTTACATTGCTGCTGATCCCTCCACCCACGAAAGCCGCGTACGAGAACTCGAATGGATACGACGTCTACGACCTCTGGGATCTCGGGGAGTTCGAGCAGAAAGGACAGGTGGGGACGAAGTGGGGAACGAAAGTACAGCTGGAGGAGATGTGCAGGAAAGCGAAGGAAGCGGGGATTGGGATTATCGCTGACGCAGTTCTTGGACACAAGACTGGCGCGGATGAGAAGGAGCGTGTGAAGCTCGTCAAAGTCGATGACGAGAATCGGCTGAAGGTGGTTGGTGATGTTCGGGATACATATGCCTGGGTTCGTTGGAAGTTCGATGGTCGCGGCGAGAAGTACAGCCAAATGGAATGGGGTCCACAGCATTTCACTGGTATCGAATGGGACGACGGAGCACAGGAGAACGGCATCTTCCTCCTGAATGGGAAACAGTGGTCAAAGAACGTCGACGCCAGGTTCGGGAACTACGATTACCTCATGGTATGAGCCGCTAGTTCGGCACTGTATCTTCTGTGCACGTCGCTGACTTAGGGCTCTATAGTTTACCGACATCGACCACACGCACCCCGAAGTCCACGCCGACCTCCTCGCCTGGGGACGCTGGATCACAAAAGAACTAAATCTGAAGGTTTCGTTGAAGCAGAATCGCGTTTCTCGCACGAAGCTAACGATGGGGAACAGGGTATGCGTTTCGACGCCGTCCGCCATTTCGATTACGACTTCATGCGACAGTTCCAGGAGCATGTCGCCGCTACGACATCCGGGTGGATTTCGGTGGGAGAGTTCTATGATGGAGATGTGAGGCTGTTGAAGGCGTATTTGTCGCATATGACGCCGGGGTATAAGTTGTTTGATATCCCACTACTGACGAACTTCGCTGCTGCGTCGGCGTCGTACTTGCCTTTGCCGCCTACGCCGCCGTCATCGACTCCCGCTTCAACCATCTCGACTGGGCGGGTACAGAACGTACGATCCAAACCTTTCGACCTCCGCCGGATCTTCAACGGCTCCCTTCTCGCCTCCCATCCCACTCAGTCAGTGACTCTAGTCGCAAACCACGACACCCAACCCGGACAAGCCTGCGAAACCCCCATAGCAGCCTGGTTCAAACCCCTCGCATACGCCATACTCCTCCTCCGCAACGACGGACTCCCATGTGTTTTCTGGGGCGATTTGTTCGGGATCACCCAAGGCCCGGAGGTGGTGGACAAAGTGAAGGGATTGGAGGTGTTGATGAGGGCGAGGAAGGGGTGGGCTTATGGGAGGCAAATGGATTATTTCATGGATGGGGGGAGGTACTTGTTTTTCTTGGTTTACGTTTCGCTTTGATTCGGTGTGCTAATGAGGAAGGTATAGTCTTGCTTGGGTCCGAATGGGAACGCATGATCGGCCTGGATGTGCGGTGGTTCTGAGTGCGGTTGAGGGTGGTGCGAGGAGGAGCATGTTTGTGGGGAAGAGGTGTGCGGGGGGGAGGTGGGTTGATATGGTATGTCGACCGTTCCCTTGGCTATGGCCTTTGCTAATCGTTTGTGTTTGGTCTGTAGATGGGACTTGTGAAGCAAGAGGTCAGAATTGATAAGAAGGGCTACGGAGAGTTCTTGTGTGAGGGAAGGAGCGTGAGTGTGTGGAACAACGCTGAATGATGATGGGTTTCAGACATCGGAGCGAGCTTGGAAGGGCGGTGGATGAGAGTCAGGAGGTTCGCGTGGAAGCAATATCAAATATACCCCAGAGACAGGACAGAGACACATGAATGGCATAAATAAAGGTATACCTAGATATAATGGATATAAGATTAAACGCATCCTCAGCTTTTGTCAAGCACTTAACGTCCCTTCACCTCAAGCGTTCCCTCCTTGCTCGCACTGATCTTCGCAACATCATCACCACCAGTCCCCTGCGCCTTCGTCTCCGCCAGGCGCTCACCAGAATAATCCTGCTCGACAGGCTTGACCTTAACATCACTGATGGCTTCCTTTCGCGGTTGAGCGGGGACTTCGGATAAGTGTCCAGAAGCAAGATCACCCGACGTGGGACCCTTCCTCGCAACGACATCTCCGTCATCAACGGTATTTGAGGCACGGGTCCCAAGTTCTCCCTGTGTAGCGGATGTACCAGCCTTCGCAATCTCATCCCTAACCTCCCCCTCAACCGGCGGCTTCGGCCCCGATCCCGCCCCGCCATCGAGTTCCTGCTCATTTACGATCTGCTGCGTCGCTTCATGAACAACATCTGCCTCTGTTTTCCCAGGTCCATCCCAGACTTCGCCGCCGGGAGGAGAAGAGGTGGAGTGGTCCTGAGAGGGAACGTGCGAGGTGGAGTGAGGAGCTTCGTGGTGCAGGCGGTAGTCGCCCTCGTTGACGGTTTCGGGAGATGCGTTGGAGGGGATTGATGCGCCTACTGGAACCGATGAAGAGGACATGTTTGCGATAGGGATCAGATCGGATCAATGGGGATACTGGGTGTGAAGGGAATGCGAGAAGTTTGGCGGTTACTTGAGCGCCGCATGCGCAGTTGGCCATGGCTGGGGTGCGGGGAGATACTGCTGTGTTCAAAATTCTTGACACAGCGCGTCTTAGGTGCATGAACTGGACTGGAAAACCTTCGTCGAAGCTGTCAATGTCGAGCGCTTATCACCTAAACCTGAATGGCAGGCCGTCATCAGTGTTGATTCGCATTACTCCCTGCCGAAGTCGGCCTACCAAAGTGACGACGACTCCCAGGCCCCGCTACGCTCCTCTCAAGTCAGGAAACAGTCTCAAACTGCTTAGCCTAGACGCCCTAAGAGTGCTACGGTTGCGCATCTTCAGAATATTGAAGCTGGATTTGAGGGTGACCCGGCTAAGAAAGACAAGATTGCTGCGCTACGAGCACTTCAAGCCTGCTGGATGTGCTCAAAGCATCATCAAAGCATCTGCTATATTCACCCTCTCAGCGGAGTCCATCACCGTGTTAACTACATGCAGCAAAACCGCTGCGCAATTGCTGTTGTCAAGCCTGGTCCTACAGTCACCATCGAAAGGCCTTCCATTTCAGACTCAGTCTTCAAGGACTTTCACGAAGCATTCCAGCGAGCGGATATACCGGCCAGCACACCTGATTCCCGCCCCTGCTCAGCAGGGTTTCCAAGGCTTCCTACTCCGCTGTCTGCTGACATGGAGTATCCATTGAGTCAAGGCACCCCAGCCCCGAACCCCCTGAGAGGCTCCGCCCCTCCTACGGGACCAGCAGCAGACGATCTGGAGGGATTCCTGGGGTTTGTATGGGAGCATTTGCCTGCCTACACCAACTTTGATATTGATATTGCCACGAAATTGACAATGGCCTTGTCATGAATGGCTTCATGACCTCCGGTTTCCCACACTCTTCCTGTGATCATGCAACGTCTATGTACGTTCATGTATGTGTCCTATTATTAGGTCTTATGTTTATGTCTTACAGGTACGTCTTAAGTTTATGTCTTAACTTATATTAGTCTTACGTAGTTCTGGCTTGGTGGCTTGGTGGCGTCACGGCACGGCACGGCACGCCACGGCAGCGAAGCCGGTCCCCAACGAAGCCGGTCCCCAACGAACGACTAGTCTGGATTAGTATATAAAGGGGGGTTCCTCCTCCCTTCCTTAGTTCTTTAGTTAGCAACAAGAGTCTTTGAGAAAACCAAGACCTCTTCCTACCTCGCCTCTCTTGTGGGTTCCTCAACCTCTTGAGTCTTCGTTCGTCTCGCCACTTCGAGTTATCCCAGTTCACCAAGTTGACACTCAGTCTCGGTTACGTACCCAAGCCGCCCTTGACTTTCGTCTACATCTTGTTCCGTCAGTCTTGGTTTGGGCCTGGTCTTACTAGTGATTACGTCTACGCCTTCCGCCTTACGCTTACGTCACTGTTACGTCCCCTCGGTCTCGGTCCCCTTCACTGGATAGACTCCGCCCGACTCGTGTCAGATTACGCCTTCGATTTCAGCAGCGACGAGTGTTGTGACTTGTTTAGGAGACATGACCCCCGTCCCTGACAGTTTGCTAACTCTACCTTCGGTCGACTGTTGTTCACTTACGACACTTGGTATCTACAACTCGCTTTCGATTATCGCCATCAATCAATATGGCTTCTCACTCCGGTTCTTCTGGTTTGGACTCGGCACCTCAGCCTATGCCCACCATGGAACAACTCTCGGCTATGATGCATGAACTCCATGCTCAGGTTGCTGATGCTCAGACGTCTGCTCGGACTGCTCGCCTTGAAGCAGCTGATGCTCACACTCGTCTTCTCGCTATGGAGGCTGCTGCTGCGACTTCCGCTTCGTCTACTGATACTGCTACTACACCTCCTGTCTCTACGTTGACGTCGACTCCTTCTATTGTCACTACAGTCAAGGAACCTAAGGTCGATGGTAAGGATAAGACGCTTCTCAAGTCCTTCTTGTCCAAGGCTGCTATGGTTTTCAACACCCAGCCCTTGCATTATGGAGATGATCGTATCAAGATCTTGACCACTGTCAACTGGTTAACTGGTGCTGCCTTCGATTGGGTCCAACCCGAGATCGGTAAGGACGAATCCAAGTGCCCAGAGTGGCTCAAGAACTACGATCTATTCTGCAAGGAACTGGCTCAGGCCTTTGGAGACCCTGATGAGAAGCGCACCTACAACAACAAGCTCATGAACCTCAAACAAACCGGTTCTGTCATCGACTATACTGTTCGCTTTCGCCAGATTGCGCCCTACACTGACTTTGATGCCAAAGCCCTTGCACCTCACTATTATCGTGGGTTGAAGGACGAGATCAAAGATGCAGCCCAGTTCCATGCTCAGTTGGAAACCCTTGACGATATCATTGAATTCGCTATTCGTCAGGACAACCGTTTCCCAGAACGCCGTATGGAGAAGAAGAACTCCGGTACTCAACATTTGTCTTCTTCTCACAAGTCCTCTGATTCGTCTGGTCAGCCGAACCACTACAAGTCCAAGTCTTCGCCTGTCAACTCGTCACACACTCCTTGTTCTGTCCCTATGGACCTCTCTTCTTCGCGCACTATCACTCCAGAAAAGAGGGATCACAGAAAGAAGAACAACCTTTGTATGTACTGTGGAAAGCCTGGTCATTACGCTTCTAAGTGCTTCGCCGCCAACGGCAATGTTGCAAAGAAGTCGACCAGGGCTAATGCTACTGTCCCACAAAGGATAATGGAGTGATCAAGATGGGATGGCTGATCACAATGCAAGACTTCTGGCCTGGATGGATGACAAAGTGGAGTGCTGTTCCGGAATGGCAAGTACTTATATGAGTGCCATACTGGAACATGCCAATTTTGAGGAGTACCAAGGAGGTGGGAAGAAGTATAAGGTGGAGAACCTTCACGAGGTTGAACTCAGTATTTTATTCCCTCTAAAAATTTGCCGTGCAGTTGAATCCACCCACAACCTGGAATATATCCCAAAATCAAACCCAGAAACGCCAAAAGACAGTAATTATCTACATAATTGTACAGAGATCAAACAATATGCAACTTACGTCGAGGTATGAACATCTGCGCTGGCCTCCGTGCGACCTTCACTTTGCTTTTCACCCGTCTGCTTCTTCGACGCACCCCTCTTAGTCAATCGTCGTCTTCTCGTTGTCGTTCCAGGGGTTTGACCTTCACGTCCTTTCATTGAAATCTCTGTACGTTCCTCAGACCTTTTGAGTTCTGACACGTATGCTTGGAGTTGCCGTGACAGAAAACTGAGCATTCAACCTGATGTCTCATGCAGCTACAGAGGTTAGCAACACATTCTGTTTTGCAAGAGCAGCTTACACCAAAGAAGACGTTCTGTGTGTTTTGACGTGCCGCAGTACCCAGTGCAATCTCTTCATCTGGAGGTTCCATTTGAAAGATCGTCCAGGAATAGACGCATGGTCTTCTAAACCGCGCATATCTATCAAATCGATTTGCACTTGCTCGGAACTTTCCCTCATGTTGATCGTTTGAAGGAGTGATTTGCTCTCTGGGCTCAATGTTTGGCACATTCGCCAAAGGCATCAAGAAGCTGCTACCACTGCCTTCCTTGGAATTCCCTACCACTGCTCCTGAATTCTCCCATAAGTCTTTGTTCTCGCGGGAGCAACTGCAACTGTGTCTGAATGACGATTGAAGGAACTTTCAACTCAAGTGCGAAAGGAAGACAGGCGGGACCATCATCTTTATTGTTCTTTTGATGGAGATCCCTGTCGACAAGCTGATATTTCTGGTGTGCGCGCATCCTTCGATTCCTGTCACTCAGGGATTTGCCCACAAAATCTTCCCTCAGGGCCTTAAGAACTTCCTGTGCTGGCTCATGGGTTTGAATATTTCCCAAGTTGTTGGAAAGGCACTTTTGAAATTTGCGAATAGCGGCATCACTGCCTCCTTCATGTGCGTACTGTCCATCTTCCTTCCCTCCTTTGGGCTGCCCCAGTCTCGAGTGCGCGCTGTTCCGGAACGGCCCTGTTCACGTTTGGGGCAGAACACATATATTGCTTACTTCGACTATTCATCATCATCTGCAAAGATAGGTTCAGGTCCCTCCAACTCAGCAGTTACGATTAAGGCCTTTTCACGACTGCTGTCGACATAAGCTGTAAGCTGTTCCTGGGTTAATGCGTAACCGCAGTTCGTAAACATGTTGAGGATTTGTCGGTTTGAGAGTTGATATAATCGATTGGAAACGCAGCGTATGAAGCCTTCAGGGTCTGACTTAGCAAACTCATGCTCGTTGTTCTTCTTCATCCAGCTTTTCATCATACTGAAACAAAGCTCGATTGGATTTAGGTCTGGGGAGTAACGTGGTAGGAAATGGATTTGACAGCCGGCTCTTTCGACTAGCAGTTCAGCAACCCTTGGCTCGTAATGAATACGACAATTGTAGAGTACAACAATGCTGTTGGGACCAGGGTAAGGCCCTACGATTGGTAGGAGTTCCTCTTTGACGAGTTCGACAAAGCGGTGGCCGGCATTGAAAGACCTCTGACAGATTCACAAAGCCCGGAGACCTGTTGAGGTGAGTGCCAGCAATACACTCCAGCACTTGGAGTGAGTGAGAGTGCGGTCTTCCATGGCACGGTTTCCAGCGGGAGCATAGCCAAATTTGCGGTGAGTGCTGCGCTCATCGACGGCTGATCCATCGAGGAAGACAAGATGATCCCGCGTGTAGTAGGCCATTTTAATCGCATGGTTTGCCCGTAGCATTCCCTTGCGCTGCGCTCCCCAGACAGTCAGTACCTTACGGGTATATCCAATCTTGTGGAGGTAGCGCATGATCTGGGAATGGTTGAGATCGCAAGCGAAGGCTTTGTTCATGTATTCGGCACAGTCTTCTTGGTAGATAGTAGGGTTTTGGCCGTGCAAGTACTGAATATACTGCATACCATTCAGTGAATCCACCTTACTCACGACCCCTAGATATTAGTTGATTTGAGGCGGGCGTCCACAAGTATGATGACCGGCACGCTCACTGGTGTCCTGGTCTTCATACCTCTTGACAATTTGGTAAACGGTGCGGACTGAAGTATTTGCGATTTTACTGAGCGTGATGAGATCGGCTCCCTGATGTAATGGTGGATAACTTGATCTCGGACGGGGTCGGCGATGATCTTCCCATGCATTTTCGGCTTATCCTGGCCTTCCTAGGCCTTCAATGGAGTTGTTTGGAGGTCTTTTTACGGGAGGGTATGCAAGATTGCACGCACCTGCACACCGCAGTGAACCCTGGAGCGCGGAGTTTCCGGCCTATGGATATCGACACCGCATGTCGGCAAGATTCGGGGTCCTCTCGGTCACGTAGGACACCGCAATTGAGAATGACGGACAGCGAGGAAGTTTCGAACAACTTAGTCAAAAACCTGTATTCATAACGAACGATTACCAAACCGTACCGCAGTGCCAATGTCATCAAAATCCGTAACGGGTAACTAACGCCATATCACGAAAACCCCCCAAAAGTCCCATCCATGCAAGCTCAAATCATAAATAACACCCAAGGCATTACATTTCTCAGCAGAAACGTATATGGTCGTCTCAGTTCAATACTTCAACTTTCGCCCGCCGATTCTGCCAATCCTCGATCACTCGATCCATCTTATCCAGGCTCACCGGCTTGGTCAAGAAATCATCAATTCCTTTCCGTCTTGCTTTCTCTCTGTCGTCGCCAGTGTCCAAGCCAGTCAACGCACATATGCGAGTCTTCTTCCGCTCATACCCTTCGTCCGACACTTCGGCTTCATATGATCGAATCGCCTCAGATGCTTCGAAGCCGTCCATGACAGGCATTTGCAAGTCCATCAACACCAGATCAAAGCCTTCCCTGTCATTCTTGACTGTATCCACCGCAAGCGCTCCGTTGAAAGCCTTCTGGTGCAGAATTCCCCGCTTGCTCAAATACGCCGACAGAATCATCGCGTTGATGGGGTTATCCTCAACGACAAGCACGCGTGGCAAGACTTCATCCGTCGTCGAGACCGGAGGAGCGACCATATCAACGTTATCCATCTTGATCACCGGACTTATGAGCGCTTCATTCGTCTTCGATCGATTGTCCACAGCAAGACAGTACTCCAAACTCCTCGCCAATTTTGCGGGTCCGCATGGTAAACTCACGAAATCAACGATACGAGCGTTCACGGCAACGTTGTCATTGAGATGCAACAGATCAGCATTCGAGCAGAGCGCAAGCACGGTTTTACCTTCCGTACAAGGGAAATGTGGATCCGCAAGTAGTTTTCGCGTGAGAACGGACTGACCGCCACCCACAATAACGTCCGCATGGGTTATATCCTGGACGATCGTTGAACCGTACCACTCCTCCAAATATGTCCTTACAGACGCCGTGAACAGGGCGGCGCAAAACGGCGTATCCGGATTCCCTACATCCATGTACACCTTCTTCCCTCTAACCATCATCCGTGCCTTCGACACTTCGTCGACGACCACCCCGTGCGCGCTCGGGCTCGGGCTCGGGCTCAAGCTCACCATTTCCACCGGGAACATAATCGTAATCTTCGTACCCCGCCCAAACTCCGACTCAACCTCAATCGTCCCACTCAGTAAGTTCTCAACAAGATTCTTAACGATCGTCATTCCCAACCCTACACCAGAATGAAACGAATCCTCCTGCGTAAACGCCCGAAACAACCGTTCCCGGACGAACTCGGGCGTCATACCTTTGCCCGAATCCTCAACGATCATGCGTACAGACCCAGCCTCATACGCCAGCGAAACCCGAATCCAGTGTGATTCCTCATTCGGGGTATACTTTAGCGAGTTCCCCAGTAGATTCATCAAGCACCGACGAATAGCGGGCGCGTGAGCCGTACGTACGATCCACCCCTCAAGCCTCCTCTGCACGTCCAAAACGACTTGAACATTCACCCCAGACCCATCCAACATATCCTTCGGCTCGGACGAGAGAGCATCAATACACGACCCCGTCGATTGCTGCTGAAACTCGAACGCGGCATGGCATGAATCAACCACCTCCTCACACGCCCTCGCCAAATCCACCTCCCTAACCTCCTTCTCATCCCCATTCCTCCCCTTCGCGGCTGGAGACCCCTCCTCACGCCGACTCATCTTACTATAATCCAACACACTCGACAACACCTCCATCAACGTCCTCCCACAACCCTCCATCGTCTCCACGAACCGCCGCTGCATGACGCCCAACTCAGTCTTCCGCAATAACTCCCCGCAGGCGAGGACACCGTGTAACGGACTCCGCAGCTCGTGCGAGATGTTTGAGATGAAGACTGTTTTTGCGTGGTCTGCGGCAGCGATTTGCCGTTTGAGGAGTTCGGCTGTACAGGCTGAGCCGAGGGCTGAGAGGTATTCTACCTCCATTTCGAGGAAATGTCGTTTTGGAGAGGATAGTGAAGCGACCAGGAGGGCGTATGGTGCGGATAAGTGATCATAGATGGGCACAACGATAGCCGACGTCGAATCAACCGACAACAACGGACATATCGCCTCCGAACTCGATGCAGGCTCACGATCCAGTACACACCCATTCGGATGCGCAGCAACGAACTCCCGGACCCACCGTACATCAACCTCAGATCCCCGCGGTAGTCTCCCGTCCATCCCCTCCCACCTCGCAATCTCCCCACAAACCCCTCCCTCATCCCTCCCTCCTCGCCCCCCCGCGAACGCATCCCGCACATCGAGCGCAAGCATCCCCTCACACCCCAAACACTCTCCCCCAACCTCGACCGCACGCCCCAACACCTCTCTCACCATCCCCCTCTTATCGAGTGGCGAGGACGTCCACCACCGCGCCGTAAAAGCCCGGATGGAGTTTTGCATTCGCCGACCCTCTTCCGCCCTCCTCCGTTCAGCGACGAGTTCGAGTTCCCGGACAACCGCTGCTGATAGATCTAGCAGGATACGTCTTTCGCGGTCTGTCCAGATCCGTGGTGAGGTATGTACCGTCGCCAACGTACCGAGATTGTATCCACCCTCACTCACGAGGGGAACACCGGCGTAGGACCGGATATGGGGGTGTGAAACCACGTAAGACTTCGAACGGAATCGCCAATCCTCGCGCGTATCCTCCACCGTGAAAACGCGTTCCCTCACCGTCCCCTCTCCCTGGTGTTTTAGGAGGAGGGTATGCGCACATATCGAATCAACCCTCATCCGCGCAAAACACCGTCCAGCCCATTCCTCGAACCCGACCTCTGCGAGCATGAATTGCCGATCAACGCCCATGAGACTGACGTTCGCCGCACCCGTTCCACAGAATTCTTTTAGCATCCTCGGATAGCGGATTAATTCTGCGGTTTCTTCGGGGCTTAGGTCGATGTAGCGCCAGAGATCACGGACGCGATCGTGTTCGTCGGGGGAGGCGATGCCGATGAGGTCGAGGGGGTGCGAGCGGGCGGTGGGGGAGTCGGTGAGGAGTAGCGGTGGAGTTGGGCCGGAGGAGGAGTGGAGGAGGGTGCCGGTCGAGTAGGCAGTGAGGAAATCTGCGGGGGATGTGAAGCTTGAGGTAGGGGAGGGGGGTGTCGGGAGGGGAATTGTTGTAGAGGCCATTGGTGATGGAAAATACGGAGTCCTACTATTACTCGATCCTGTTCCCAGCTGGACGCTCGACTCAATTGCACGCTGTTCGTCGTCGTCCGCTTCCCAGTCCTTCCCGAGGGTTTACGCGGGCGGGGCCCACCGTCCGGAACGTCATCATGGAATTCGCCCTGCTGGAACGCCTGGCAATGGGGGTAATACACCCTAACCCTAAGGGTTAAATCCAGCTTTCTGGGCCGTGTATCCTTGATCCTGCTTGAGGGGAGTGACGACTGACATGGTATTGCTGTATGCTAAATCCGCAAGCAGGTATTGGGTGGGACCAAAGTATGCGTCTGGGTCTAGGTGCAGCCGTAAATCCTTGTAAGCAGCTGAATCATGCTGGGAACCAGGTAGCGAGCAATCAAAGTGTCTTATAAGACGTTGATCATCACAAACAATGGTTGCCCGAAGGCCGTACTGAATACCATGGGTAAGGCGTTAACATTAAATGCTTGATAAGGTTCTATGGAGTGACCTACCTGCTTTTTGCGCTGGCAGAGTTAACCCTACGTCGCCGTTTCTGAAGTTTTGGCATCCAGGCGAGGGTAAACAAGGTCCCATCGACCATACCGACTACTCCCTCAAACAACCCAGCGCTGGATTCCTTGACCCTTTTCGCAATAGTCTCCCTCTCGTTGGGGTTTGGCCATTTGACTTGATCTTCGTATAACGATGATAAAGCATAGCAAACACGTCGAGTGAATACGGTTAGGGTGCCCTTACCGATTCTGAACAAGTCGGTCGTTTTCGACAATGATGAACTAGTAGAACTTTGGGCGCCAAATCGAAAGAGGATACAAGCCAGCTGATACCTTACTGATGCTTGTTCACAAGCACTGTTGTTGTAGAACACCGGGTTGGTCTCGATCAGACCGACGACGAAATGAAAATCTTCTCGTTTCATTTGGTAGTAGGCCTTGAACCTTTCGTCATCATACCCATGGTTGAGAACCTCTTCAATGAAGTGTCGGGACTTTGCCAATGGTTTGCGTGCAGAGATATATCGAGTGTTTTCGATGATTCCAAGCATCTGGTAATCTTCATCCTCGGGATCGTCGGTCTCCATGGATTGCAAAAAAAGTCCCAATCGGTGATTCGTCTGGATGCTCCCGAGCCCGAGGATGACGCCGTTGATGGTGTCGAGGCCGTAGAAATCAATGAAGCTGAAGAGGGCGAGCATTCGTCGAAGTCAAGTTGATCCGTAGCAGCATTTTCTAAGCTGTTGAAATGGTCCTGATTGACGGTGGGCTAGGCGGCAATTCAGCCTCTCTGGACTGTCGATAACGAATGATCGTGTTGCGCAGTTGTCGTTTCAGGCTCTTTTGAGGCATTTGGGAATGGTACGTAAATATCCATGGTGGTGAGTTTGCCTCGAGGCAACGTGGCTACACAGATCATGCCCGGACCCTAAGTGATATCCGCATGAATTTCCTAATTGGGCGCATCCGCTCGCCCTAGGCGATTATTTTTTGCAGAGGTTTGACTACGCCCAGTAGTCGTAATACGCAGCACGCTTAATCTGCCCAAAGCTATCCAGGAAAAGGTTCGTCACAAAGGCAGGGGCAAAATGCACAAATCATTCCCCCGGCCGGATTTGAACCAGCGATCACCCCCTTACTAGGGGGGCATCATAACCACTAGACCACGGGGGATGGTTGATGTTCAAGAATATGATATAACACTTCTGGACGCATTCATGATCCTCCCGGTGCCGTCTCATTGACACTCCTGTGCAAGTATTCGTATGGGTGTTCAATGGTCAGTACCCAGGCTGGTCTCATGGATGAAGCGCTCGATATCAATTGAAACTAGGTAATGATTTGACTTCGCCGTCTTATCTGATCCGCACAACTCCGAACTCCCTTTCACGCTATTTCGCTTATCAGTCAGTGCATTTCGCTTGCTGAGCGACGAGCTTGAAGCGAGTGAATCCGCTGAAGCGAAGAGGGAGGATGACTGGAGATGTAGGGATCTTTAACTGAGAGTCAAACCTTCTCTAGTATCTTACGATCCTCACGACCCTCATGCCGTTTCCCAAGCTTTCCGTGCTCGGCCCTGGTAAGCCGCGCGCTGAGCGGATCACCTGCTCCACCTCGACCGATAACACCGGGTGCTGCCTATCTCTTGATCTGAGTTGAAATACTCAGCTCAGCTTCTTCGAGTTCCACCTCCGGATCAACAACGTCAACGACAACGACTCCACCATGAAGACTTCACTCGTCCTCCTCTCGGCCGCAACGGCTCTCGGTATGGTTTCTGCCGCCGACAGCGACGTGATCCTCGGTGTCGCACTCTTCGGCCGTCACGGTGACCGAACGCCGGTACGTCCCTCCCTCCCCTACCTTCTCCATCCTTCTCTCTCATTAACGACGATCATCACAGAAAATTCTCGGAAATACAAAGTTGACAGCCCTCGGCAAAAACCAAGTCTACAGCGCCGGCTCCTACATCCGCAACTACTACCTCTCCAACACATCCTCCTCCTCCCTCACCTCCGACGCGACCATTTCGATCTCCAACCTCGAGATCCAAGCGCCCGACACCTCCGTCCTAACCCAAACTGCCTTCGCCTTCGCCCAAGGTCTCTTCCCCCCTTCCTCCTCCATCCAAACCGAGACATTGGCAAACGGCACCGAAGTCTCAACTCCCTTGGATGGGTACCAGTACCCAAACCTCGAGGGAATCCCCTCCGATGCGCCCGAGGCATACATCAACGAAGGCACCACCCAATGCCCACAATACGATCTAGAGACGGAATACTACTCCGCGAATGATGTTTACACCTCAACCCTATCCTCCTCTCAATCGCTCTACGACTCGATCGCTCCTCTGGTTCAGGGCATCGGCGGCTGGAATTCGAGCACGATTAACTTTGGGAACGCGTACAAGATCTTCGACTACCTCAACTACGGCTCCGTTCACAACGAGACCATCGCGTCACAGTTGTCTTCGGAGACTTTGGATCAGCTCAGGATCTTAGCCGACCAGCACGAGTTTGCGCTCAACTACAACGCGACGGATCCAGCGTACAACATCGGCGGGCGCTCTCTCATGTCGGAGGTTTTGACCAACCTCAACGCCTCCGCCGTCGAATCACAGAAAATTTCGTATGCGGCTGGTTCGTACGCAAATTTCATGTCCCTCTTCGCGCTGATGAACCTCACCGCCGCTTCCGCCGATTTTTACGGGTTACCTGGGTACGCCTCAACGTTCTCCTTCGAGCTTCGCGCACCGACAAATACCACCACAGACCCCGCCTCGATGTCGATCCGATTCCTCTTCCGTAACGGGACTGCGGTGTCGTCCGAACTTACGGCGTTCCCACTCTTCGGGGGTTCGGAGGTTGATGTTCCCTATGAGACTTTCGTGAAGGAGTTGAAGACGCGTGGGGCGTTGATGACGACGAGGGCGTGGTGTAACGCTTGTGCTTCCCATGCCTCGGTCTGTACCGCGTTCCTCCTCGACTACGACACGAACGCGTATATGGGCCGCGAGTACCCCGTTTCGCCACTTGGAGCTGGGTTTATTGGGGCGGGTGTTATGGCGGTCGTGATGACGCTTTTGGTGTTTGTGTTGTTTAGTGTTGTGAGGAGGTTGAGGGGTGGGGTTGATAAGTTGGGCGGTGGGAGGAGGGGGAGTTTTGGGAGTGATGAGACGAAGGTTACGAGAGTTGGGGAGATGGCGGAGGAGAAGGTGTAATTCTGTCCTGGATTTGGGAATTGCTTCTTAGTCTTTTGTTGCGGGTTTCTTTATTTTTAGTATGCGCGGTAATGCGTTAATGGATTGTATTGTTAACCAGATCTCGGTCTCGATCATTCAAGCTGAACCTCTCCCGTCGAGGAATCATCCCTCCATAAGACTCATCTCCGTCCTTCGACGCTCCATATTCAACCTCATCATCCCATGCCAAACACCCCCTCACCGGTAAAACTCCCCCCTCTTCAGATTAACCCCCCACTCCGCCACAGCCCCCTGCAAATCCTCCATCGTCAAAACACTCTTCCTCTCCTTCCCTCTCCTCCCACCACCCTGTACACCCACCGCACCCTCCCCGACGTTACTAACCCCACTCGTCCGAATCCGGGAGTGTTGGTACGCCGAGGTAGCTAAATCCGACACGAACTTTTGGGTTGCGAGGGCGAGGAGGCGGGAGAGGCGGGGGTCGGGGGTTGAGAAGCCGGCTTGGGAGAGGTAGTGGTTCGTTACTGCGTCGGGGATCTATCAGCGATTTAGCGTATGTCCAAAACTACAATACACTCCTCGTTCGACGTTCGTGAGGGTATAGGGGAATCGTTTGCCGTACAATCGGCGCATACGTATCCATCTTCCCCAAGAAGTCCCTCAACGTCCGATCTGGCCTTCCCGGCGGCGGCGGAGGGACTCTGTTCCCCTCATCTTCTTCATTCTCCGCACCACCTTCCTTCATCTCCGTGTCCTCATCCTCCTCCTTCACAGCGCCCACAGGCTCTTCTTCCTTCTCATCGACCAAATCTTCACGTCCAGCCGCGATAGCTGCATCATCGCCCGGTACGGGAGCCGTCGTCGGCGATGCTGAAGCCTCCGCCGTCGCCTGTGCAGGGGTCGCGTTCTGTGATGTTTCTTCTGACATGTTGTATGATCGAGTCCTTCTGAGGACTTGTGCAGCTATAGAATTGTACAGCTGGTTGTATGTGGGTGTTGGAATGCTTTGGACGTTCGCCGGGTGTACCGGTGTATGACCCTAACGTAGGTGGTGCAGGCCTACGACATAGAGTTACGATAAGGAAGTGAGTGTTGGTATGGTAAAATTGTCTGCTTTATGGAGAGTAAAACCGAGATAAACGTCCGTCTTTTGTGTACTCATATCTGTGGCCTCATGGGTCGACAGGTGTTCCCAGCAAACTCAGCCAGATTACGATGAAGCTCCAAGAAAAGGCTAAAGACAAATGAAGATGAGAGGCAGAAGACATAATATTATAAAGACCTCTCGCAATGGCGCTCCACTGGCATTATAGCAGCCATCGCACACCCCTCAATCCCTAAAGTAAAAACCAAACCAAACCCGGAAAATCAAAATCAAAAGAAGAACACATAACCCATCATTCCGCATCCAAATCATACACAAACTCCTCACGACCTAGCGGCAGTCATCACATCTACTGCTGCATAGAATCGGCACTCTCCTGAACGGGCGCCGGCGCAGCAGCCTTATCAAAGTAATCGGCCATTTCGGCATCCAACTCGTCCGCGGTCTTCGCCGGCCTGTTGAGACGAGCGTTCTTAGGCTTCCTTGCTCCGTCCTTCTTCGCGCCCTGTGGCTTCTGAGCTCCGTTCTGGGCGGGCTGCTGCTGCTGGTTGTTGTTTTTGTTGGTGTTGCCGGCGGCCTTGTTCCTCTTCTTGGGGGTGTCGCGGGGAAGAGGGGCGAGGCGGTTAGCGAGGGAAGCGGCGGCGGCGATAGCCTTCGTGGGGTCGACAAGAACCTCGACCTGTTCACTGAAAGTTAGCATTTACTCATAAGATATCCACGCATCTTCGCCAAACATACCTTCATAGCCTTCTTTCCATCCACCAAACGTCCATTGTACTTCTCGTACGCCCTCTGGGCATCACCCTTGCGGGAGAAGGTAACGGCACAAGTACCGCGGCTCTGTCCATTGGGACCGAACATGAGCTGGCACTTCTTGACAGGGCCAATCTCCTTGAGAAGGAGGTCCTTGAGTCGATGTAAGTCGATTGTTTTGGATGGTTGTGGATTTTTGCAAGCTGCGAAACGAGAAAAAAAGAAAGAATGCGGGTTAGGAGACCAAGAGGTAGGGTGGGGATTGGAGTGGATGTATGTTTGTGTTCGTTCTGACTTCGACGTATCGATGTTGATGCCCCAGATCCCGTGTCGTGGTACACCTCGTTGTTGTTCGAGCAAGTCGTACTCTTCTCCTCGGGTTGCACAAAGACCCGCTTCAGCGTCGCCGCCGGAAAGATGCAGAACGCATCATTGAACATGCGCATAGAAGCAGTTAGCATAGCATACGCGGAAAGACCAAAAATCACGCGGATTTGATCCCATCGCTTTGCTAGCAAAGACACGAAGCCTTGATGCTGCGCTGCGCATACATGCTGCTGAAACCATCGCGTTTGTATGCGCACGATCCGTCGAACCAATAAAGGTTAAGGAAAGATGCTATACTGCTCTGTTCATCAGTTCACTCATAGCGCATCATAGATGCGTCAAGCCCACGGGCCGCGGCAACTACTTGACCGGTCCCCATACATCCCAAAAGATCACCACAAGCCAAGTAGAATACCGACGGCCTTCCAAGTGTGCATATATCCCATGAAACCATCGTCAAAATCGCTCGTGATTGAATGTTGCCGGATGTATGCCGTACTTGTCGATGTTTGTCGAACGCGTGGTCGCACAACACAATACCATCCAGCCCATACCCATACCCATCCATGGTCTCCCTCGCGCAGATCGATCTTTCTCGATTCCGAATGCTTTCCGGGAAGTTTAACATACCTTAATCTGAGGCTCAGGAACATCGAGCGGCTGTGTCATCGGTTAGCCCTTGTCCAGAAGACTACTTCGGGCTGGGCGCAAGCGCCCACTCCATCCACCCCGGGAAGCACCATACCAAGTTACTCAACATAATCCTGCTCTCCTCGCTAAGCACATCCTTCGCGGCAACCTGGGGCTGCTGCCTCTGCTGTTGCTGCTGAGCTTTGGCCACTGCGGCCTGAGCAGCGGGGCCAGCGTTGTTCTTGCGACGCATCTGAGCGCCCTTAGCCTTGCGGATCCCGCCGCGCTTGGGCTTGGTAGCGAGAATCTCGTCGAGAGAGCGGTCGAGGTTAGCGGACATTATTGCTATTGATTGTTTTGTCGAAGAGGAGGTGTATGAGGGAGTCGGCGTTGACGCGCGGTTGCGAGCTCGAGCTGAGTTCGCGCAAGTCAGGGACACTCAATGCACAGGCAGGTGTAGGGTGTGTCGCATTCCTGTGTATTAACTATACATAAATATGGGACGTACCGCCATCTAAATTCATCATCAATATACTACTCTTGTTCTGGAATTACACTCCTTACATTGGTGGAGAAGCTGTGAGTCTAACAAAGTCCGTCCGTGAGGGTGAGTAGGCTAGAACAGGTATAAGCCAGGAAAGTAGTATTGGTAAAGAGCAACTAAGAGGGCGAACCTCATACACCCTTAAACATATGCATAGTGCCTGAGCTAAGCCTATTACGAAATAGGGCGCCCATAGCTTTATCCCTCTTCCTCTCAGAGCTCGACCTGAGCAATTCAAAAGGAATTAAAAATTTAGAGCGAGTCTAAAGGTAAGGACCTAGCTCCCAGATCACCAATCCTTGAAATCCATGGTAATGTAGCAACACCCCGTGATACATGATCCCGGGACTAAAAGAATGTTCGAAACGAACGACAAATATAGACCCTACAACGGGCAAACAGACAATCCCTGAATACTCCAACACTCTCCTTCAATCTAGGGTTAGGGTTAGGGTTAGGGTTAGGGTTAGGGTTAGGGTTAGGGTTAGGGTTAGGGTTAGGGTTAGGGTTAGGGTTAGGGTTAGGGTTAGGGTTAGGGTTAGGGTTAGGGTTAGGGTTAGGGTTAGGGTTAGGG